AGTGTCCTACCGAACATTTGCGAAGTTCAGCTGTCAATTGACAAAATGTTCAGTGACGATGTTTTGGGTCAATTCCATCCACCTATAACTAACGAGCTATGACGATGTCATGGTCCACGATAATCATAAGCATGCACAAGGTTTCTTGAGGCGGGGAGGGAGGGGGGTCATCACGGGGCACCTCTCTGGGTTATTTATTTATTTATTTATTTATTTATTTATTTATTTATTTATTTATTTATTTATTTATCATTTTATTGTACCCTCAAGGCCCGAGGACATTGCAGAAGAGAGTGGTTAACGGGAAATTATACAAAGTTGGGTAGTAAATAACACAACAAGAACATAATACGACAGTGCAATAAAACAACAGACTAGAAATAGCAGTACATACAATGTGACTAGGAAATGCTTTGTGATAATAATATGAACAAACAAGGTAACATGGCATTAATTCCCGTTTATACAACTTTACGACATTAATAACAAGTTGTCATGAATTCCAAGTAAAAACTATGCTAGCTATAGCTTTGCGAAAAAGTTTGTTATCAATGATGGTGACTATGTCATTGGGAAGGTGGTTCCATTACCGAGATGTTCTAGGGAAAAAAGAAATGACTGAAGGTGTTGGTATTTCGTGCTTAAATTCCGAATTTTAAGCGATGATCCACGTGGTGCGATAAGTAATGTGGCTGTGAAATGAAGTAATTTTAAGTCTATGTGTGAGGCAGACTTCGCTCCCCCTCTCCCTATGCGCACGCCTTTGACGAGAACGATGTTGACGTAATTCAACGTGTCTCAAGCACAGAGGCTTTCTTTGAGTATTTACCGTACTAAGTGCCTGCTGTCCTCTGTCATGACAGCTGCATTATCTTCATCGAATATTAACCGAACGATTGAGTTGTGTAACTTTTTCTCAAGGGGAAAATATCACCAATGTTTCGAAATATATAGCAAAGTCATTCCGGAACAGGGATTGCAGCCGGAGTCAACATTTTGATTCAGACTCGTATTCGTCGAGGCGACTGTTGCCTTGACGAAGACATGTCCTCCATCCAGGCGCTTCTGAGTTTTGGGCAATCCTCTTAGAGTGAGAGCAGCGATATTACAGTTCTCATTACCGCCGCGAAAGTACCATATCAACCGGCAGCGCATATACCTGTACATAACTGTCATAAGTACGATTTCAGGATGCCCTGTCTTCACCTGCTACATCTTGGCGTCTTCACATCTCACGCATGACGCGTTGCTGAATGAAACGACGGCAGCATATTTTCAGAGCCTGCATGACGCAGTTACAATAGACTTCAATGCTTCTGGCCTCCGCCAGCGTGTGTGTGTCGGAGTCCCGACGACGAAGTTCCTCGCTCTTCCCTTCCATTTCTGCCCTGGTAAATGAGTCGCTATGGCATTGAAGTCCCTGTATCTTGCTCTGAATACCTCTGAAATCATTGATTGCATTCTGGGTCAGCATTGCCAAGTAGCTGGAGAGACAGCTGGTGTCCTCAATGAATGACCTGACCTGCCAATATGGGTATTGGTCACCGACAACAAAGCATTTCGTTTTTCGCATTCGTATAACGTTAAATCTACCACCCCTGCTTTTCATTGAAAAAAAAAAAGTGGAATCTGTCGCACGCACCCTTTTTTGTTTATATTTTTTTAAAAGCGCGAAATCCTTTATCATTGCTCCTTTTGTTGGCCGACCGGAAGCAGCACCGGCACCGATTAGACAGCTTCCGCGGAAGTAAGTGAACTCACGATACAATGTACCTTTCACACAAGCGTACTTCGGCGATCCGCAAACTTTAACGGCAACCGCCACGATTCCGCCCGTCAACCGACTATAACGACTGCGCCGTGAGTCGTGCCAGTGCCTACCGGTCGTGCACGCCCACTATTGTCGCCGAAAGGCCTTTCTTTCTTTCTTCCTGCTAAGCCTAATGGTTACGGCGTGGCTGAGGTTACCACGCCCCCGTTCTTTCACTCTGCAAGAAGCCACAGAGAAAACTGTACAGCAAGGTTGTGAAATATTGCGCGGCCTCAGAATTGCCGACATCATTTACGCGCTTTCTGAATTTCACAACAGTGCATAAGAAAGCAGGGTCTAATAAAATGAAATAATCAAAAGGTGTCATACAACGCCCGAGCTGATGAAACGAACAGAGAGAGAAAATTTATTGACAGAAAGGTCGGCCTGATGCTACTCCAAACTTGTAAAGGGTGGCCGAGGAGCGACAGAGCGATGAATGACGATGGTAAGGTAAAGAGATAAGATCATTGTCTTGTTAAGATGAGATAACTCTAAAAAACCTACTTTCGATAAAGTTGAAAGGACTTAATGTGGACGAAAAATCACTCTTTCTGTCGGTGGCATCTGAACCCGCAACCTTCCAATCCGCACCTGCAACGTTTCGGCGCGAACGGTGATTTACCGTCCACGTTAATTCCTTCATACGTAATCCAATATATTTACACGACAGTTACAAGAAAACCCCTTTGCTATAGTTCGTCTATTAGTCTGTTCGTTTCATTAGCTAATTTTGTGTAGCAAAAAAACGAAACCCTCGAACGATTGCCTTTCTTTCCTACTTGCAGCGTCATGATAAGCGTATGCAGTCCTTTTCGAACGAATCTCCGTGTGAAACTCTTGTTCGTCCTGTTGTCTACACCTCTTTCACGTGCTAGCAGTGTCACCTGCTTCTCTGCCAGGCAAGGAAGGAACGTTACGGATGAATACTGTGGAGTATTTCATTGTTTTCACTTACAAAGGATCTGTGACGTCACTGGCTCTGTCAGGCGTATATTCAGACGTGGGCCCAACATGCAACACCGCGAGCGTCGGCGCCATGTGCGTCATTCATTAAAACTGGTTCGTTTTGGAGCTCATCGCCGGGACAATTAATGGAATTGGCGCCAAAAAGACGACCACAAAAGGGTCACGGAGACAGGTCGAGCACCCGTACTGTCTATTTGTATTATCTGTAGTACGTTCTGTTTCTCGCTGTCTCCTATTATTATTATTATTATTATTATTATTATTATTATTATTATTATTATTATTATTATTATTATTATTATTATTATTATTATTATTATTATTATTATTATTATTATTATTATTATTATTATTATACACGCACAAAATACCCCATAACTGACCTAGCGCGTAGAATATGAGAGACACAGGACAAGGGAAGGGACAGAGGGGAGCGCTTACTTTAAACAAAATTTTATTTCGAGAAAGCGTACATAGATATGCTCACGAAATGTGAAAAAAAACAGACAAAACAGATGAAAAGCCCTCAATTGCCATGCGCTGATCAAGAAGCTTCAGTCCTTGCAGCAAGCCCTCCCTCATGTTGAGCCAATAATGTATCAGAAGCTTGCCGTAGTGCCTTATCTACATGGCATCTCAACCAAATTAAAAAGGTTGGGCAGTGGACCAATGTAAAGGTGGTCTTTTCTGCCCCGAAAAAGCTCTCGTACTTGTGTATGAAGGTTGTTTCACTCGCAAAACCAGAATGTTCTAAAAAGCACATAACGCCGTTTGTCACGTGCGCAGAAAATGTAATCTATCAGATACATCTATCATGCGGCAAGCACTATACATAGGACAAACTGGCCGGCGTATTAATGACCGGGCTCCGTGAACACGCTTCTAACGTGAGAAATGGTCGCGATGGTTTCAAGTTGGCACTGCATCGCAGCATGTGTGGCTGCAAACCACTTTTTCATGGTAGAGTGATTTCTGTTTTTGTCTATACAGGTAGAAACAGAAATAAAGTGACAAGGTAGATTATTGAAGCAGAGAGGATTAATAGATTATGGCTGAACTGCGTTAGCACGTCTTCTCTCGGTCTTTGTGAAAAAAAAAAATTGTCCTCCCTGAGGTTGTAAGTTTTTCGCACTATGGCAATTGAGGGTATTTCATCTGTTTTTTCGTGAGCATATATGTACGCTGTTGGAAGTAACCTCTCCCCTTTGTCCCTTCTCTTGTCCTGTGTCTTTCATATTGTAGGCGCTACGCAATTAATTATGTCTTACAAACACGCCCAACTTCATGCTCTAGCCCAAGTACTACAGTATAGGTATATTTCTGCAATACAAGGACACCTCACAGGTCTTCGACGCATGGTGGTGTGGCCTTTAGTGCGCAAATAGCGGTATGCACTATGCAAAAACTCACCTGGCTTAGGGCACTTTTGTTCCCGAAAGAATGGTCCGCTGCGTAATGGTGTACCATGTTCTACTGCACGATCTAACTGCGTGGTCGTTATGATGTGGTACCATGACAGCTGAGCCATGCTCAGCAGCATTACATGCTTGCGAAAATGCTGTCAGTATAGCTTCCGCAACACTGCACCGATTTACCCAGCCGGAGCAGCTATAGCTGGTGCGCGCGCTGTTGTCATTTGTGGGCATTCACCGCACCAGCGGCAGCGATGTGGCGCAATCGTGATCTCTTTGTGTCATTGTTAGCTGCAGCCGCACTGCCTCCCGTGTGCGCTGCGCTCACCTTTCTGATCTCTCTACTTCGGCGTTGTTTGAATCAAGGGGTGCACGATTTTTCAGTTTTCCGGTGAAATATACAATTCAACGCTCTTCGGTGGCAGTATTCAGCTGTCTACAAATTACGGCAACACCGTACAGAGTTTTCCGCAGTTTGCGTAGCAGGACCTCCGACTATATGTTTACTTGACCTCCTTTTTTTCTTTGTTCCTCATAAAAGATTAGAAAAATGTTAGCATCAGGCGATGATGCTGGCTATCAGGCTTCGCAAGAGAGCAGTAATATCACTGGTAAGTGTTCATTTATAAGCAAGTGTCAAGGCACCATAGATCATAGACGCCGTTGTAGTCCTTCAGCTCACAGATACTTGATTTGAAATGTTTTTCAGCACACACTTGAAATGTTTCCTGCACTTACGGAGCTCAAGTATTAGCGTGTTCACGTGTTTGCTAATGACACCACTGTTTTTCTTCTCAATCTTGTTGCAGTTGGAGGCCCAATTCATCAACCAAGTCGTTGCCAAAGTAGAGAAACTACTCATGGTCGGGTCGGGGAATACAGGTGAGGACAGCGTTACACTTGGCGCGTTCGCCATCTTTGTGCAGATACAGGATCACTGCTGTGAGGCGAACAAGTTGAAAGTAGCATCCGAGCCACTTTGAGGTGTAACCGTGATGGCATAAGAGACTAACACTTACAAGGCCTTTTCCTTCGTACCAGACATTGTAAATCGACTTGAACTGTATGAGTCGCGGTGAAGGACGTTGACTGCAGCACTGGAAACCAGACAGAGGCCGCAGATTTCGGCCTCTGAGAATACTGGAGAAGGTTTATGAGCACCGGGGACTTGGCATTTTAATTAGTAATTATTAATTTGGTTACAGCGCGAAAAAGACAAAAGCTATAAAGGCGAAGGCGCATCTATGACGGGTCTTGTTCGCACTGTCGCAAAAATAACGTTTATGTCGAAAGTGGGCGGAAAGGAGGTGGGAGTATCGTTGGACTGGCCAGTGCAGGAACGGTCTATAACGCCGCCAACTATACCATCACATGGAAACCTCGACAGCCGGCTGTTAACCTGTCTCTTACCACGTGCCATACCACAGATGCAGCTCTGCCGGCAGGCCCTTGTCTTGGGGAGGAGGAGGAGGGGGGAATTCGTGTTGCATTGCGGCTGGGGAAAGAAGGGGTGGTGGTGGTGATTGTGTAGCTCGTGCAGGGGCACTTGCTTGTGTGGCTTGAGGGGGGGGGGGGGCAACTGCCACTTATGCACGCCCCTGCCGACGTCTATGTGCTTTGCCATGCTTCCTTTTCTCTACTTCTTTTCCTCCAGCATGCCCTTGTGCAGAAACGCAGGGGTTTGCACACTTCAGAGGTTACAGCGAACCAATCACCGTCGTTACAGAGTCGCTACAGTACGAGGTGTTCGAGCCTCACGTGGACCTGAGGCCCGCGACGCGCAAGCGCCGTCGGAAAAGGCGGCGACGGCGGCGACATCTGGAGGAAGGCAGCGGCGGCGACAGTGCAGACCTGAGCCTCGAGCTGCCCGCTTTTGGACAGACGCTGAGGCTGGATCTCGGACAGGTATTAACGTCTGCATGCACGCGCGGATCAACGCGTGTTTTAATCGAGGAAGAATTCAAGTTGCGCAAACGAAGTCACGAGTACTGACGTGTTACGCAAAATACAAAGGAAAGTGCAGACAAAGCAGTGCGCTCTGGCCTGTCATACCGTTCTTTTTTTTTAGCTTGCGCAACACGTTAATAGCTCATTATGAAGCAGGCAGTATGTATGGTGGACGCAAGTGAACTACATAACACGAACGCAGACTATTAGCCGAGAGGTCTCAATGTGGCAAATGCTGGATTTTCTTTCGCGATGAATCCCTGCCACTCAAGTCAACCAACCTTTTGTAGCTTTAAATTGTTTTCTTTAAACACGTGTGATTTAAGTTGTGTACATTCATTACAACGTAGCTCCTCTATCTTTCAGTAATGCACCTATAGCAAGAGGGGGAGGAAACGTTTATGCTGAACGCTCTACGTATGATTTCCGGTTGTCTACAACGTTCGAATAAAGACCATGTGTGGCCATTATTCACGAGACGTGTTTAAAGCCTATATAACCTGTCACCACGGCTCGAAAACGTGCCCTAAGCGAATTACACTCAAATTGCAGAACAGAACTACTCAAGACATCGAAACATAACGTGCGGACGATACAACGTACATATGATACGCTTCGACAACTCAGTGATTGATTGGTTGATATGTGGGGTTTAACGTCCCAAAACCACCATTTGATTATGAGAGACGCCGTAGTGGAGGGCTCCGGAAATTTCGACCACCTGGGGTTCTTTAACGTGCACCCGAATCTGAGCACACGGGCCTACAACATTTCCGCCTCCATCGGGAATGCAGCCAGAGCAGCCGAAACTCAATGTGCGATAGGAGTTTGAAACCAATAGTTATCATCCACGAACATGGCGTCCTAATTAGCAACGCCTCCTCGCCACGTAGACCGAGGAGCTCATCTCGAGCCAGTTTCAAGTGGTGGAAGAAGGTGCCTCAAACAACAGCTCTGGGCGGCGCCGACGCAGAGACGTCGCCTCCGGCGGGGACCTACCGGACGCCTCGTGCTTCTACCAGGGCCACGTGCGAGGGATCGCCCAGAGCAAGGCGGCGCTATCCGTTTGTTCGGGCCTGGTAAGATCCTAATGCTTAGCCCATTCACTTTCGCCAAGGTATGCTCACTAAGTACTTAGGATATGTGTTGTCAATATAAAACGGATAATCTGAAATTTGTTGTGGGACAAGTTCTTTACCGCGGTGGAATACGCTTCTACACCCACGTATTTCGTCGGCAGGAACACAAAGTAGGCGATAGCGCATGTTGCTGTACAAGAGCCACTGAACTCGCTTCTGTACATATTTGTTTAATGAACGTATGTATATGATATGGTCCTACTGTGCAAATGTAAGTGTGATGTTTGTGTTTATAGACCTAACTTCGAAGCCTTTTTTTTTCTGTTTACAGGTTTCCATAGACCAAGAATCACGATATCATCGGATTTCGCAGCTTGTTGAAATTAACGCAGCGTATAATCGTCAAAGCAGAACGATGTCTGCTTATCATGATTGTACAATCTTTTTTTTTGTTCCCACATTTGCTGTATTGTTTTCAGTAGCGACATCTAACCCTTGTATACAACGGCGAACCTCAATTTATACTTGTCAGCCAGCGTTAATGGCTGTTGCCAGCCTGACAAGTCGACGTCTGGCGTACTTGCTTAAGCAACGTCAGTGCCTGTGTTGCCAATCATCATCACATATAGCGGCAGCCAAAAAGAGAGAGAGAGAGAGAGAGAGAGAGAGAGAGAGAGAGAGAGAGAGAAAGCTCGCAACAAGGAAGAAAAAACCGTGAATGTAGAGTTGGTCAAAGAATGACCGCGAAGATTTTCAGGGCTGTGACAGGCAGAGAGGCATACGTAAAAAGGGGGCGGGGGGATTTCACCTCATTTCGGTATCAGCATGACCTGGGAACAAGCCTGATCATGGGTAAAGGCTGTAAAAAATAATAAGAAAAATTAGAGTGCTCAGACGAGCAGACAGCCGTCAGTATCGAATAATTACCAGTGCTTGTAGCAGCCCATTACATTCCAAGAAGCGCCTCAGTGATTTTGTTGCCTCGGATATGCTATTGTTCTTTGTCGGCTAAGGTGCCAGAATGTTTACTTTTGAGGACAGTCTATAGTCTAAGTCAGTGATGCTGTACGCTGGGCATATAGCTGACAGTTGAATGATGCACAGCATAGCCTAAAGTATGCCACATGGTATCGTAAAAACAAAAAAAAAAGCACGCTAGGCTGTTAGTCATTCTATTGAATAACTAATCAGCGTTCAGCTAGCTATATCAATATATAGTTCTATTTCTTCGTAGTGTACAAAAAAAACAAGTACACTGCAGTTTTCTGCAGAACATCAGGGTTCACCAGGGCACATATTGCAATATAAACCCGTGGCTTTTCCATCATCGTGCTTTAAAGTGTGGCAAAGTATTTATTTTGTTTCATACTGGCTTTCCTACTAATGAAGCCTCTTTTGTGCATACAGTGCCGTTGACTCATAGTAATGTTCCATGCACTTAGTCATTAAATTTAGCCTCATTATGACTAGGTAGAATTGAGAACATAAATTATTTCGTTATATCCGATATTTGTTGTACTGGTAGAGATAAAGATCGCTCTAACAAACCGGCAGTCTGGCTTGACCGACAACAGTGGACACAAAAACGCGTGCACTACGCAGAACGAAATTTTCTGCAGTACCCGCGCATGAGAAAGCCTTCTCTACTTAAGCGCTTTAAGTCGTCAGCAGTTTCTCTAAACAGCTTCTCAAAGCCCTGGCAATGGCCGCGACAACCTCGCTTCTTTTATGAACACATGTTGATCTAACTTTTTTTTTATGTCGCAATCACATTTTAAACAAGAGTGTGCTTTTGAATCGATTTTCAATGTATACTGAAACCACATCAAAACAAAGTTGCATCTCACACAAAAATAGGTTCGTTATATCCGAAAATTTGTTATAAAGGTATATCTTTAAAGTTACACCAATTAGGATACTATCTTTCATTTACTTCGATATAACTAATATTTCATTATAGTTGGTTTGTTATATCGTAGTTCAAGTATATTTGCTTTTTATATATCTACTTTTTATGTCCACTTTATAGTATTGAGCCAAGCGCAAACCAAAAAAGTTCTTAGTTATGGCCGATGTCGCAGCGGCTGTCACGTTTTCGGTTTTGTTACAAAAAGAAAGTCGCCGAAATTGAGAGTGACCAACTAAGGTTCATGCTTACAATTCGCTATAAACGATAGTTCCCTACATCAGTCTTCGTTATAGAAATGTCTGAGTAGCATAAATAGCAAACTACAATTCGCTCACTTTCATTTCGACCTCGCGACAGAGGGGCCTGGTGGAGCTTCCCGGCGCGACCTACTTCGTGTACCCCCTCTACGCCCTCGCCAGCAGCGGCCGCAGGGCGGGCGTCAGCGCCGGAGCCACCAATTCCACGTCGACGCCACACATCCTGGCCAGGGCGGACACACACAAACACCTGCGATGCGGCCACTGTAAGTGTCAGAACTCCGTTATGCAGTCCTTCGCTCAGAAGCTCAATAGGCACAAATAACCTTTATAGTGAAAAAAAGCGACTTTCTTTAAAGAACGCCTTTTGTTCAAATAACTTGCTCTAAGGCTCGTTTTAGTACATTCTTTATTACCTTCTGCAAGCTTTTACCGTGTTATCACTTACAAACAAGACTGTTTGTAACTAAGTTTTAATCTCTTGTACGGGCCAAGGAACGAATAGGAGAGAGGGGAAAGACAGAGGTGCTAACCATTCAGTTTCGAATAAGCGGTATATATGCTACATTATCGAGGAAATAGAAACAAAGAAACAGAGGGACAAGTTCAATAAGCATAAGGCTCCCTGGTTACTGTGAGTGGAGACCCTGTTCCAGGGCTCCACGGGCAACTGCCGCTAGCCGTGCCTGGCCATGGGTCAACAAATCGCTCCCCATGTCCAATTTGGCAAGTCGCGCCGCGATTGCTGTGGCTGGGAATCAAACACCCAGTCACGTGACTGCCGGGGTAAAAATTCAACAGCTATGCGGCTAGAGCGAGTTGAAACTACCGTAGATCCTATAGCCATCTGTGCTGCATTAGTCTCTTGTGAGTGCTTGTTTGTTTTACTTCGAAGTTCCATTTAGGTTACACTTATTTCGCCTCTCACGTTACACAGTAATCCAGAACAACCTGACCCGACGGTACGCTCGTATTAGCGCATTTACTTGCTTTTTGTTGCGTACACTATGGCCTTTATTTTTAAGATACTGTACCGTTAATTCCCGCTGAATATGTTTTTCACTAGACTTTATGGCAAGAGTGGCACCAAAAAAAAAAAGCACGGAAGGGGGTGGGGGGGGGGCAGCCGCATCTCCACGCACCACACTTCCAGATATTTTCGCGTTTCCCTGCTTTGCTGACCACCCCTCTAAGAGTTAGCATAGCCGAAACACAACGCATGAGTCTTCCGCTTCCCTGCAACACAGAATGTTTACTTCTGAGGACAGTTTACTTCGGGGGGGCACTCTCTGCACCCCAAGAGAGCCCCCGCTTTCCCCTCACTCACTTGAAAAAACTCCTGACGCCACCCCTTCTTCATGGCGGTGCAGATCCATGTGCAAATGCGTTCTCACACCTTACAAAATGTAATGTTCTAAGCAACCGATATGAGTTTACCGGCAACCAAAGAGGCGCCTTCGCGCGCGTTACCGTAAAAGACACACGGTGCATTTATTGAAGTACTCCGAGATAAATAGCGACGCTGCGTGATTACGCAGAACATCACGGCGACGGCGATTGTTAACTTGCAGCCGCTTTGTAATTGTTTCCGCGATGAGAAAAACATCAGCACTAAAATATTTTTTTTTCTCTCGGGCAACTTAGCGGATTTTTATCTGGTAGTACGATGCTTAAGATTAGTGCAAGCGTTATTTTTCTATTTGCATCATCGTTTCAGCCAATAAAATTCGCAGCACCTGTGCTGTATAATCTTATACATGCTTTCTTTTTTTCTTCTCGACATCTGTTCCTAGAGGAGCCGGTTGGTCAACAATGCCAACAACTAATATGCCAGCAGTGCATTTGAGTGATAGCGTCTACTTGAAAAGACGGTGTTCCGGAAGTAGCAGTAGTATCAAGAACGCAATGCATCTCTGCTATGAGCTCACATATAACGCATCCGTTGCTTCTTTCTCCTTTATTGCGCGGGATAGGCGAGAGAAGTTCACGGCCGGACAACGGAACACGTTCTGTCCGAGTTCCCGCCGGAGACTGGAAGTCCCGACGGAGGAGGAACAGGGCAAGGAGAAGGGTGGGGGGACCTTCGCCGTCCGCCAACAGCGGCGGCCGCAGGAGAAACCCCAGGGACGGGGGCGAGGCCCTGGTCGAGACAGCGGTGTTCGTGGACCAGGCGCTGTACCAGGCCATGTCCAGGGCATTCCCGGGCGAGGACACCGACCGGGAACTGGTCACATACGTCCTGACCATCATGAACGCGGTACGTCACGAAGGTCTGCTCGCAACCCGACCAGTCCTTATTGCGAGTGGTTCTTAAGATAGAGAAAGGAAGAGAAAAGTGAGCCCCGTTATTGTCTGCTTCAGGAGCGACACCGCCACAGAGCTCACAAGGGATGGGGGTGAGGAGGGATAAAAAGGGTAGAAGTAAAGGTATAGAAAAGAGGAAGAAGAAGCAACAACAAACTGAGGGGATAGGAGAGACAGGAAAGACGGAAGCACGGTCACTGGAGTCCGAGGACGGGGTACACTTGCGAAGAGATGTTGTCGGCGTCTGGAGATGGCGTAGAGCAGGTCCAGTAGGTCAGAGCTGCACTGTCGTCAAAAATCGTCGGCGACAGGAGGTGACGTAGGGCCAGCCCAGTCGGCCAGAGCTACGATGACGCCGAAGGTCTTATTATACAGACGTCGTATGCAGAGCCAACGCTGCGAAAATTTCTTTAGCGGGGGTGGGGGGGGGGGGGGGGTGGAGTTTAACTAGTATTGATGGATGTTCGTGTGTGTGTTTGTATGTGCGCGTGTCTGCATGCACAAGCAAAGTTGAAAGATTTGTGTGTGGAGGGAGGGGGGGGGGGGTTGAACGTTTATTCCTTTTTCTGGCTACACTAATGGTCGCACAGAACGTGCAACTAGGTCTGGCGCAGACCCCTTTCATGAAGCTTGAAATAAGTTTAAAAAATATTTATTTGTGGAATGTACTTATACATGAAACTACGCTGATATTATAAATGCTACTTCCTCACGTCAAACATTCACCTGTCCACCTTCCAGGTACAAATGCTTTTCAAGCACGAATCGTTAGGGAAGAATATCGACGTGACTGTCGTCGAGCTGGAAGTATTGAAACTCCAACCCAGGGTAAGTCGCTGCTGTCTGATGTCCATTCGGCGCTGGTGGCATGAATTGGACTTATTAATCGGGTTTGCGGCGTCGGTTATACGATACAGGACCTGAGTCCTTCGGAGAACATCGACACGTACCTGACAAATTTCTGCGTGTGGCAGCACCAAAGACGGAGGGCCGCCTCAGCCCAGGGCACGCCAAAATGGGACCACGCGCTCCTCTTATCAGGGTACGTGTCATAGTACACACGTAGATAAGATAACGTAACCCTCACGTAGACTCCTCTGACGGGAGGAGTAATGTGTTGGTACACGACAGGTTTATGCATGTCCTTTCCCAGCACGAAGATAACTATGCCAGCAATATACATACGCCGGCGATAAATCTGTTTTTATAAAGAGTCTCTCTCTCTCATGGTCAAATGTGGCTGTGACATCAAGGGCGACTTGACAGTTCAAACAGCACATTGTTCCCGCGTCGGTTGTTTTAGCACACGGTCGACATCTGTAATTCGATCCTTCGGGCCCAAACATCCCTGGAGCTCTTTAGGCAACGTTATTACAGATAACGTGCCCCATCCTTTTGGCTATAACGTTAACTTGATCTACAAACGTGTGCTTACTATTGCGCTACGATGAGTACTTCCAAGGCGTTTGGAATATTAGCTTCGCGCTTGAAGAACGTATATCGTCCTTGTATAAAAATTCATGCTACTGGGCTAGTTGGTTTAATGAAAGTTTCACGAGTTTCAAAATTATACTTATGACATAAACTGAGAAACCTAAATTGTACAGTTACTAGATGCCTCGCCTTTTTCTTTCAATTGCAAAACTACTAGTCAAAATAGATGTAGCATCGTCAGTTTAACTGTGTAAGCGGGTTTATGTGAAATTAGGAGACGTCATCTAACTGTACAGCCGTAACATTAATTAGTTTGTCTCCTACTGGTTTTCAGGATCAACATGTTCGTCGTGGATGAGAAAGGACTGCGAAAACGACACGTCGTCGGTGAGACTTTTCTTTTGTATCGGTGTAGAAACCATGCCATGTTGACATCACACGCGAAAACACACTCGAGGAACTTATCTACCAGCATTGTTGGCATTTTGGCAATGCTGACCATTGCAGCGACGGTCACACCTGTAATACTGCTGAGGCAAACATTCGTTTTAGCTGGTTTTTTCCACTGAAGTTGAACAGAGCATGGGCGAAAGAAACGGCAGTGTAAGATAACGTAGCAGTTCTGCTGCAATGACAAAGCAATGCATGCGTAGGAACACAATGGAATGTTATACGGAGTAAGGCTAGCAGCTAACTCCATTAGCAAACAATCTGGCGTAACTTTACGAAACGCTGGCGTATTTCCAGGGATGGAGCGAAGCGATTGCCGTACTGTCGCCTCAACGCCAGGCAAGCGGTGAGAGCACTGGCCCGTATGGAGCCGTCTACTGATCTCAGTTAAAAAAAAAAAAGCGAACTCACTTTTTCGATAGAAATTTCTTCACTGTCTGAGCGACACAGCTCCTGCCTCACGCCCCACCTTGGTGCACGTTCACCTGTCGCAACTGGCCGTCGCGTTTTATCTCGGCTCAATCCACGCCCGTCTGCAGCCTTCGCAAGCTTTCGCTTGCATATAGAACATTCAACGCGCGAGGCAATGTTATCAATCTGAATTTCATAGGGAACATGACGGCGACGCCGACGACAGAAATACGGCTCAGGTGTTCTTATCATTGCAATAACAATAAAGAGACAATTTGAAAGTTGTAAGGGCCGTTCCACGCGCTTCCCGCACAGTCGCAACGCAAATGCCGGGACCCGTGCCGCACGCAAGCGGGAGACAAACAAGCCAATTGGAGACGCTGCGGAGGGTGAAAGAGCGTCTCCAATTGGAGTGCGTTAGGGGTCCCGGCACAGCGTTGCGGCTGTGCGGGAAGCGCGTGGAAGGGTCGTAAGGGCAGTGCTGCGCGTACCCTTCACCTCTTCTTTGCACCTCCCATTAATAAAAGTTCATTTCCTGGTCTTTGCTTGATGCGTTCATGGGCGCAGGACTCGCTCCGGTGAGCGGAATGTGCAACTCTCTCAACAGCTGCACCATCAGCGAGGGAACCAGCTTCCAGAGCGTCTACGTTGCCAGTCACGAGATGGGACACAGGCAAGATCACAAATTCTTTACATAGGTGCTTTCGTAAGCGGGCGCAAAAGTACGGTTAGACCTATAACCTACACGTGCGAGGATGTGAGCGTTGAAAGCGACACGGCCTTCGCAGCTTGGGCATGGAGCACGACGGCTCCCAGGACGGGAATCCATGCGACGTGGACAACTACGTGATGTCTCCGACTCTGGGGGCAGGCAAGACCCGCTGGTCGTCCTGCTCTCGCCAGTACGTGACCAAGTTCCTGCGGCTGCCGGCCGCTTCGTGCGTCTTCCAGCGGGGAACCCGCGAGGTTGACGTCGACTTGCTGAAGGCGCGCAAGGCGCCTCTGCTGCCCGGGGAGATCTTCTCGGCCGACCGGCAGTGCGCGCTGCGCTTCGGGTCGGCCAGCCGCCGAACTAACCATCAACCGCTTCAGGCGAGTGTTCCTCACATCAATGTGCTCGGCTGCTGAGCCGAAGGATCAAATCCCGGCTGTGCCGGCAACTTCGATGGAGGCGTGATCATTGTGGCCCACGTGCTGCTTAGATCTAGGGCGCACGTTCAAGAATCACAGCTGGTCGAAATTTCCAGAGCCCTCCACCACGATGTCTTTCAATCATATCGTGGTGTTTGGAAGTAAAATCTTAATTATTTTAACAATTCAATGCCATGATTCACCATGATTCAAGAAACGGGTTCGAATCGACTGTAAACACGTGGGCTTCGGTTATGTAACCCTAGATTGGTGTAGATTGCGGGCAATTTCAGAACATATAGCGCGTGGAATTACGGAGAGCTGCTCTAGCTGATGCGCATTCATTCTACAAAAAGACAGAGTTATAGCAAACATGGACGCAAGACGGACGTCAGGACGCCTATATACTAACAACTCAAGGTGTGCACAGTGGCGATAAAGAAGGAAGGCGCGAAAACTTATCTGCGCATGTCCATGCAATATGCGGACCTATCAATCTGGCACACGTGGGGGTCTACGTGAAAGATAACTGTTAAGGTGTTTGATTTCATCTTTGTGCAAATAAATCGACGGTTGGTTCGCGCCTGCGTTACTATACTATTATCTATAAGCCACGCCTCAACCATCAGACACGTTTTTTCATTCAATAGTATGCTGGTGCGAAACTGCGCATTCATCGAAAATTGGCGTGCACTTACATTCTCGACAATGTAAAGACAGATTAGAAGGTGAGCATCCGGTTAGCGATCTTTTGTGTTCCAATAATCTCTGGTTAATGCAACGTTCTGTTTGTCCAACGTAATAGTGGTAAACATTTATTAAAAAAAAACGGAGGATACCAGGGAGACCAGCCTCTGTGGGTCAGCCTCTCTGCAGTACTAGGTGAAGTCCGTAGTCAGGGACCCCATTGGTCTTGGCCGCTGTCCTGGCACGCTGGACCGCAAGGTCTTTAGAAGCGACCGCAGCTGAAAGAGGCCTTATGAACTACACTTGTACAGCAATCGAATTTATTGTTGTGTTTTACGATATATATCCAGTAATTGACGCGTTGCAAGTAAATAAATAAATAAATAAATAAAGACGATGCAAATAAATAAATAAATAAATAAAGACGACGTCATCACTATCTGTTCTTTAAACGCACAGGCGTACGAAGGCGCATTGAGACCCCGATGATTCGGTCCACTGTCTCGGAGGCTACGACGCGTCTCTGAGCATGATTACCACGTACATACGTCTGCCGCGCAGGGCCGTAAATAGGACGAGTTAAGGAGGGTTCGACACCCTCCGAAAAACCTTCATGCTTCAACTTTTTGGGCGATGCTAAAGCATTTACACGGTTTCACGTCGACCACCACTTGCCAAAGTTAGCCGTTCTACGCATGAACACCTCCGTAAAAAAAATCCCTTGGTACAGCCTTGCTTCCGCGGGGTGAAAATCTGTTCGCAACAAGCGCACTCCATTACATTGTGGGCGAATGGCTATGACCGCGGCGAAATTCGTATCACCCCGAAATCCGCACGAGGTGTCATCGTATCACCGAGGTTTCACTGTATATATCATATTGTGACGTACCGGTAATGGGTTGCACGAAGCAGGCAGGAACACATGTCCGAGCAGCGTCCAAAAGAACAGCTTTATTTGAGCGAACTTGTGCTCTCGAAAAGAAAACTATGGAACCCCACAGCAACTGTCAGACCATCGAGCAGAAGCATAGCCTCGCAACTGACTGCGATCGTTCGAGGCCACACCAAAGATGGCTCGCACCCTCCTTGCCCTCGCGCATATCGGTCATCGGGCTCGAGATCTGCGCCTGCGCAGGACTGATTGCGATGGGCGCCGTCTATCTCAAAACGGCACACTGCACAAAAACGCTCCATATAGCAGTGCAGGCGCGCAGCTGCCGAAGATAAGCGGTGCGTGGCATCACGCACGGCAATAATTATACGAGCTGCCAGAGCCCGTTTTTCATACTGGCAGCGACCATTTGCAGCGCTTATCGCGCTCAGTTCCTCGCCGCACACGGCGGCGAATGCAGTACTTACGCATTGACCAGTCGATTTGTCGAAAATGTACCAATGTATGTACGTGCATGGATATTTTTCAAGGACACCGTGGCAAAGTCTGGCAGAATATTGCCTCAGCCGCAGCTTGCTCTCAGAATTCGATAAGCAAATAAACAAATGTCGTCGAAAGACGATAGTCTTGCGTGTGGAGAGAGTGAACAAGACATTTATTTGATGTTCTGCGCAAGAAAATCGGTGAATGGTATTCCGAAGGCGCTGCGTTTGAGTGCCTCGAGCGTGCAGCGGAGGTGAACGAGCGCATCAAGCCACGTCACACGTGGAACATGAGCGCCATCTGGCAGTTTTTTTTTTTTGGAAAACAAAGCGCGTGGCCGTGCGCGCCCGTCTCAGAGGTGATAAGGTGTAGAACGCGAGGCGACGGGTAGGTGGCACCACCATCTCGTCTTAGCAAAGTGTTGGAAACACTCGCCGTTCCGTGCAAGGGTTGCATGGTAATCGCAGCGTGATAAGCGCTATGGTCCTTAAAATTACTTATGCATGCGTTTTTTAGTAAGAGATGCATATGCAGAATATATGCGTGTTGTTATGGTGCCCCAGACACGCGCAATATTTGCTTTTTATTTGACAATTGCACGAGCATGAACGCTCAACCTTGAGCAACATTGGTGGTCGCTGCGGATGGAGTCGGCCGTTTCAAGTACCCGATGCCGATAAGAGTGGACAAACAGATAAATGTACAGACAGGCATACCAAAATTTTTCCGTCGAAGGTCCCAAAGAAAGACTATAGTCTTTAAAAGGATAGCGCGGAGTTCACAACATGCCAAAACCTCACGCAACACATAGAACGGTATTTACTGCAGTTCATGTTATCCTACCGATGATCTGTAGGTCCCGACGGAGCTAGTCCCGATGGAGAAGGAACAGGGCGATGCGAATGGTGGGGGGGAACTCCACCGTGCGCCAACAGTGGCAGCCGCAGGAGGAGTTCATCCTTTGCCTTTAGTTCAGTGCGGGCCGTTTCTATTCTTAGCATTCTGTACTATGCCCTCATACAATAAAGGGAATCATGACGCCCCTTCCAATCGAGGTTCCTTGTATACGTTCGATTTCTCGCCTCTTAAAGTAATGAAATCATTCATTATTGCTTCTCGCAGGACATCTGCCGAATGCTGCGGTGTGAAATGAACCGTGGCATCACGCCAGTCTCGTTCGCAGCTCACCCCGCCCTTGAAGGAACGCCCTGTGCTGAAAACATGGTACCATATACACATTTACTGTACTAAAATTCGCACTATAATAGCTTACAATTAAATCTATGCCCCCATTGCCAAAAAAATCGCAGTAAAACCTATCTCGCGACTCTGACTCGTCAAGCTACCATACACAGTGTCGTCCTTTATGAAAGGGAACACGCGAGCGCGCAACCCGCGCTCTGCGGTGTCTACCTACAGCACCATCAACCGACATGCAGCTAAAAAAAGCACGTCGGTTTTTGGCGCCATCTATTGGCGAACAAACTAACGAGTCAGCCGTTAGACAAGCGCTGCTAGATAACAACCCCCCTCCGATATGGCAACGAGTGGTGCCGCCAAAAAGGGACGGACTTTCTTCAGCTGTCAATGGATGTAGCTGTAGGGCAGCCGCTGCAGAGCGCAGGCCACGCGCTCGCGTGTTCTCTTTCATAAATGACAGTGCACATGGTGCCGTGCTTGGCACTCATTCAGTGGTGCAGGGGTGGCTACTGCGTGGCTCGCCGGGACGAGTTGGAACGGCGTCGGTCACGGGACCCTCCCGTGGACGGCGGCTGGGGACCCTGGTCGTCCTTCGGAACCTGCCGATCAGACTGCGTCGCCAGGGGAGACTACGCCTACGTCGGCGTCAAGGTGTCTCGAAGACGATGCGACAGGCCCAGGTATACCTTTAATAAGACAGCATTACGAGGGGGAAAGTAGGGAAAAAATCACAGCATATCCACGGAGTGAATGACGATTGGTGGGGCGAAGCGTTCGTCAGTCCGTCCGTGCTTTCGTCCGCCCATTCGTTCTTGCTTCCGTCCGCGCGTCCCTCCATGCGTCCGTCCGTTGTTCCGTCCGTCCGCCCCTCTGTCTGTCTGTGCGTCCGACAGTCCGTCCCTCTATCTGTATGTCCGTCCTCAAGTGAACATTCGAAGTACAGTCATCTCACATCGTTTCATCATGTATTCATCATATACAAGTGCCGCCACACAGCGGACATTCTAAGGACCGCCTTTTTGGGAATGTGCCACCGGTGGCTACATACACCATCGTAAAATGTACAGACCCACACCCTAAGGAGCTTCGCCCCTAAAATAAGTGGTTTGTGTGAAACAAGCCATTTGCGCGTGGCTGGCCTATTGCGTTCTCTCGAATAAAACTAGCGCTTTTGTTGGCTATAAAGGTAATCACAGATAATTAGGTGCGATCAGACATTTCGCTCTTATTTGCTGCTAAATCGACGGAATATTTGTTTTTTTCTCACCTGCGCTCGTGATTCACCAACCGCGACAGATTCTTCTACAAGCGTGTTCCTCCACAACCTCATTCAACTAATGGCGGAATTCGGTCCCATAATGTCCCTCCTGCCACTTTGAGAACCCTACTAACATTGTGTCCCAATACGAAAATGTCTATTCTCATAAAATGGACCGATTTTAGAAAAGCTAGCACTGGTGTACATCATCACGCGTTGTCTTCAGCAATATATTGCACTCGCAACGCGACTAGAAAGCTGTCCGTAGAATGGCCTTACAATATTTCGCGAAAAAAACGCTCGTTGGAGGTAGCTTTTCCGCAATAAGAGCCTTTGTGAGGTGAAGCCCACTTTAGGCAGGTATAGACTTACGAGCTTGCGTCAGCGGGATGTCGAGTATCACGCCAGCGCTACGTGAGCATGATTCAATGCCAAGGAAATCAGACATGCTCAAGACTGATCACGCGTACAACGTCTACTTACTGAAAGGTACGTGCGGCAAATGAGCACACATTGGGCAGATAAGCCTACCATACGAGAGTAACACGGGCATGTTAACATGAAAGCAGTATCCACGAGCTGTTGGAGGTGAAAATGAGAACCCTTTAGCATATCTACAGAGTATGAAAATGTTCGAACTAAGCTGAAGGCATGCAGTTGCAACTTCGCAAAAGGTGATCCCTAGGCTGTACTAAGCTGCGTTTGTGACGTGAGGCTGTCGGTGTACTCGATGCTGAAATGGTGTAATGAACTCACCATTTCTTTTCTTTCCCTATATGTTAATTGTCCCAAAAGAACTTTCTGTCGCGCATTTACTGCCACAGTCTTACTATCACTAATTTCATTTCAATCGTTTTGACCGGCTTCGGCGAAGCCATTCAGCGCACTTACAGGACAGCGCAGGTCAACGTAGTGCTGATTCAAGGGAACTGGGGAAGTAGACAGAATTTTGTTTTTTTTTATAGGGAGGGGTGGATGAAGGTGTGGAATTTTGTTGAAATGGTCATCTTTCTTTCTGTATGCCATAGAGAAGAAAATTTTCGGGGGGGGGGGGGGCAAGATACAGGTTTGGTGTGCCGCCCCCTGGCTATGCTACGGTGGGAACAACGGTGTATTCATTGTGAATACATTGTTTTATTTTACGCGTCTGAGCTACTGTTATTATACTTGAAAAGTGCCCATTGAAAGCGCTCGTTTCGTGTAGCACGCACAACATAATCAATAATCAGACTCTCATGTTCCTCTCACGATATAATTAAAGTAACGAACAATCGGACAATACAGGTGGTTATTGACACTTAAGTTCAGTGCTCTTGTTATGTTTTCAAGACCGCGGTCCACACATTTTACCCGTTAAGCGAAATGAAACCTGTTGTGCACGTTCACATATAGAGACAGTGCGGCATGGAACGAGCTTTGATCGATTTGATGCGACAGAACCACTCACGGAACGCTTATCGTATCGTAGTGCCCACTATTTGCTTCTTCTTTTGTATGTGGTTGCTTGTAACCCGCAGACGTCCGTTCACCTCACCGTCTATTAATCTATTAATCCACATAACGCGTTCGTATGCAGCCCAGAGAACGGAGGCCGCTTCTGCGAGGGTTCCGACAAGAGAGTGCAGATCTGTGACGCAACGCAGGTGAGCCGACCACCTTTCTTTCATTTTTCCAGTGTTTTAGGTGATCTGGTATGGTCGAGATTGCTATAACAAACGCCTCCGAGATAAAAAAACTTGCGCACACTCTAGCATGGCCTCCGAGATTAGCCGGAGGAACGGCGCGCCGCCAGCTCATCTCGCACGCCACGACTCTACCACGGCGTTTCGCGACTTTCCCGCTAGGGGGAGGACACATACGCCATAGCATCATTTAAAGACTGACTGTAGTTTGAAATGCGAATATTAAACGCGCACAGCACATCCCCATGGTCGGTTACAATCTAAGAACACATTTACGTGCTGCGCACAGAACATATTTACGTACCGCGCACAGCCGTCGCTGACCCACTCAAATATATCTTGCATAAATTCCCCGAGCAATCGCTTTAGTGTACCGCCTTTTTCGCGGCTCTTAATTCCGCGGCAGTCATTGCCGCAGCTGCGGTCGGAACGTGCGTCATTACGTCTTCGGTAGAGGCATCATTGATACTCACTGCAGCACCCTCTGTATACAGTTTCATTTTGCTGAAGGCGTTGTATTGTTGCGTAATGAATCAACGTTACCTTCAAACACAGCGTCAAATGAACATAAATTTGCGCTATCGACGCCAGGTTCAGGATAGCTATGGGGAAGCCGCGATAACAAAATTGACATGCATCCAACAGAAAGTGAACAGGGCGGCTTTGCGACGAACCTTCGCCCCTCCTTGAAACGAAACCACGAAATGCGTACCACAGAATGCAGAGCTATATTCCGGGCAGTACTTGCATATCTCTGGAGTGTTCATGTGAAAGGTCTTCTAGAACACCTTCTTGGTGCAAATCAGTTCTTTGATTAGCCTGTGTAACGCTGTCCCTCCGTACGAGCGCGCCGCCATTGTAGGGGCGATGCCAAGTAGGTCACGCCGCTGCTGCACGTTGACATCCCGCTCCACTCGCAGCGCGCACTGACTTCACTCTCTCTCGCCTGCCGCACACTTGCCGCAGCTGCCGCCTCGTCCATTCACCCGCAACACCTGCCGCTACCGCCACTCGCTATATACACCGCCGACTCGCCGGTTCACGCGCAATAAACTTGACGCACACCTAACGTACGTCTTGAAACATGTTTGTACGTGTCACCTAGGGGCGGGGGGGGGGGGGGGGGGGTATTTTATCTGAACACTTTAAAGAGCCCCTAAATCACTCCAAGCTCAAAGACGGAAGAGTAGGTCATTTTCGACTTCAATACCCTTCCTAAAGACGCCATCTCCTCTTCGCGTCTTCTTGCTTCATAAAACACGTGGACAATGTCAGCACTACACGTCCAGCCTATCAGAATTTGACACTTTTTGGCTACAGGCTGTTATCATCGCTTGCGCAGTCGAAAACGCACAAAGTGCAATCGGATGATCGCGGATGAGTTATGCGAGACAAAGCTTGGCGAAAGAAGCTAGAAGGCAATTCACGAGGATATATATATATATATATATATATATATATATATATATATATATATATATATATATATATATATATATATTATCCAATCGAGAACTTAGTTCCTCGCTAAGTCACATGAACAGACTGCTGGCGTCACGAATAGAGCCGAAAAGACGTGAGACGCTGAGAATAACGCGCTCGTTCTTTGTATTTTTGGCGGTTGTTTAGGGGCCCATACAGCCAGTGACGATCATTTAACTGAATACCGTCATTTGTTCCAATCACTCCAAACAGTTGTGCACGACGTCGAAGAACCAGCGGTTGTTGGACGAGTTCGTTCTCGGCATCTGCCGCCAGGCGGCGGCGCGAGACAAGAGCATCGAGCCGTACGGCACGCAGTTCCCCAGCAGAGACTGTGAGTGCACGCTCTTTCCCTGGAAGCCTTACGAGTGAAGCGTTCGCGACGTCGCGTGAATGTGCCAGATTAACGGAAGAACAAGGTATAATGAACAGAGATGATGATGAACAACAATGGTCCACCTGTATGCAGTTCGTGGATGAAATAAACTCACGTGCACTGTATGCACTTCTCTTTTCGGGACTGATCAGTACTTGTCGAATGTACCTTGAAACTTCCTTTTTTGTTCTGTATCTGTGTCTATATTTGTCGAAGTCTGTATATGCTACGTTTCTTACATTATTTTTTGTTATTACTAATATGTAAGAAGCAGTAGCCGTCTCCATATGCATTTTTTTAAATTCATAGCTAAAACTGCTATTTGGACGAGTTGCAAAAAGACGGAACACTTAAGAGAAGACACATACACCACTGTGTGTGTGTGTCTCTTCTTAAGTGTTCCGCCTTTTTGCGCTGGCAAATGTTTTATTCTCATTTCCAATGAAGAAAGAAGGTAGGAGCTTTCTGCTTTTACACTGGAGTTCCATTATGTGGTCTCGCGACATATTGCTTGCTCTTTTTTTTTTCGGTGCTTTCCCCGAGCTCAAAGGACATGCTTAACCTGTCGCATCAGTGCTTGTCAGCTAATCAGGTTGTAGAGAGCAGTGATACCCGTACGAGTTCATCCGGAGGTCGCGTATATTTATACCCCCTTCGTGCGCCTAACTGAACGCGGCCGCCGACCTGACACGCAGACACGCACTCGTGCTACGTGTGGTGCCGCAAACGTGGAGGCGGATACATGACCCACGGCTGGCGCATCCCCGACGGCACGCCCTGCTGGAGCCTGAGCCAGAGAAGGCAGGCCAGGAACACCAACCGCTACTGCGTCGACGGAGAGTGCCAGGTATGTGCTGCACTAAATTCCGATTGGGTTCTTCCTGAAAGACATCAAAGGCATTTTCACTTTCTTTAAGCCATGACTGAACTTTTACTTTAATCTCTTTCTCAGCATCATAGTCCCTTGTGCGTGGGCGTGCCCATGGGAAGCAATGTCTCCCCCTTCACCTTGCACGATTGCACATCTATGACGCGCAATGATGGCATCCTCGTTGCCACGCGGGTTACAGGCATGCGTATTTGCAGGCGTTCGACTGCTACGGCCGCAGCACGGAGGACGACTCGTCCGAGGCGTCGTGTCCCGTCCGCCAGTCGCCCCTGATGGCGGCATCCGCATCGGCGAGCCCCCGCGGTGTTGTCCCCTCCGGTTGGGGACCGTGGCACGCAGTCAGCGAGTGCCGACACTCCTGCCTCGCAGGCGGCTCGGGATTCCAGCTCGTCGCTCGAGAGTGCAACGCCATGTGAGTAGTCACTATCCAAGCATCATTTTGTCATCGCATGCAGTTGTTCTCCAGGCTTCAGTCCCGGGGAAGCAGTGTAGGGCGCTAAGAATTTCACCATTTTGTAAGCGCCGATTGGTTCACTGATAGCTGCTATGCACGGTAGTATGCAAAATTATTTTTTGAGAAGGAGGTAAGGGCAATTCGTTGGTCAGAAGTGGGGGCAGGCAAATGGTCATTTTGCGTTATGTATGAATGGCTAAAAAAGTTTTCAGGGGTTGGGGGGCGCGGGCCCGGAATGCCACACTCTGGCTATACGCCGCTGCTGCTACGCCCTCTGTGTGTTGGGTCATAAGGCCAATATGGTGCAACAGAGCAACTTACGATAGTAGAAGGTCTCTCGGTAGGGCTGATAAGTCGGCCCGGCGGAGTCAATCAAATAATATTGACGCTAATACTGCCATACTTCGTGGTCGAAGGGGACATAAGAACAGTAGCACGGATGATTGGGCTAGATGGTATTGGTTCATCTTTTACCTGAATAAGGGCGCACACTCAGACAAGTACACTAGAACAGGAACAGGCGCTCTAGGTCTGTCCAATTTCCTGTTCTAGTGTCCTTGTCTGAGTGCGCGCCCTTATTCAGGTAAAAGGACATAAGCCTGGAACAATAACAGGAGCACTGCTTGGTCTTACCGTATGGGGCGTAGCAAACGAAATATATATTAGCGTAAGCAGCGACGAAGAGACGAAGATATCTGTAAAAGCAACAATAAGATGGACATATAGGCCGCAATAATACCCGAGGTTTTACGTGCCAAACGCACTATGATTATGAGACACGCCGTTAGAGGAAGGCTCCAGAAATCCCAATCATTTGTTGTTCTTTAAAAAAGGCCCTGCACTTTTCGAAGTAACCATCGAATGGCTTCTGCGAACAAGTTTACTGCCTCGCGAATCGACCACCGCAAAAATCTTCAGAATCCGTCAAGTACATGCGGAGTTAGCGAGATTTGTCGCACACTGTAATCGCTTTCGCTCTTCTACTGCCCTGACGAGAGCGCTGTGAGCTTAGCAAGGAGGGGACAAAAAAGTTACGTCACGCGTAGATCATGGCCTTGAGCACTGAATCCTCAAACGCGTGGCTTACTTTCAGTGTGAGCGCGAGCGGACACGTGGCGGCTTCTTGCGGCGGCTTTCCTAATTATGCAGCGCACAATGTACAAATTAGTCAATGGCAGTGAATTGGGGTATGTGGCACGGTCGTCTGGGCCGACACCTCCTCTACAAGGATGACTGCAGTGGCGTATGCTTTCCCGGTGAGATGGAAGGTTGCTCATGGTTTAATGTTTTATGCGCGAGAAGCGTTCGCAGCTGACACTACCACTTCCGTTGGATTTATAAATACCGCCATCACAGAAAACACGGCCACTTCGGCAAGCGCTGCCACCAGGACGTCAATAGACATTGCTTTAACGTCGCAGGCTGAAATGTTTAAAGTGGCCATCGCAGCGGGCGCTTACAGCCGACACTGTTTGGTGGAGCGAAGGAGAGAACAAGAGAGGGCTGGGAAACAGCTTTTCCGCTTATGTTGCAGGCATTTAGTCTAGAAGGCACTGTTTGGGCATATTACATCTTTTATAGAAAGAAAAAACAATATTTGGCTTACTTCGAAAATCATTTGGAAATTACAGGCCGCGTTCTTACCTACCTTTGGTTTACACAATTTCTGTCAAGCCCCCCTTATTCAATACCCATGTGGCCATGTAAGGTATTTTCAAATAAACAAATAAATAACATCTGGCTTGCATGCTTTCAGTAGGCCCGACCACCAATTGGCAGCATTTTATGGCCATACTTAAAAAGTGTTGCAGGACCCTTTTAATGCACACTGACATTGCACAGCACTCGGACACCTGGTATTTTGCCTCCATCAAAATTCGACCGCCACGGCCGGTACCGGACATGCAACCTTTGGATCAGCAGCCAAGCACCGTGGTCATTATTCCATTGAGACGAAGTATTAATAATTATTAGTAAAGAATAAATGCTGAAATGGAACTAGCGACTATGTCAGGTAACATGCATGCATAATGCAAAATAAATCACCTTCAATGTGGTAACACTCCTGTAAGTTCATAAATGATTGAACAATAAAACACAGCAAAGCAAGCTCGTACAGAAAACGCACAGGGCAAAATATTTACAAAGTCGATTCGCGGGTAAGCAGTAATCATTGAACGTGCTCCCCAGTCGGTGGTTAACATGGCACTCGGTGATCCGACGCCATCTTGACACTGTTGTTGATGTCCCGTTTCAGATCGCGGTGCTCCGGGAAGAAGGAAACGTACAAGCTCTGCGATTCCACACGGAAGGTGAGCTCAATAGCCAGTGATTACGTATTCTCTATATTCATGACAAAATTTGTATGTGCACACCTTTAAGACATCAAAATGAAGCTTTGTTGGTACTACATACTTTTATACAGATTGCAGGCTGAAAACAAATGTCTCAAAACAAAGTTTTGAAGCAAAAGACGCGGTCATGGGCGTGACTCGAACGTAGACTTGGAATTCTGCAAGGTGACATGTGATGACAGGTGGAAAATGCGCTTCCGATGCACTGACCTTTCAGACTCCACTTTAGACTTTATTTATTGAACGTAACAGTTCAGTTCACGTGCGTCTTTGCCGACACCCCATTATCCTGCAAAAAGACCACACACCTCTTCCTTGCAGTGTCGGGGTATGGTTACACCAGACCAGTATGCAACCAAGGTGTGCGAGAAATACCGAAGGAAATACTCCAGCCTACTCAGTGGACGAGGAAGGCAGCTACCACTGCAGACGGGTGAGGCACACGTGTATTTTGAAAGCAATTAAAGAAACATGAAGCACGTGGCATTGACAACAGAATAATCGAAAGCAAGCTGCTCGATAAGTGGGCATCAGAGACGCCTGCAGTCTTTCAAAGAAAAAGCATAATGACTGCGACGACACCCATGCAGCTGCTCTAAAATGGTGCACGCCCAAATGTGTGGTTGCAGGAAATCCACATGTATCGTGTGTGGTGGCGTGCCAGGACCGCGTGTGGAAGGACACTCACTACCAGATGGACGTGTTCGAAGAAGGACGCTTCCCATTCGGCACCGATTGCAGTGGAGGACGAGGAAGGGCCTTCTGCGTTTCTGGACGATGCCAGGTATATGCAGTTCTCATACATGCATACACCCATACGCACAGTCACCATTCTAGCTGTAACCATGACCACACGGTTAGTATCAACAGCATAACATGCCCTGTTTTTCCTTCTCTGTCTCTTTTTAATCCAGAAATTCACAAGTGAAGGAACTCCTCTCGATGAAGGTGAGTTTTTGGCACAGCACTCCAATCCCAAGAATACAATAGAGCAAAAAATGAAAATGGCAATTGATGAAATAGCACATGCTTTTATGTTATGTAATTTTCTGGTGTATTGTAATTCCTATGACAAAATTCAGTGTCTCGCTGATCGTGCAGAAAGTGTGACACCCCGGGCCCTGCAAAGAAAGCGTCGACGCCGAAGAATCAAGCGCCACGTGCCTACGTTCCGCAACCTAACGACAAATGTCACTGTCGAAGAAGGCGATGTCCGATGGACAGCTGAACGCCAGGCGCGGCTGACGCTCCCCAACACGAATCAAACTTTGGAGGCTTGGCATTCATGGAATGTTCACATGTCCGACTGCTCACTGCCCTGTGGTGGAGGTATGCATACACGATGCAGGCAGTTTACTGTTCCTCAATGTTGCTTGTGGCTTGTGCTTCAGAAAAGTCAGTAAAGAAAATCCTTCAAAACACCACACAATCAAGCGATTGACATAACGCCACATCGAGGAGAAAAAATGACTGGCACTCAATAAAATTAAATTTTATGTTTCGAGGTGTAGACAGGTCCTCTGCGGTTTCCCTGAACAAAACTGTCAGAATTTTGTGTAAGCTAAGCCTGTCATAAAAAGTCTACTGCGAACGAAACTGGCATATCATCATCTGTGAACATCGGTATTTTCTTGAAACCCATATTTTCCACAACTGTAATTAGATATTACTATTTGTTCACTCTGTTCTTTGAGAATTCTGCAATACTGATGTCTATGTTGTGGTGTCAGACTTTGCTGATTTACTATGTAAGCTTCATAGTTTACAGTTGCAAGGTTAGATGTAAACTCTGATTTAACACTTCTTCATTTTGCGATTTCCATTTGTGTTTCTCTGCATAACATCCTGGAGGATTGATTTTAAGAAGTGCTCTCTGCCAATGCAATTTGCTTTTGAGATATAGAAAATACATGAAAATAAACAGCTGGAAGAGGGGAGGGGACCTATATTGTTCAATTCCCTTCCCTATCGGCTATGCAAATGTTCTTATAATCCTTATATGCATATGAGGTACAATACTCACAGATTGAAATGGGACAATTTAGCACTAACATACTTTCATTCTCACCATCTTCATTAGGGAAATAGCAGCGTAATTTCGATTCGAATGTGTAAATCAGAGCCGTCATCTTAAGACTACGTTTGTTGCAGCATCAAGTGGTCATCCCAAGGAATTGCACATACCAATCGTTATGCTAAAAAAACGATATCGCATTTGAATCCATGAATGCTGTACATGATAAACATGAGATGATATTGCATGAATGTAATTCAGGAAAGTATATCCTGTTTTTGTAATGTGTATAATGTGTTAAAATATGCATTTAAGGTGATGCATTCCAGGGTTTGGCTTTCTCATATTTTAACAGCATGGTGCGCATCCCTTTTAAACAGGCACACACAACGTGACTGTCCAGTGCGGTGTGTCAAGGAAGTACCCGAATGGCAGTTGCGATCAGGGCCAGAGACTCCCACTCAAGACGGGCCCCCTCGCTTGTAACACTGAGCCCTGCACTGGAAGGTTGGTTAATGGAGCTTGCCTTTCTCCATCACCATTCACATTTGGCTGTCTTCAATGTTTTGTGCAGCTAAAAGCACTCAGATTTTGTCCACAGATTTACTTCACTTACAGCAGACAATTGTTCATGAGACATAGTTCAAAACAAAGCTCACATGAGCAATCTAGTGTAACACCTACAGAAATTACTGTCAATATGCGTAATTAATGTAATTTACTGATGGCGTTCAACATCCAGAAGAAACACCTGGACTGTAAAAGACGTGGAAGTGGGATACTCTACATTTTGGTAACTTTCTTCATCCAAACGTCAACATATGTGCACTTCTGCACTTTGCCCTATACAAAATATGGCTGCCAATGCTGGTAATTCGGCCAGTGAACTAAATACACAAAGCAAAAACCAATATGATGACACACACTTAAATGTTTTGGACAAAAGAAATAATTATGTTCGTCCTTTTTTTTTCTAATGTTCACTGTCTCGCATGTTTTCTAGGACGAACCTTTTTATCATTATGCACTAGAGTGCAACAATTAGGGTACAGAGTTAAAAAGAGTGCACACGGGCATTGTTGCAGCTTGTGAGCAATGCTAAGAAATCAATATGGGTTGCGAAGAAAATAAGGTGTGACATCTCATCGTTTATGCAAAAAGTCACATTTCTACAACTGAAAACTCTTTGAAGGTTGTGCGCTCAAATCTCACCGACACAAAGGTAATCTTTCGTCCACTTTAATTCATTCCAACTGTGGGTACAATTAGTACTGCACTACAGTTAAAAACAAGTAAATGTCTGTCTGCTATGTTTTCCTTGGCTTAATTCTGCATGATTAATTTATTAGTAACTGAAACCTCTAAATGCTCATGTTTGTCTGATGAAATTAACACAAACAAGAGTGACTGCACAATTCATACTTTCTGCAGGTGGCACACAGAACCATGGGGCGCCTGCGTACGCGGCACCCTACAGAGCCGCCTAGTAGTGTGCGTGGAGCCTCTGGCGCCATCATCTTTGTTCTCGCTAGTCCCCAACGGCCGCTGCCCACCTCCCCGCCCGACGCGACTCAGGAAGTGCGCACTCCCGTCGGCAGAAAAAACCGCATCAATGCCTCAAGCAACTGTCGCTTTGTCGTCACGGCTACTGTCCGGCTTTTCGTGACGTCTGCTAGACATCTTTTGTTGTACAGGTGCGAACAAGGTTGTTTGTGAAGCATTGTGTCCAGAGTCATTCTGTCATATTAAGTGATGGTGCTTTCTTTTGCACATTACTTTGACCACATTACTCAGTCCTCATTACAAAAAGTCACACCTGCCACGAAAATAATTTGTTATATCCGAAAACTCGTTATAAACATATATCTGTAGCACTGTATCTATTACAGCGCAATTTTAACTTCATTATAACCAATAATTCGTTATACCCAGGTTTGTTATATGGAGGTATGAGAGTATATTACCCATTTGTGCATTGGTAAAACACTGATTTTCAAGCTACCAGGTGTTTATCAGTGTACGCTTCCTGGTGTTCATTTCAGTTCCTACTCATGCACTTTCTGTAACATGTAAACGAATGAACAAAAATTCAGACTTTTTACCACGAATATGTGTACTGGAGTTCTGAGTAAAACAGTATCCTTTCATCACAAGCAGAACACAGCATGTCCATGTTTGCAGTTACAGTAAACAATTTAACATCCCTCTGAGTGACAAAAGTGTTTTCGAAATCAATCCACATTTTTCACTTATGTAGCATTAACAAATACAACTTCTATAAAGGTCTACTAAAAGACTGCAGTTTTAAAAACATAAACTCAGAGGATGCAAAAAAAAATGAGAGAAAGCGTTGAATAGCAACTGCACATTTCACAGTTTTAGTGGATTTGATTGTATTGTTATCGTACATGTTTGTGCTAACGAAAGTACCGAATTTTTAAAGGGCCAGTAAACAACATTGGGGTCCAAAAATTTTAACGAAGAGAAACATGTGCACTTTTGCTATGACATACTGCCGCAAGAATTTTGCGCATACGTGCTATAATAAGGAAGCTGCAGAGTTTAGAACTTCCGTTTCAGCCGGTTTCAAATTTTTGCAAGGGCGCTCGCCTCCCCTCTCCGCAAAGAAGTAGCGCATTGTCGTGACTCTGCCCACTTCGGCAACACGACACGACGTCCGTGATATGACACCAGTTCGCAACCAACGACCAAGCAGGGCTTCCTCTGGCGCGAACAGGAAGTGCGAGCGAAGAGCACCTTTCTCTTCGCGGTAAAGTAGTGAGACGGCTCTTTATCTAGGAGGCTTTCGTCCTGGCAGTACTGCTTCTCTCAGAGTCTCGAGCACTACAGAACTGCAGAGGACGGCACAGGAAAATGAAAATGTGGACTGCGCGGCTGAAACTGCATCCCTGCAGGGCCAAGGCGCCGTTTCGTAGGGCAAATAACCAATCGATGAGCTCAGTGGTGTGTAACGTTGTTCATGGTCAAGCTTTCATTAGACCGCACGTACAAGGGGAATTGGTTAGGCGAGAGAAACAAGCGTGGGATTGTTTTTCGAAATGGACGGTCTGCACAACAGGCAAAAGTGATTATCGCAGTCTACTGTACGAATCGGCGAGCTCGTTTGGAGGGTTTAAAAAAAGTCGGACCCTGTTTCCAGCATTCAAGACGTGCGAGATGAATGTAAGACAAAAGCAGCAAGCAGCACCTAAACAATCGTGTGATTTCAGCCTATACATACCCACTTGGGATGCTTTTCAAAGCAACTGTTTTCTTTGCCTATGAAGCACAACACTACTCGTGTTTCCTAAAACATTAGATGCCGATAGAGAGAGAACCGAGTTTATTTTTTGGTAATTTCCAACTAATGCACCGGAGACAAGTTTGTAGAAAGATAGAACAGGTGACGTAAAACATCCAGGTTAGTAAGAGCGAACTAATTAGTTAACAAGAGTGGTTAAACCATGCTTCATATACGTGATGAAACGCACCTGATAACGCAACGTTGCAGGTGAATGGAGGCAGGGCTGGTCTGTTGTGGACACCTCAGTGATTTTCCAAATTTATACAATTACAGCAGACCCTCGATAAACGGAAATATTTTAAATGGGACTGCTGTTAAGGTGGAACAAATGCATGCAACGTGACTGGTTTTGCACTTGATTTCTGCACCTTCGTTCGTTTCTCAGTAAACAGAGTTCCTGTTACATGGAACATCCTTTCCTTATCCCTTCAAGTTCCATTTAACGGGAGTATGTTGTGTTATGATTGGTTTATTAATGTTTTAAGAACAGACACCCACTTCAACATATTCATGCAGCTTTCATGCCTTTCTCGCAGGAATACCAGCTGCGGTATTTTAGCAAACAGTGCACGCCCTGGGCTGCTGTGCAGCCCGCCACCAAGTGGCCTCCTCCAGAAGACGTCTGCTCGCCGCTGCCGTTTGCAAAGCCTCGCCACGGACGTTCATTTCGCCTGCACGTTATAACTTATTTGTTATGCATTGTCTTAGCGCTGTCACTTAAAATACATTGCCATGTTCGAGGTTGCTCCTGTTCAGGAGCGCCAGAATTAATTCTGCATACGTCAATAGACTGATTGTCTGCCCAACGGCAATGTGGCATTGCAGTCTCCCAAAGATAGCGCAAGTGCGCCCGGTGACTCAATCTGCTGCTTTCGGTATGTGCTATTCGTAGCGCTGATGCAAAACCTTCTGAGAAGCTGCATAGCCTACAATGTAGAAAATTATGTATGTGCAGAAAACATTGCGCTTGGGGACTGTGAGATCTGCAGTCACTCATTCGCACTTCCGGTTCAGCAGAATAAAATGGTACCAATGCGCCAAGTCGTACAGTGGCAATGCATGTTGATACCAAAGTTTGAATATTGTTTGTTAGCTTGTTTTTTCCATGCCAAAAATTGGTCGGCATACACAACACTAATCATCAACGTGCAATGATTGCCGTTATCGAAGCAATCTTAGCTTTATCTGGTTCTGTCGTTTTTTGACACATATCTAACACGTCTGAAGTTCATTTTTCAGTTTCTGTAATTATGCACGAACAATTCGCACCTATAAATGCAGCATTTGAAAAAGTGCATACCATTGCGTTGCTGAGGGGCTTGCATCATGCAGTAAAGCTTGTGCATAGCTGCTCCTTCAACTTGCATTTGCGATCAAACATTTTTGTGTAAGTCAAATTTTAAGAAATATATACCACTACGTAACCGTGAGCATCACGTTTCCACTAAAGTTACCAAACCATCAAATAGTGCTTTGCACAGATTCACATTGCTACTTTCTTGAAGGAACAGCTCGCCTAAACATTACATAACTCGTCGGTGGACCTGGATATTAAGTCGCATGAAAAAAAAAATTCTGTTCACTTATTCATTAGGGTATGATGTACAGACAGGGCACGTGTAACTGTACACACACCTAGACACAAAATGCCGTAGTACATGATACAGTCAAATCTCGATAACTCAAACTCGAAGGGGCCTGAAAATTTGTTCGAATTAAAAGTTTGAATTAATGAAAGCTAAATGAATGAAGAGTTCACCATGCAGTGGCGCATGTGCGTTGAGCTAACACATGAGAGGGAAGCTTCAGAAGACTTACATTTATTCACAAATCACAGGACGTTCATTAATAATTAAATTAATCGGTGATGCGCGTCTGTACACGTTTGCCTTGCAGCAAACCCATCAATTTTGCATGCAGTTTGCAATGCATTTAAACTTCGGCTTCAGCATTCTCCTTACAAGAGAAGTAGCGCGTGGCTAAGTCCAGCACCAACGCTCTCTAAAGACGAAGGTAACGACTGTGTCTCCGCTGCTACCCTCTGCTTCACAGCTGGAGCGCGGCCAGCACATGACGAGAAAGGAGGAGCGTCTCCACGCGGGGGGAGGAGCAGATCGGCATTTGAGAGAGAACCAACACTCCACGGCAGCTTTTTTTTTTTCTGCTCTCTTCGCGTGCAGCGCTAAAAGGACAAGGGTCTCTATGTTACGTGGCAGGGACGAGAAAGGGGAAGCAAGGCATCGGCGCGTCGCAGATCAGCGGGCCAACACTCCATGACAGCTTTCTTTCTTTTTTTTGCCCCTCTCTCTTCGCGCGCTGCGTTGAAAGGAGAAGGGTCTCTACATGGCAGGGACGGAAAAGAGAGAAGCATGACACAGGCTCGTCACAGATTGGCATTTGAGGGAGAGCAAACATTCCGCCGCAGCCTTTTTTTTTTTCCTTTTCTTCTTTTCCTTCTTCGCGGGCAGGGTTGAGGTGTCGGAGGTGCCACCGCTAGATTGGGCATGGTACTGAAAGCATTTCCCGAGTGCGGTATGTTCAAATTAACCGTCCCAAGTGCTTGCGCGTTCGAATTACAGGGCGTTTTTGCCCATTGGAATACACATAGCTTTGACAGGACCACAGCGCGAGTTCAAATTAACCGGAAGTTTAAATTAAGCGTGTTCGAATGATTGAGATTTGACTGTATAAGGTGTTTTTAATAGCAGCTACAGCCTGCCTTCAACATGGTTATTTGCAGAGGTATTTTATAATCTTTTTTTTCTGCATGCTTAGTAATCAATACAGGTTGTTTCTTGATATATTAACACCACGATCACTCTATAATCCTAACCATGTTATGTTGAAAAAGCTCCTACAAAAAGAAACAACAAAGAAGTGTGGCAATCTCTTCAATTAAAATATCACAAATACATTAGACTCTCATTAAACAGAACCTGAGAGGACCAGGAAATTATGTTCTGTTTACCAAAAGTACCATTACTGAGAAATGAACTAAGGTGCTAAATTCAAGTACAAAACCAAACTTATTTGAGGCAGTTGTCCCATTTAAGGAGTAGTTTTAAGAGATTTTTGTTTACTGATAGAGTATTGTAACAGCACATCTACAGTAAGCAGCATTGTGATATAAATTGCATGTGTGTTACAGGCCTGAATAGTTTACAGACTATTGGGTAGCTGTGTAGTGATGGGCCACATTTTGCAGGTGCTAAAAACACAGATAATTCTTGTTATAATAGAAGTACCTTTTTTATGGTGCAGTTAATGTTATTCTCCATTGAGCACCAAAAGTTAATGGGCCACAGGACCCCGGAAACCTTCCCTGTTCTTTGCACCTACAGTCACATAGTCGTTGGAACTTCTATGCTTATTCGGATACCATGGCCCACAAACTTTCGACACCCTGAGTGACCACCAAAACTAAGACGTACAACAGCTACTGCTTTCAATTACCGAAGGTGTCGACGGTCTAAAATGGCAACTGTGTTCTGTGTTATACATGCAAGCCTCTAAAAAAATGGGTGTGACTAGGCGCAAACCTCCGTAGTGGCTATAACGGGCCTCTGGCCTGGTGTTCACCTGTTTCATGTGCAGAGGGCATCAAAAAACAAATCATTTCTTTCTTTTTTTTTATTACTTTGCCATAAAATTCATGAACACAGTGAAGCAAACACTTTCAAGACAGAAATGTGTGTGTATATATATATATGTACAATGAGTCTCAATAAAAAAATGAAAGCCTAAACCGGTCAAATATGAACACATTGTTCTCATTATAGGTAAACTTAAATGTAAGCCAAATCAGGACTAAATGCAGTGTCTTAGGGCACATTACAGAGTACTGAGCGTCAAAGCTTGAAGCTGGAATACCACTGCTTTAGGTCAAAGTGGACGAAGCAACACAATCTAACGTGTAAATGGCTTGGTCTTCTTGTTAGCACTGTTTCCAAGCACCCGCAGCTAAGTCAGTCAGTACCCGCAGTTCGGTTAATGTAGACCGCAGAAGTTTTGTAAATGAACTAGTGTTCCTGAAGCAATGCAAATCTAACTGCGGCAGTGCTTTTCACTTCTTGCAGTTGATTTCCTTAAGTAGTCCACCTAGTGGTCCCAAACAAAGCTGAACAATGTGAAACGCAGACAGTGAAGGACAGACACCACTACAAACAAAAGATGAGCAATAAAATAACCTGGCCGACTTAAAATTTGGCATTTCGGCATGACTGCCTACATTCTATGTAAATGAGAGGACCATGACACAAGTAACTTGTTCACTGAAATTAAAATACTATCTGCACACCATACGACATCATTTGGTTGTGCCAGAGATCACAGGGAATACTGTTCAATCACAGTAATCATACTGCTGCTTGTGTGCATAAATAATACAACATTCCACAAGGCACACATTTGACCATACAGCTGAATGTGCTCCGTAAAGTAGACATGCGACAAGAGCTCACGTTTTACACAAGAAGCTACTCTGAAAGATAACTCTTACCTTGGGCTATTCAAATGCAACGCTTTTGTGTCTGCAATGACTTTGAATAAATGTTCGCAATGAACAAAATAAAAGCTAGGCTTGTACTACTCCCATGCGTTACTTCCTTGCAGGAGCGCCAACCCCACGGCGCTTCAGGGCTCTTGCAACGGTTGGCGCATTAAGTTTCCTTTTGCCCTGAAACAGCAACAATTTTTTTTTCGTTTATAATGAAATTTCACACTTACAGAACTATGCACACAGCAGGCATGCTAATTTTGAATGCAGTAGTGCTATATTCACAAGCACCTACAGAAAAAATTGGCAAGTCAGGTGCAGACTATGCAGACACAAAGCTTGAACAAACATGACGAAAAACGTAGATAGGCAACAATAAAGCTATGCTTTGGCACATGAAATACAGAGGAATATGCTTAACGGCAGGAACATCAAAGCAGAGAAAAGCAAGAAAGCAGCTATCCCAATAGAAAACAGCTGCTGTAACTAACAGAAATGAAATATCAATACAAGGTAAATACAAATGCTCATACTACTGTGATTAAAATATAATACATATACCGTATTCACTCGATTCTACCGCGCCCTCGATTGTAACGCGCACCCGATTTCCACCGCGAAAAAAAAAAAAAACGTAAGACACCGATTGCAACGTGCACCCATTTTTCTCGCTGGCCCGCACAATCACACCACTCGAAAAAACGACTCCTTTCGGGAGCGTCTTCTATTTAAATATAAGGTACGGGCGAAGCTTGTGCCCATCTGACGTGTAACAGAGCATTGCCGTCACTGTAGTTTTACCGTGGGCCGATGTCAGCACGCGAACTTGCTTCGCCCCCTTCTTCTCGACGGTTGTGGTGCCAGGCATGTCGAAGTAAAGAGGCGTCTGATCGGCATTCCCGATTTGCCCAAGCAGGTAGCCGTTGTTGCGCCGCAAGTTTAGGACGAACCTCTGAAAACTGTGAAGCTTTTCATTGTACTCCTTCGCAAAACTTTTTGCATATGCATGTTCCCCTTCGGAGGGAAAAGTCTTTCCTCTTCATAAAGTTAGTTAGCCAGCACCTGCTCGCTTTAAACTGGCTTCGCATTAGACCGTTTTCTAAGACTAATTGCATAGCCCGCACTTGGAGCAGTTCTGTCGTCACGGGCCGCTGTGCCAATCGCTGCTCAAGCACATACTCGCCGAGCAGCTCTTTAATTTGCGGAAATCGACCCTGCTGTGGTCCATTGAAGCCTTTGCGTGAAGCTTTGCTGTCGACAATCTTCTGCTTTTGTTTCCGCCGGTCCCGCACGCACGTTTCGGGAACTCCGAACAACCGCGATGCGGCCCGATTTCCGTCTCTTTCTGCACACGTGATGACTTTTCTTTTAAAAGCGGCATCGTGGTGCACTCAAGTTTTTGGAGTCGGCCCTTCCACGCCGTCGATGCTAATGCACTACTAGATGACGAACTCCTCAGCACACGTACGAAGTGCCGCACATGGGAAACACATAGGCAGAAATGGCCGACACGCCATGCCGACGCACATAGGGGGCGGCCATTTTGGATTTGCCGATGGCAATAGATTGACCGTAATTGTTTGTTCGTACTCGATTCTAACGTGCATGCGATTAATGAACTCGCTTAACCGGAAAAAAGGTGTGCGTTAGATTCGAGTAATTACGGTACATCTTAGGTAGCAGAAACTTATATCACACATTTAGTGCACACAAAAAGATTACACTTAACAGTTATGAACACCAGAAAATGTACATTAGTTTGTATTCATGTTGTGTCAGAATGCTGGATCTTCTGTCACGGATAGTTTCATGATATTGTGACGGAGACCAAAAGAGGCCAACATTGTGTAGCAAATGGTGCTGCTCGTAAATAGACTAGAGCAAGACATGCACTAGCGCCAGTTGTGTTTATTAATGGTAGCTGTGAAAATAACAAAAAGCCAGCTATTTTGGCATGACACAATGACTCTTCTGTACCAAATTGAAACTGGTACACAAAAATGAGTAATGAGTACTGTATTAAGAAATTATTTGCTGAACTCTGGTGCTTTTCAGTACATATTCTAAGGTTTTGAATGTTTGGACATTCATTTTACACAAACTAAAAGACGAGAAAAAAAAAAGCCAAGCCAGCACACATTACTCGAATGCAGAATAAAAATGTTGCAGTCTTTAGCATATACTACTTGCACATGCGTGCTAACTAGGCAAAGATAGTAATTGAAAAAAAGAAGGAAGTATCAAATTAAGGAAAAGCGATGTTTAAAGAATGAATACTATTACATACCAAAATGGAGAAACACTGTTGTTACGTATCATGGGCTGTAACCGTTCACTGAAACGATTGTAGTTGCGCTCCAGTTCCTTCTGGTAGTCTCGCTGGTCAGGTCCAATCAAGGTCCTGTTTTTCCTTAGTGCCTCAAAGCACCTGAAAGTTAAGAACACATCATCCCTCCAGATCTTGTGCAGTACAGTATTTCCCGAAAATGTTCTGGTAGACCTAATACGTCACTCACAATATACTCATGCATTACAAGGGCGCACCACCAGCACAATGGTAAGAATAATAATATTATATACTCATACATTACAAGGTCCCACCACCAGCACAAAGGTAATAATAATATCTGAACTTTTATGTGGGAAAACCACATTATTAGGCTTGTGCAAATAGTAAATTTTATGTTCAAAGTGAATAGTGATTTTGGTCAAATAATTTCGAATTGAATTCGAATAGTATATATATATATAGCATACTATAAAATAAAATGGGAATATTTGTCATGGCCTGACTAACCTGCTCAATATATTTTTATTAAATTGAAACAAGGTCTGTAAAACTGTACTTTTTTATCACCTAAGAAAACGAAAACAACTTTGAATACATAGTAGCAGGATTTGACTTTCAATATAATGCAAGTAATAGCCTGTAAAATATGTTACTTCTTTAAACTGGCTACACTTGTAGCCTTATAAGTCGGTAAAACAAGCTTCTAAACTTAAAAAAATTTTCTCATCTAACTTTGAAGTGGGACTTCGCGGAAGTGCGGATTTCCCCCCGACTACGTGTTCTCACGGCTTAGCACCACTTCACCGCAGTGAAACCACCTTCACAATAAGTTACAAAATTGTATACATCTGGATAGGTGCTTTCACGGCTTAGCACCACTCAACTGCAGCGAAACCACCTTTACAAGGTGTCACATGTGGACTATTATGCACCTATTTGTTCGTTTCGAATAATTCGAAATTTTCAATAATTTTTTTCGAAGCGAATTCAAATACTGCATTATTCATTCAAATATTTAAAGCATTCAAATATTCGCACAAGCCTGCATATTATTACTAAGCGGTAATGGCGCCATCTGATGGGGTGATCACACAAGCATAAAGGGAGTGGGTGTTTTAACTTATTTTTTTTTCTTCTGCTTTAGCCGACTAAGTATGACTCTGATGCACTGGACCTTTGTGAGGCTATACCACAAACGCCTTCCTGGTTTCTTGAGCATGACTCCTTTTGATAGACCCCCTCCCCCCCCCCACCCCCAGAAGAACAAAACAAAACATAACATAGGCTTAGATTTCTGGCAACATTTCTTGTTCGTCAACTTCCAATCCCTTCAAGGCTCCACCTTCTTAAATTTCAACCTTGTTTCGATATTGATGTTCAGCAAAACAGCCCACATGCTTGGCTGATCAAGTAAACTCAATACGTAACAAAAGAAGGAAGGTGACTTACTTGCGGCTGAAATCCCGAAAACAGAGCCTCAACTTGTGCTGCAACGGTGTGGGCACTCGCGTCGGGTCGACAAGATCGGCGAGAAAGACGAGTGCCACCTCAAGAGGTCCCTGGTTAACGGTGGTACCCATGCAGCCCTGCAGCACCATCTGCAGGATCTTGGGATCGGCTGGTTCCTGTTGCGTCGCCCGTGACAGCTCTGCCGTCTTTTTCTGAATGTCCTCGATGGCCACTTCGATCGGCCGAAGAACCATCTGCGCAGCAGCACAGCCACAATTGTCGTAGAGTCTCCTTCACCACAACACCTACACAATCAGCACTGGGGACACTCCAGGTTGCATACTTAAGACACTTAGGTTGCACTCCAGCTATACAGCTGGAGAGCAACCTAGGAATAAATTTAGGCTTCCCCCATAGCTGTCTCTGTTCTACCCAGAGATAATTTGCATAAATGCCCCATCTAACTACCATTGTTTAATTAGGTTATGCTTGCCACTCGTGGAATTTAAGTATGTGAATGTCCAATACAGGCACATGTTCCTGTTGCTAGTTTTAACTCCCTGGCAACTTTCAGCAGATTCTGATTTTATTGCTCAGCTGAACACAACATTTTAACAAAGGGTGACAAACTTTTAATTCATAAAACCAGCGTAGTATTTACATTAGCAGCTACACAGCTCTTGAGGTTAAAATGGAAACCACGAAGCATGGTTCATTTGCACAGATAAATGACAAGTGGGCTGCTGTACTGGAGGGGGGGGGGGGGGAGCTCATAATTATTTTTATCTGCCAATAATATCATAGTGAGCAAAACTCTTTATTATTTTTATAGATCAAGGACTAAGTGGCATTCTGTGTAATAACTTCACTGCAGCTACTTCAGTTAAAAGATCCCCATGCCACACAACTAGACTAACAAACGGTGATGATGAATGTAAAGAACGGCAGTCTGTAATAAACAAATGCTAGTTAATTCCTTGTTAGCTTGTTTAAAATTGTTGCTATCATGTTGACTACACAAAGCTCGACATAACCAATACACTTCATTCTATATAACTCATAGGTGATGCTTTTGTGGAGAGGTAGATAAGTAAAGTAAATTGGCATAACTTTGAACCCAATATCTTCATACTGTTGGCATAGATGAAGTGCACATTGCACCTTCGTACAGCATTCTGCCTTCATACCCTTCGACTTACAAGAGATGTCGCCACTGTCTGCTAGCCTATGAGATTAACACAGTGACAAATACAACCGCAGGCATTGAACACGATATTTCTACTTCAAGTCCAGCCAAGTAGCCCAAATAATGTTATTTGAAATTGAAGCTCACAGGGCAGCACATGCACAAACTCTTACCTTATCCCAGAAAGAAAAACTTCTGCAAAACTATGTGGCGTTATGGCATGCATTTCATTAGCAGCACATCTGTGCATTTACTTGTCAGGCTTTTATTTAATTTGAGAGACAGTGACCTTATATAACAAGAAAGAATGAGCGAAAGTCTTGCCTGTGTCCTCTCAATGACTTGGATGCGCGTCTTTACGTATGGAAAAGAGTTTGCTGTGGTTACAATAGTTTTCCGCTTGAACTGCTCATGGAGGTCACCGTGGGCTCGACCATCAGCCGTAAACGGTGTGGCATACACAAAACGTCCTAAGGGTATAAAAAAAACGAGGAACCATGCATCGATTGAAAAACCAGGACTTTCAGGAAACGCAACAGATTTCAGCTTTAGGAAATGCAACAGGTATCAGCAACACTTACTGATGTTGTAGTTTTTGTCAAAGTACGTCACTCGTTCCCGTAATTCGTACATGTCAAAGTAGGGCTCCACATAGGTTATCTGGATGTACGCCTGCAAAGAGCATGAAAACCATGATCATTTCTGAATGTGCTTTTCTCATAACACATGCAAATTCTTATAAATGGTATTACTGTGTTGCAAGTCACAACCAATGAAATAGTACAACAGTGCAAAAGGCTCATACTCCAGAAACCTCCTCAGCTGAACTCACAGTTGCAAGCATTATTAATCATTAAAGAAAAAGCTGAATACCATGTACCTTTTCTGGATGAAGCCTTGAAACATCCACCATGTTTGAATCCTTGATGACCTCTACGTAGTCGGAGCCAAACCGCTCCGAATAAAAGTTCTGGGAATAATAAATAAGAATTAGTCCATCTAAGCTCCAAGAAATAATATTATGATTGAAAACTGTGGAAGTTCGTGCATATTTAATCAATATTGTTATTTATGCAGTGCGCATAAAAAAAACGAGGCAAATTGGAAATGAAGCTACAGCACAAGTTTAAGCCTCGATATAAAGAACCAGGATGTAACAAAATATCCGTTATAACAAAGAATATGAAGAATGCTCTTGCACTAAATAGTGCTAAGAATACACTTTTCTAATAAATTTTCACATATAATGAACTTATTTTTGTGAAAGATGCAACTTCAGTATATGTATTGAGGTTTGAGTGTATTGGTCATTTGCAGTTCACTTTCTGTTTCTGTGTTATCTATATTTTTTTTTTTTTTGTACAACTCAAATCACAAGAGAATTGATAAACAAGAAGACGCCCAAATAAAACAGTACCGTGGTCACAACAAAGGTAATGCGAGTTACCTCTAGTCTGTGCGAAATTTCAGGCAGCTTGGTAAGTGTGGGTTCCTTGTAGATAAATTCCTCCCCATCCAGATCTCCAAACCGTGGGCCATAGAAACCCACTCGAAAGTATGTGCCAAACACTCTCTTGCCAGCCTGATGAGAAAGAGGGCATTAAGTCAAGCCTCTGAAAGCATTTCTCACACCAGATCACAGTTGCAGAGTACCAGTAACCTCACAGTGTGCAGCCCCAAAAGGCCTGGCAACATAAACTGTGCAGCCTAGTCGGCAGTACCGCAGCCAAGAACGTTTTTTTCGGGAAGAGGGGAGGGTTTGAACCATACTTTACATTTGCTTGTGCTTGCGTTTATGTGTCTGCATGTGCGTTTGCACATGTGAAATGAATAATTTTTTTGTGTGTGAGGGAAGGGGGGGGGGGGGCATTTCCTTGGCTAAACCAAAGGCAGTTGACATCTATACATTTACACCTTAAAAATGTATTAGCTTTCTCACACATACCCATACACACAAAAAAAGCATGCCAAATATTTTGTAAGACTGCTTTTTGGCTGACGAGTCTTTTAGATTTCAGCCAAAACACTACAACCATTTGGAAAGCACACTCTGAACATGGTCATTACACATTCTGAACATGGTCATTAAGAATCTGATCAAATAAGATAAATTGAGTTTCACAGATAATCATCACAGCACAAGCACGCAGCACTACCCAAAAAAATATGCTCCTTACTGCCACAATAACTGAATTGAACCCCGCGAAAGTTTAACGATAATGCTTACAAAGACAATAGGGGTCAGCAATGTCAACGTGCCCCTGTCTAGTGATGCTATCGGGTGTGAAACAGGAACGCTTTAAGGTGATGCAAACTTAATATTCAAGTAGAATTCGTATTTGTATTGTACCAATTTATGATTTCACCTCATTCAGAGCCGAAGTAGTCGAAAATACAGTTGAGCAACGATAGCCATGAGATAAATGAAATCTAACAGACAATCATGCCAAGGAAATGCCATGAGAGCCATGACAATGGTTTTAACTTTTGAGGTCTTTCAGTCATGCTTTTCACTTGCCTGCTGGTCAACTTTGGTGAAGGCTTCATGTAGCTTGCTATGAATGTTGGCAAGCTTCTTGTAGTCGCGCTGTGCTTCCGCAATGGGTATCAGGATCTTGTAGACCTCGTTTGTTGCTTCATACATGCCAGCCTAAAATATTAAAAGAAGAGCACTGATCGTAAGGGTTGCCTGCACCCCATTTAGGCCATTTTTCAACACTTGCATTGGCACCTCGGGAACTTTGTTTCATTATTGTACCCATCACCCCATCTTGAATGTTTCTACAGATGTTTCTATGTTTCTGAGAACCATAAAAAGCTCTGTTTCTGAGGAAGAGCTGATACACTAGGATCTAACCGTAGACTATTGTATCATGCAGACTATGCATATGTTGTGTTCTATAAAAATTGCGCAAGACAATACAATTCAGTTTCTGCAACAGAGGTGCCACAGAAAATTCAGCCAACCTACAATTCAACTAAATGTAAACGTAACAATTCCTAGAACCATCCGTACTACTCCTTTAACATTTTCACACCCGTAGATGTCTTCAGGTATTTATGGCACCGTACAAAAGCCCACACATTGGCATTGCAACTGACTCACTGCTTGCCAATGTTATTTTTTCAAGCACCATTTCCATATTACAGTTGGCACTGTTACCTTAGTTTGCTTATTCACATGTACAAGGATATGTTTGCTGTAAGAACTGTGGAACTCACCAAGGAAAAGGAGTTGGCTGCCTGCTCCAGCAGACCAACAAGCCCGTTCTCGGTGAAGTACTTCCCAGTGCACATTCCTTCTTCGTCTGGGGACAACACATCGTCGGACACTGCGCTTTCTTCCAGGATGTTTTGGGACACATTCTGGCGACAACAAAAGAAAGAACAGAGGAGTCATTCACAATGTGACAGCCCGCCAGAGACTGTTTGAAAAGCGATGCCTCATCAAAGTGACTGTCAGGTCAACGCTTGCTTCAAGAATACTGCTCAGAATAGTAATATGTCAAAATGGAACCCAATCACAGTCGCTCGCTACAGCTGACATGACCATGTCATTCAACAACACTATAAAACTGCAGGGCCATGCACAAGACAGCCATTTGAGTGCGATCCCCATCAGTCAGGTCTGTCTCTCTCTCTCTCTCTCTGCATACGTGCATTTGTGTGTGTGTGTGTGTGTGTGTGTGTGCGTGCGTGCGTGCGTGCGTGCGTGCGTGCGTGCGTGCGTGCGTGCGTGCGTGCGTGCGTGCGTGCGTGCGTGCGTGCGTGCGTGCGTGCGTGCGTGCGTGCGTGTGTGTGTGTGTGTGTGTGTGTGTGTGTGTGTGTGTGTGTGTGTGTGTGTGTGTGTGTGTGTGTGTGTGTGTGTGTGTGTACTCTACTCTTTGATGGCAAAAGCATCATTACATGCAAGACAAACCAGGCTGACTACTAACAACCACGGAATGATTTTAAAAATATCTCCTATATTTTATCAGTGCACCTTCACGCACCTGGTGACTAATCCTATCAGACTCTAAGAAGGCCAGGTTTAATTTTTTTTAACGAGTTGATTAGAGAAAGTTCATGCCATTTACAGGACCAACATAAACAAGAATTAAAGTGATACGATATATGACAGTCTCTTTAGAGGAGACTAATGCCGACCACTCAGTCAGTCTCACAGCAAAGGTCTTTCTTCTGCTGTTGTAGTGAAACAAGTGAAATTGTCAGCAAAATCCAATACATGATGAAAGCAAGTGAACAAGAAATGGCTACCACGTACCTCAAAGGAAACACACCCTATAGGCAGGTGTGGCTTGTACTCCAGCATGTGCAGGTACTCCGCTACTAGGGCTGCCGAGTGGACAAGGCAGTGTGCTGCCTCCGCATGGTTGCCCCTCTGTAGGACAGAAATTTAAGGTTGAAGTCGAAGGCCATTCTGGGATTAGAAGGGGACTAAAATGAAATAATGAATCAGTTTAGACTGATGACTTGCTCATTAAAAACTCTGATATCATTACTTTCACATTTACATGTTCATCATTAGAAGAGAAAATTTAAGTAAAGTTTCATTCTTAAATTTCATGCAAAATCTCAGCATATGAATGTCAGTATGACGTCTTGGATTTCAAGCTGTTCTTTTGCATTTGGTCTCATTGTGCAACGAAATTTCTTAAGACTTGGTACGTTGACTTGGCACCCGAGTCTCCTCAACAAACTGGGTGACGTACTTGACCTAAATAAGAAAACTTCCAAAAATAAGTTCAAGGAATTTCTCCTTTATAATTGTATTGAATACACTTAATACAGAAATTTGGATTATTTATTACTTTCTGTGTCCCAATTGCTTAGAGTACACTATTTTTGTCCTTTTGTTGCTGTTTTTTTTTGCTTATTGTTTGTTCAAGGTGCTTAAGAATGTATGTGTCTCCAGATGCTTTCCTTACCTCACCTACTGTATATATTGCGATGTTTTTTAGGTATTTCATTACTATTTACTGTCCTGTTCTTTGTTTATATTTGTGATGGTTACATGTGTGATCAGAATTTGCAAATTGTATCTGTATATAATGATGTTCTCTAATTGCGGCTAAGTTGTGTATGACATGTTATTTTTTAGTTTTATTTTATTTTGCCAGACTGTATTTCGGAGCAAAAGCCTCTGTCAGGCTATGTAGCCTTTTGCTTTTGCTTCGTTTTTTTTCTGTTGCACGTACAGAAAAAATAAATCTCAAATTGAATTGAATTGAATTGATTTTTGGACTCCCTCAGAGAACAATGTATTTAATATTTACCAATCAACAGCTCTATTAGCTCCAGCAGACACCTCCCAAACCTACTACGTCACACAGTGTGCCACCTGCATTTTTCTTTTATCAAGCATCATGACGTCAAAGAGGTTTTACTTTTGGAAATGCGAAAAGGCAACTTACTAGCATGTACATGGAAAACTGTTGTTCTTTTTAGTGTCCCTTCAAGGCTAGCATGGAGGCCTGAAACACTCTTTAATTACAATTGTGTAGTATTTAGGAGGCCAGCATTTCAGAATCTACAAAAACTTCCCCGTGCTCGTATAATCATTATAACACACTAATCCTAATTATCAATGCTTACTGTGATAAATTCTTGCTGCCTGAAATATGAAAAAAGAAAATGAGTGTTAGTGAGGCTAAGCTCTACTGAACACCTTTCCAAGAACAAGCTTTCTCCTGACTAGCTAGAATAGAAAGAAAACGAAGGCAGCATGCCTCGGTGTGCTTCTGTGCCATATTTGCGAGCCAGGTGAGGCGCAGGTCGGGCGAGTTCTGGTAGCCCTTTGCGATGCGGTACATGAGGTCGAGCAACATCTCGGGGTCCTCCTGAAACTCCTTCATCTTCACAGTGTCTGACAGTATCATGTGCAGGTTGAATACCAGGTCCCGAACCTGCGTTTTATAGCAAAATTTAATTAAAACCTAGAGCAAGCTAACAACGGCAGTGTTTGCCAATATATCTGCTAAACTAAAGTGACGAAGCGCACAAAGGTGAACTGGCACCCGTCCATAGACTCATGGTTTTCTTGAAACTACGTCTGTAATGTTGCCCGTCAAAATTTAAGTTACAGTATCATGAACATATCCACAAACAGCTCTGCATGTGAAATGAAATGATATTGCTCTGTGCAGTAACGATCTTGGTAGAAAAGTGCAAGGAACACAAACATGCTTCAAACCACACTATATTTTGCCAGCAGCCATTGGTTCTTGCACTATCAGACTGCTATTAAAGTGGCGATTGTGTATATTCATGATGTGCACTAAAGTTTACATACATTGTTACATGTACAACCAGCTTCTGACACTTTCAAATTGCTCTACGTCTATTTAAAATGCACAGTTGGGTCCACTGTTGAAGGGAACACTTGGGAGCAAACAATGTTTGTATTTTACTCCTTTGGAAAGGCATAATGGCTTAGATTTACACGACACTTCTGGTGATTGGCCGTTCTGGCTCCTTTTGACAGACTAGTGCCAAGCATAAATGTTGTTGTTTCCTTATCCACTTGCTTCTAGAGGGCCGGCAATGTGAACGGTGCACATGGTAGCGTTACCTTTAACAATGCATGGTACTGTACACAGATCACTTTCAAGTGCTTGCAAAATGATAACTTCAGTGCCGTGGCTCCTATGCTTTCCTTTGCTTATGCTAGAACCACACTGGGTTTATCACACTATATTATGTTGTCCAACAGCTCCTGCTGCAACTTGTTTATGTTCTACCTACAAGTTTTACTCACAGACTCTTCCGAACGACAATGAGCTGGTGTTGCAGCACTCACTCGCGGTGATCAGAGGAACGGTGAATGGCTCATTCGCCTGGAACTCGAGCACTATACCAACCTGCTCCGGGAACGTAGTCTCCTGCAGCTCCACATCCTCTTCGGCATAGACGAGGATAGTCTTGAGCGACTTGCGCAGAAATTCTTCATTAAATGTCTGGCTTGTCCCAACGAGTGAGCTCAGTGACATTGTCACTTGCATCTTCACTCTTGCGAAGTTCTGTGCAGAGCAATGATATGCCAGGAGCAATTCATAAAACAGTCATTGCCGAGTTCACCCATTGTACTACTCACAATGATCATGGAATGAACTTCTGGGTGACACTTAGTCAAAACAATGCAGAAAATTGCAACCAATGGGATGCACTGAGCAAGGTCGTTGGACAGGCTCTATTCTTGCAAAAATCCTCACACTCATTTCATTCAATTTAGCTATCGTGACATAGAAGCACAGTACTTCAGCATAGGCTAGAGCCATTACCGGGGCTGCGGAAAGGATTTCTGTTACTAGAACATGCCAGAATACTTTTGTATGAACAGATCCCCTAGGTCAATTTATGAGCAATGGATGTACTGTGATCAACATCTCGTTCTTGAATATGTGTTTTTCAAAACTGAGTAGAGAAAAGTCAACAACTATCAACATGGCAAAGGTTAACCGACTTTTCCCTTAATTCTTACCTGTAGAAAGAAATAAACTGATGCCCAAACATTATTTTAACAATTAAACCTTGTAATTCTGCCCTGAAATCTGACCCGCAGTTTTCATCAAAGATATCTTCTTCACAACCCGTTTTCGAAGGCCTCCCCGTTTCTTTATCTCAGTATTATTAAAAAAGGCTAAATAGAAAAACATTAACTTTTTTTTTTCCTGCAAAAAGCAACAATCTTATCAGCCCACAGAGGTAACAGGAAAAAGAGAGTGCTACCAACATTTCCAATCTCAAAGTTCTGGCGCATGAGGAGGTAGAGGGAAGCTGAGGCCTGAGACCGGACACTGCTGATGCAGGAGCTGCAATGCCTCAGGAGAAGCAGGCACAGGTCAGCGCACTGCTCCGTTTCTTCCTCAAACAGAAGTTCAGGAAACTGCAAAAAGAAAGAAAGAAAGAAAAAGAAAGAGAACACACTTGTAGCATTGTGCAATGTTTTTGTTTTTACGTTAGTCAAACCTCGTCAAAACAAAGTAGCATCAAAACCATAAATTAGCTTATTATATCACAAATATGCATTGTAACAGTAAGACATAATAATCAGTTCTAACAAACCAACAATCTGGCCCATGCAAAGATCTGAGACACAAAAAGACATTCTATGGTTCGAACCCGCTATAAGCGACCTTATCCTTACATATCTACTGTGGCATTTCAAACCAATATGCCTTGGGGGGGTGCGTAACCAGTCAAATACACTTTCTTTTTGTGCTGAATGACCACATCTTTATAGTCGCAGCGCAATAAAATGTCAATTACAATTTTTTTAAATATTTATATTGTTTTTTATGTTAATTTTTTAGTTCTGAGTCTTGTGTAAGCCAAATATTTCTTCACTACAGCCAATATTCCGCCAACTCTCACGTTTTGAGTTTCGTTATGAAAAGAATTAATGTCATTGAGATGAAGCAAGACCAAGCAAACTTTGTGTTTAGTTTGCTTTAACCGATAATTTGCTATATTAGTGTTAGTCACACTGAGGTATATATGTATGTATAGTATTTCATTTTTTAACTTGGGGGGGCTCTGTTGCCACAGATGAACAACGCATGCAAAAAAAAAAGGAAGCAGTGAGCAACAATCGAAAAGGGAGCACCAACCTTGAAGACAAGTGACCGCTGTGTCGCGAACAGGTTCTGAAGCACCAGAGTGCTTTGGTTGCAGTCCAGGGCATGCAACAGGACACGGAGCACGGTGCCCAGCACGCTCTGTTGTGCATCCGACTGAGACACCACCTGGGAAGCAACAAATTATCTGAAAGTTGACCCAACCTAACCGTTCCTAAAGGGACACTGAAACAACGAATTGGTTTAGATCAATAAGTTACACTCTAACAACTCTAATGTTACTTTTGCCATTATAGGTTTACTAACGAAGAAGAAAATCAAGATTAATGTTTCGCTTCAAAATTTTGTGCCAAAGTCCCTACTTGTGAAATCACAAATTTCAAAGTGCATTTTCTTTTTTTATTTTGACGATACCGGCTCAACAAACCTTGATGAAACTTGCTACGTTAAGTATAGCGGCCTCATAAAAGACAGTGTACTTCATTTTTACTGACTAGCAACTACGCGGGACCTTGCAGGTGTCAAAATCTCTAACGTCATGGCACTCGGTGCGGAAATTTCAAGGTGGCATCGCATTCTTCATGCTTTCTTGCTTACCAAGTGTCTTCTCACAGCAAGCATGGCAATTTTGAAATTGCCAAGATAGTAATCTGCTCATATGAGATAATTCGTCTCATTTCTCTTGATTGCCTTTTAAACAAGTTAACAATGCGAATGCCAGTAGCACCAGCAAGTACAAAGGGTCAGATATGAACTTTTTCATTGGACCTAAATAAATGAATGACTAGTAATTTGAAATATCTGCATAGTTATACTAGTGTACAGTGATATTGGAGTGCCATTAGTTATTATCGTAATCTATAGTTATAAGGGTTACTGATATTTCACAATATGCAGAAAGGTATTACATTACGGCTCCTACACATTCAAAGGAGTTGCAAGTTCTGGTACAAAAGATCACGATAGAGTGAAAACTAGGCATGTGTAAATATTCGAGCACTTTGAATATTCAAACAAACATTACAGGATTCGAAATTTGCTTCAAAACAAACTTAAATTATTAGAAATTTCAAAATGAACAAACTGCATGTAAACCCTGCAAAGGTGGTTTCACTGCGGATGAGGGCTACATCATCAATACACCTATCTAGAAAAATCCACACTTCAAGGTTAAATGAACATATTACCTTCATGCCGATTCCTTATATGCTACAAGTATAGTAAATTTTGAATCGTAATGTACATTACAGGTAATCGCTTGCATTCCACCGAAAGTCTAATCCTGCTACTATTCAAAGTTACTTCCACTACATTTGAGCCAAAAAGAATGACATTTGTGTATGCTCTTTTCAATTAAAAAAGAATATTGTGCAGGTTAGTTGCAACATGACACATATACTAATTTTTCTTTATAATATGTAATATATACTATTCAAATTTGATTCGACATTACACTAAATCAATATTTACTTCAAATTTGCTTCAAACCTAACATTTACTATTCGTACATGCCTAGTGAAAAGCCAATATAATGCATGCAAGTAGCTATAATCGCTGTTTTACTGCACCTGTATGATCAACTCGAGGACATCAAGGATCGTTGCTGTCACTTCAGTGGACAGGTTCCCTTCAATGTGGGCGTCCATTTCAACTTCTACCTTGGGTCTAGAAGTTAAGGTTAGCGTATAGTTAGGATAGCACATGCAATGCTCATAAAAACAAATTTAAAATCAAGGATGGCTTTTTATATGCCGTTGTGAAACACAAACAAAATGAAATAGTGCCGACAAAATGAAAACGTTTAAAACATTAAACATTCTTGATGTTTTAAACTTTTTCAGTTTGGTTCATGCTATCTCATTTAATGTGTATTTCATACTTCTTTCCAACCATACGGTGCTTTGTCAAACTACCAATTTCATAAATGCAGTTACTAATGATGAAAAGGAATTTTTTTTTACTTTTTGAACACAGGTTTCAAAGCAGCTATTGGTGTTTTGGGTGCCAATGGCGAATTATGAACTGTTAGAGTTCAAAGCATTGGCAAAATGTCTGATGAATATTAATATTTATTATGAATAATATTACCAGACAATTGAAATAAATTGCAAGGAATAAACAATTAAAGAAGAATGATTATCAAATGCACTGTGACATGAGGTCCACAATTCAAAATACCAGAACTTGTGGCAGAAATGAGATTAAACCAGTAAAGCTTGAGCACTACCTAAACCACAGAGTTAACCACAGAGACATGTAAAGTTGCCAAAGCAGCAGTTGTTAATCGGTATAAGAGTAAAGCAATCTTGGGTCATTTCAAAATTTTACCAATAAAACTTGCATGTCAAGATAAAAAGAAAAAAAAACAGCTAAATGGGCTACATGCTTGATATGCTAAGTCTTGTTGTATAAATGAGGTCAGAGCCAATAAAGGTGCATACTTGTAGCATACTATCATGGTAATATACAGGTTGTTCTTGGTTTGCTACTTCGTCATCCTTATTTTCTCGGTGACGTTTTAAAGCAGGTTCAGGGCATTCACCAACGAAATTTGCAGTTTGGAGCAGTTTGGTGTGATTGCAGCAGCACTTTCATCACAGTTACATAATCACACTCAATCATATTCAGTATGAAAGACATACCGCACCTGTCAAAACTTTCAGAGCCATGACGCCACTGTGTCAGGTCTTTGCGCCACCTCAGTCGGTCACCCTGTTGTGTTGGTGTCTGTGATCCACTACCACGTTCTGAAGAGGCAACAAGATGAAACCAACAAGTCTGTCGGTTAATGAATGGGAGGTTATAGAGAGAACAATTCTTCTTACATTATGTGCCAACCCCAACACCATTTACTGAAATATTCACACGATCAGCAATCACATGATCAGCAGCATAAAGAAAGCACGAACCAAAAACAATAAATTGATTGATTTGTGGGGTTTAACGTCTCAAAACCACCATATGATTATGAGAGACGCTGTAGTGGAGGGCTCCGGAAATTTCGACCACCTGGGGTTCTTTAACGTGCACCCAAATCTGAATACACGGGCTTACAACATTTCCGCCTCCATCGGAAATGCAGCTGCCGCAGCCGGGATTCGATCCTCTGACATGCGGGTCAGCAGCCGAGTACCTTAGCCACTAGACCACCGTGGCGGGGCAACCAAAAACAATAAAAGAACAGAACAGGCACTCAATTCATAACTACGAACCAGTTCATCACCCATGCAGTAACTCTTGCTAAACACTCATTCCACATTGGCACTTGTACTAAGCTGTTTAGTTAGTGAAAGTAATTGTACAGATTCACTGTTTATAAAAATTCTTTTTCCTTGTACTAAGCAAGGGATACAGCTGAAAACGGCATACACAAGATCGCCAGCTCTATCCTCTTCAAGCAAAGATGCATCTAGCGAGGAAGATGACTTCATCATTCACCAGCGTTACCATTTCATCCCCATTATTATTGAAACAACCTTCCTCCACAATGTTGCCATGCACTGGAAAGCCCTCTCAAAGTTTCACAGCGCTAGCAACTCTTGTCCCAATCCAGAGTCGCATGCAGGAGAACATAAAATTATGGCCACGTAGCATCACCTGCTCCAGCTGCACCGGCGTTGTTGCCACGGCGACGCATCATCATCTCACTGCGTGCACTAGAATGACCCAGGATGGCATCTTCTAACTTGGACTTGATGTCCGAAGTCTTTCTCAGGGTCTGCTGGGCAAACTTACGCATCGTCTTCTTTCCCTAAGTGTAAAGATGCAATGATGACATCAACACCCACTGTGTGATATCCTGACAAGCTTTAGCTTCACAGTGGTTTATGATACGAGCAGCCAGAGGCCACTCTCTGAAAGAGGCATTTTTCAAAGGTTGCGCCATAGCAGAGCTATAATTTTTTTAGAATACAATTTAGAATATGCTAAAGAATCTTTTGCAACTTCTTGTCTGTGATTTCACTTTAAGAAATACTCAAAAATTATTCACTTTAAGAAATACTCAAAAATTATTCAATTCGATTTAAACTCAACTTCATTATTCATAACGGCTTCAGACCTGAACTTTTGCTATTCACACAGCTCTAGACATTGCCGAAAAAAGTTGCAGAGAATCCCTTAGCACATTTTCAACTTATTTGCTTACTTCAGCCTATTTGAGGTGTGATGAATTTGAGGTGTGATGAATGAATAATTCAGCTTATTTGAGGTGTGATGAGCGAGTGTATATTTTTTATTCGTTTTTGAGTGTACGCTTTATTTGTTTTGTTTTTTTTAATCAAGTGTATTGATTATTTTTTCTTGCATTTTCATAGGTTGTTCACTGTGTACTTATCTGTATTCCAATGATTTGTTGCCTATTCTTTTCTCTATTTTTGCTGTCTTTACCAATTACTTGTTATAACATATATCTCAACTTTAGTCTGTATTTAACTTGAATTTTCTGACCTTTTTTTTCGTTTTTGACGTTTATTGTTTGTAATTTTGCTCGTGTAACCCCCCCTATGTAATACCCTCTCACGAGGGCCTTTAGGGGTATTATGAATAAAAAAAAAAACTAAGCTTTGAAGAAAAACTAGCTCCACAACAGCGCAACTAGGCATTGTCATTTTGGGCTCATAGAAAAGAGCATTTAGTGCTCTTTAATTTGTCGCTTAACTGTTTCGTTACCACGCCTCTTCAAGTCTATCACCGCTGATCGACACTTTGGATCGTCAACTTTAGCATGTTTAATTAGTTTCTCGTGCACCCAGCCCTCTCTAGTAGTTAGCCCAGCCACTCAACTGTTGGAATCAATTTGAATTTGCCCGTTTTGGAAACATAGTAATTTTTGCCAGACCTTTGCACAAGCCAATGTGTGTGTATTATTGAGAAGTTGCACTAGGCTGGCGAACTTGACAAAAGTGCGTGCCCGTCGTGATTATACAGAAGTAACATCAAAGTTCTGTAATAAAAAGAACCTCTGCAAGCCAAATATTGAATTAAAGCATCAGCTTTGCAATTTGATATTGTTAAAAAATAATATATCCCAGAAATTAATTCCAGCTATTCAATAGACAGCTGTTGTTAGGTGTCAGGGAAAATTTATTCTACAAAGAATATTTCATATGGTCCACCACATGTTTAGTGTCGAGATGGCCTTCTCAGCCAGTTTCCAGCAGCTTTGGTTTTGCTTGTATCGTTATTTCAGACACGAGGTCGCATATAGTATGTATCACTAATTGCCCCTATGGCGTAGTCCCGCGAGTATGGGTGCGTACCAGCACTGCAAAACACATGCGCCGCTCGAAACTGTCTTGCAACCTCACCTGAATTGAGTGAAGAGCTTAGAGTTCGAGGATTCGAGGAGTTCGAGGAGCTTAGAGTTCGAGGCACCTCAGCTTCAAACTTTATGGAGACGATGTTTTGCGTGAGACTGAGACAACAATGCATAGCCGTTCATAGGTTCGTTTTATTTACGGCCTCAAGTTGTCTCCTCCGCCGAAAATGTGTAGCTGCTGACCTTTGTGCACAATCTTACAGCTACTCTCTGGTTACAGGCGAGGTCCACACTTCATGGCTATTGTAATTATGTGCAACAAATATAGCACTGCCCAGTGCATGGAAGTTTTACTTTAATTTCCCGGACAGAAGGAAATGGCTCACTCTCCTCTTGAGTGCACCCTCACCAAAGCTTTGACCGGCAGTTTCAAGTTATAAATGACAGACTTAATTTATCTCACCTTAGAAACCCTAAAGTACGCTGCCTTAGCACTTCTTGTCTCTATCAGTAGTTTTCTGCTTATTTTGTTTCTTGTCGTGCTCGCGTGATGCAGGACGCAGCTCAGTAAAGCCCAGGCTATTTCGAACTCTATTGACTTCAGTAGCTGGTAGGCCTCACACTGAACACGCTACCACAGTACTTACAGATTGATGTTGTCAGTTACAAGTTCACCAGCATGCTGGCCCGTGCACGCTTTCTCTTGTATGTGCCTCGCAAGCTCGACACCATAGATACTACTTGGTGCTTAGCTGACTAAAACTGCTTTAAAATGTGCTATCTGCTTTTTACTACAATCAGTGAGTCAACCTGACGCAGTACAACACTGGTGAGCACCAGCTATAAGCAAAGCTTGCTTATACCTTAAACTATTGTTTCACAGTAGCACCAGAAATGCTCGTGCTGCATAGTTACCACAAGCACGACAGAGTGCTGCGGCAGATCTCTCTTGATTACATGCTATCAATATGGTAGTGCAGTTTTTTATTTTTCTATTTGTCTGAGGCAGCTTATCAGGAGACCTTTTATAACGAACGTACGATTGAGAAGACAGGTCAGAGATCGAAAGCCTGCCAGCCAAATCAGGAGAGATGGCAGGTATTTTAATGTCTACATTCAGTCACTTTTCTACTTAACCGTCTGCACTACCGACCTTTCGAATCAATCTCATCATATACTACACAACAAACCAAACACAGAAAGTTTCACCAATGAAATGTTTCCAACTGCAACAAGCGCGTGCAACAGCCACTTGTACTCAAAGCAAGAGGCGCACCTTGTACTCGAAGCAAGAGACGCAGATGTAAAGTACGTCAAGCAGGTGCTGCAGGCGGTGAAGAGGCCAGTCGGCCCACCATGTGCGCAGCGTGCGGTGGTCGGCATTCTTGAGCACCCACAGGAAACAGACCAGCAGGTGCCGGGTGGCTTCCTCTTTCAGCACGCTCTGCTGACCCTGACCACAAGAAATGACCGCTCACTTTTCTTGGAACGGTGTGCCACAAAAGTGAAATTACTTAAATAAGACGAAAGTTATTAGTTCGAGAACTATGCTCCAAGAAAGTGAATTAACACTACTTATAATAGCAGATGAAACCACACGAATTTCATGAGGTAGTCAAATATGTAAAATTGAAAAAAAAAGTTTAAAAAAAGGAACAAAAGCTAATGCTTACTTGAGCATAGGCACTGGCGTGCTCAGGGTTATCCCTCCACGGCACAGTTGAACCAGCAATCGCCATGGCAACTGCTTGATGAATGGACGGTGGGCGGTGTTTGGAATTCACCTCCGCACCTTCTGCAAAACGGACTGTGAGGAAAGAAAAGCGAAAAAAATTTCACTGCTTGCGTGTTTCAACGTGCCTACAAGAATGAACACTACAGTGGAACCTTGCTAGACTGATGCATAGATACATAAGAAAGTGGCTCAGATTAAGTCAATATAAGATGCTGATGGGGTCACTGCTAATGACTGCACGTTACTTTCTTGTTCCCAGTTTAGCCATGTTCCTCCTTCCAGAGTGAGTATTAATGGTGGAGTTACACTAGACCTTTTTTTATTGCTTAAAAGAAGTCTGGCTGAGCTCACTTACAGTCAATATCAAAAGTTGAGAGATCACTAGGTCTGGCACACTAGCAGGGTCACTGCTGTGTAATTTCTCAAACTGTAATTTTGCTTTGAATTTATCGAGCGATCTCACCCTCATGATGTTGGCAACTAGGATCCCTCATTTTCCCGGTGGTGGCAGTGCATCTGCGGCACCACTTCTGTTATTGCTATGCATTATGTTTAGGTCATTCTACACCTATTATATTCCAATGACTACACCTTTTTTCTCTCAATATATACTATGCTATCAATTTAGAGCCTGAATATTTGCATTTTAACTACCATCAGTGACACTGCTAATCGACAATGCCACACAGCTATACCTAATAATTAGCCAAGCCACTCAAGAAAATCAAAAGCATCTTATCTTCTTCCTTCTAATGAACAAACTTTGCCGATAAGCTACCAAAAGTCAAAGGGCATAACAACATGAATGTCAAAGCACGATTTGCAAGGCGCCATTGACAACATGTGTTGTAACATAACCTTGTGAGCGTCTCATGAAGATAAAGCTAAGATTTCCGTCAAACTGAATTAATAGAGCAGTGCTGTAAAAGAACAAATATTATCGCTATTTTATCGCATGTCAAGCAAAACAAACAAAAGAAAGCCATGAAAGTAAAGCAGACCAGTCTATGCATCACTAGCAAAGATAGATGCTATTGCTGATGCTAACTCGGACTGCTAAATTCGGTTATCAGATAGCTTAACTCGAACAAACAAACTGCAAGGACCGTTACACATTCAGCTGGGCTCCCACCCCAGAAATGTAATACAGCTGGCCTACGTGGCTGGTTGTGGACTACCTCCGTTGTGAACAGCCAAGGTCTATATGTTTGACAATAAGAATCCCTTGGTTTTCCTTTGTCACTGTCGTACAGTGCCCGCACAACGCTTTCTTAAATTTGTTTTCCCCCTTCAAGGTGTGGTGCCATGAAATGCACAAAAATAATGGAAGGTAAGAAGGTCAGGATAACAGCGAGACAACTGATGCTTTTTCTATGTTAATGAAGTTTACGATGAGAGGTTTGACTTTCACAAGCCTTTACTTCCAAGACCACGTGCAATATTTCCCCAGAACAGATAACAGAAAAGCCCCAGATGGGCAACTTGTGATTATCAACAGTGGAGCTGTCCTAAGTAGAGCCTGTGCCATCCAGCTACACAAAACATGCGATCAGAGGGGGGAATGAATAAAGAAAGTGATGAAATGTCATGATGATGATGCTCGAGATGGTGATGACGTTCGAAATAATAATGATGATGTTCGAGATTATGATGCTTGAAAAAAACGAAATGATGATGATTATTAGTATTCTTTGAATGAGACTAAGCTATCGTCTACCCTCGCATATACTCAGTGTTCTTACAGCTTCACTATTCGATAGTTTTTACAGCATAGAAGTGGCAGAATTTTCTTAATCCAAAGCTCGAGTTCAGTGTCTCCATAGAATGTCAGCTAAATGTAGAATGCTACTAGACCACAAAGAATGCCATCACAAAAAATGGCAGTTCAGACCTGCTCTGCAAGGTCGTTGCAAGGTCAGCCAGGACCAGGCCCACGAGAAAGTGCTGCTGGCGGAACTCGGGTGAAAGCTCGGCAAAAGCACTGCCACGGTCGGTGAGAGTGGAGCTGGACACGACCGAGCCCTGGGACGATGCAATGCTGGGGCAAGGTGATGTCGGTGGCGAAGGGGTGAGCGGAGTCGCAAAGGGTAGGTTGAGGGTCACAAAGTGCTCGTGACTACATAGCACACGCAGGAAGTCCAACTTCAGTGATGCCAAGCTGCTTGCATCAGGCAGGGACTGGATCTTGGCCGAGACTTGCTTGCAGAAGGCCTGTCCGCACAAAGAAGCAACAAACTGAGGCAACAGAGAACAGCTAGAAGTTAATTTCATTTTGGGTCTAGCTTTGAATTTAGCTGTGGGGATTTAATTTGGAACTGCAATCGTTGAAGTACTGAAGTGTCGTTATGGACACTCTCACAGTAGTACAAAGTGACATGTCATAATAATAACTTGGCTTTAACGTCCCAAAAACACAATATGATTATAAGAGATGCCGTAGTGGAGGGCTCTGGAAATCTTTAACACACCGCCTGGGAATCTTTAATGCACACCTAAATCTAAGCACACAGGCTTCAAACATTCCCGCCTCCATTGAACATGCAGCCGCAGCAGCCGAGATTCAATCTCCCGACCTTCATAAGTGGTAAGTTAACCTTTGCAACATCAATTGTCTTTGAACAGCTACAATCTTGCAGCAGATTCACCGTAGCACTACACGATCGATATTACAGGGGAATATGCTCATCAATAATGCAGCAATATGACAGTGCTTAAAAACTACAATGGGTGTTTTGACAATGGGACAGGCTTTCATTTTTTCTGTAACAAAGCAACCAGAGGCCCCAAAACTCCTATCAATAATAAAGCCTTTCACAAAGACTTTTAAGGCTCATACGTTAGAAACAGCTGGCCCATATGCTCAACATCGGTAATAAGTGTAGTAAACAGGCTAAAGCACTGTAAAGAGGCAATGAAGAATCTGCGATGCGAGGAAGCTCCCAAAGATAGACTTCAAATCACACCTTGATCAGCTTGAAGACATATCCTCGATCCATGATGGACAGCAAGTCGTGTAAGAAAAAGGCCAGGCTGTTGTTAAGGTTCTGCACATTCCGGAAATCCCGCACCTCTCGGTGGCAGCGGCTAATAACGTCAGATGTCAATGAGGTCACCTGCAGTGTTCAATTTAAAGCTTTAGACTTTCTTGCGACCATAACAACTAGTATGATCGCTATTATTACTGATTTCTAGCACTGAAAATGAACAAAAATGGATTGGACAAAGGGGCCCATTTTGCATTTGTTAGATGCAACCACAAGGTGCCATCAAATAATGACAAAAAAAAGTGGAGATGATGTTATTTGTAGTTTTTAATTTAGGTGACGTAGCTATGAGACAAGAAATAACTACTGCATTTTAATTAAACTGCTACACTACATTTACATCAACTACAGTAAAACCTTGTTTATTTGAACTCGATTATTTCAAAACTCTACATAATTCGAAATACTTCCGCAGTTTTGTATTTTGCAATGTAAGTCTGAGTGGATAATTTGAAGCGCCAGTCAGTACTAGCCAGGTTAATGCTAAAACTTTGGGTGCCACGTGCCGACATTCGATCCCGATTTTGCCACAAATTCGCGGCAACGATGGCCTTTAAGAGCCACAAGACAATGCAGCTTAGTGATACTAATGAGTGGCAGCTGAAGCACCACAGCCTCGCTGCTTGCAGCGCAAAAAAGAAAAAGGAAAAAAAGGTCCCGTGATCAACTAAAAAGTATGCCTGCAGAAAAAAAGACGTGCTTCACTGCAACACAGTGATGCCGCGCGAGCAGCCTATCGCATGCTTCTCACAACGTCAGTGTGTCATCATTTACCCATCCTTTCTGGGATTGTGAAGCAATTAATAAATGGCAGTTCGACAGTTTGGCGAAATTTGCGATGTATGCGAACCTACGATTACCAGTTGCTCCAGAAATTTGTGCACTTGCACTGCTGGCGGAGTTCTTGCTTGCAACGAATAATTCGAAATTAACTTCTAAAGTTTCAAAGATCATGTTTTCCAGCCAGCACAAATTGCAAATTTTGTCACACTGGCCACTATTAAATTATTTTACCAGAAACAATGGGCAAATAGTTGCGTCATGACGTGCTGACGTAGCAAGGAGCAGGCAATATGCCGCCCGCATGTCATAATTGTGTCGCAGTGAAGATGTCTTGTTTTCCACAGGCGCACATTTTAGTCGATAACGACAGCGTTTTTTTTTTTTTCCTTTTCTTTTTTTCGGTAGCAGCAGCGAGACCTGCCATTCCCCCGTGTTTGCAGTAAAATTAAGACCAGGAATTGCTGGAAAGCATAACCCTTGGAGCCGCAAAATAGCCGGCACAGCAAACGACCAGCCCTGATTACTCCAAATAATTCCACTTCGAATATTTCCAAGATCTTTGCATCCTACTTTTTGTTTACTATATTAATTCGAAAACCCACTTAATTTGAAGATTTATCACGGTCCCCGTGACTTCGAATTAGCAAGGTTTTATGCTTTTTCCTCGGCTTCATTACCTGTTGACTCCATACACTGCAGCTTTTAGAGAAGTGTAACAGCAATGTTTTGAGCATTTGAACTACAACGCCTCACTTCACTGTGATTACTTCTAACCAAAGAAAGGAAGCCACTGCAATTTAGTATCTTGTAGCCAACCATGCCAAGACAATGCATAGGAGATCAAACCATCACAGACTCGAGTGCGAGTGTCATGCATTCAATAGTTGAGTTCATCTATAAACCAAATTATCTTGGTGTCATCCTTCAGTGAATGGTGAGGTGGGGGGGGGGGGGGGGTGCATGTCGGTACACAAATCTATGCTTACGACTTTGTAGTATTACAATAACAGCTCATGAGTTTAGCTGCTTTGGTATCATACTTAATTCTAAAGCACATGACACTTTAAAATAGAATAAAGGAAATGTACTAAATGTGTGGCCAGTTAATAAAGTTGTCTCAATGCCTCAATGAGAAACTTTGCATACCTGCACCACATAATTATATCGGGGGATCGTATCAGAGGCCACAGCAACCTCAGCTGACGGCTCTTTCTTAATCCCCCTTTCACGCACTATGCTCGTGGAGAAAATTCACAAAAGACAATGAAAGCTCTCAACACACAAATCATCACAGTCATAACAGTAAAATATAACAGAGTACGCATAGGATGTGGTTTATCGCCCTCCTCGAATTAAAATTCATAATCTGATTCAAAGTCTATGAGTTGCTAGCCCCACGTTTACACTTTACTTTTATTAGGAGCAAAAAAACAAGTGCTTATGGACTACACAACACCCAATAAATTATACCAAGCATGCAAAGAAAGAATGAAGTGACAACAGAGGTGTCCTCACCAAGGTTGTGACATCATCCACAAAGCGAGTGCTGAACCTGGCCCGGCGTGGCGCCTGAAGTCGACCTGTGGCGGCGAGGTGCTGAGTCATGCTCTTGATCACAAGCTCCAACAGAAACCACGTATTGTTCAGTGCCAGCTCTCGCGCTGCTCCACTGGACACCACCCACTGAAGAACAAGCTCCTCGTGGACCAACTTCCGCGGCGGAGGCGACCTCAGGGGAGACGAGGCCGTCCCGTTGGCAGGCCGCATGCTGGCCGTGCGGTCCAGTGGCCGCGCCACAACCGTGCTCATGTCCGAGTCCGACTCTATGTGTGCCAAAGCTGAAGCACTCGAGCTGGCAAGGTCTGGGTTGCTGCTGCTGCGACCGTGGGAGGATTTCTACGGAGGAGGAATAATAATGAAACAAAAAACGGGGCAGAGAACTCAGAACGGTTATGACAATGTCACTGAATCTTTTCGTAACACATTTATAGGGCATCGATAACTCGCTATCAATGGTTTGAATTGCCACTTTCACAACATTCTGCACTATTCACGAACACACTGCACCATCCGTCGTGAAAGACAAATGTTGCAGTCTCATTCACATAGGCTGTTCTTTTTTTCCCCGCTTGGCTTTGATTTTGGATTGCGCACTTAAGCTGCACAATTATCTAAGTTGAAAGCAAACATGGCTGCTGCCAGACGTGGCACACATACGCTCTTCAAAAGGTCGCAAACATCGGCGTTCCCGTCTGCTTGCGGCTGATTAAATCAATTTAACGAGCAGCAACAAGTCAGACGATGCTAACAAGCTAAGAACATTAGTCAGCTGCACTTTCTGCCATTGGGCAGTCTCAGTTCGTGTTTTAGCACCAACTTGGCAGGATGGAAACTTGTAAAAACTATAAGAAATGCAAGAGCGATTAGACAACCAAGCTGAAAAGAGCTTACTGCGAGACATGCAGCGTTATGCGGTGCTTTATATCTAGGAACTACTTTGCCAGATGACACATCCAACTATGGTGCTTACAGCAAGATTTTTTTAGGGAAGTCTTGTTCAATTAAAACATTCAAATTTTTCATTCATGGCGCCTATCAGATGGCAATACATTCTGTGTAGGTATCTCATTATTTCTGTTATATTTTTTTTCCCCTAGTAGATAGAAGCATGCCTTAACAAACTTTTTTCAGTTTTGACCAGCAATCTTGAAACTGGCAATTTATATTTCTCACATCACTTAGACCTTTTTAATGAAACTACTATGTGTAAATAGTTCATTTATTTTTGCTTTTTTATTGGTGTATTATATAAATATCATATGCAGTAGCTGCTTAAGTGAAAAAGAATTTATCCTAACCTACAAAAAAATGTTAGAAGCATTAGCAGCTGATTTCATGTGTTGGCAACATTAAGCTGCCAACGTTAAGCCAACATTAGCCAGAGCTAGTACTGTGTCTAGAGGTATTTTTTTTTTTTTTTTCACTCTGAAACCTTAGTCCCCAAAAAAGTGTTTTCAACGCAACAGTGTTAAGGAGCTTGTTTCGCAGATATTCTGGTGTCGGCATCGGGGTCGTTGGTTGTGATCGAAAAATCAGCGTTGTCCGTGACCCATAAAATAAACCATAAACATTTTCGATTCAATTAAGAATCAAACCTAGGCCTTCTTTCTGCGTGGCAAGCAGCTGTTCAACAACAAAGCCTCACCATCGCTTGAAACTGCTTGGGGAAAAAAAAAACTATATGAATGCAATGAAATGAGAGGGATCTTTTTAACATATGCAGTACTGTGCAGATGCGTAGAATCGCACCAGGATTAAACATGCGAATCGTGCAACGAGTTGGTGTTTTGAAGACTCACACATTTTAAAGTGCTCAGATATATTTAACTATAATCACCAGCCAAATCACTAGCAAAAGCACACACAAAGTGAGCACCTGCATGGGTTTGGGTGTCACATTACAGATGCATAGTGGGCCCTTCGCTGATTTGCAAAAGCAAGAATAATGCCATAGTGGGCACTGCGCAACTGCACTTGCAGTAGGCCTTCTAGAATAGTTTGAAATGGCCAATGTTGCACGCACAGTCATTCGTTTCCCCAAGGCACAGTTGAGACACGCACCGAATACTGAAGCCGAGCTAGCAGTTGAGAAGGCGATGTGCGTGGGCTTGATTACACTATTGCATTCCACTCTTGGCAACAAAGCCCAAGCGCCTTTTCAGTTTTTATATGAAATCAAGCGCTTCTGCAGAAACTAGAGCTTATTTTCTAAATTGGCATATTGAAATGTTTACAAAAAAAGCGATAGAAAAGGACAAAATTTTTTAATTAATGCAATAGGCTAAAGACTGGCAACAATGCTTACACTTGGCTGACAACCAATTATTTAATCGACATAAAAAGGAAATGCCTCCAACTTCATGGTGTCTCTGGACCATTGAGTTAGAGGAGCTCACCGAAAGAGGCACAGAACATGCAGGATGCCCTGCTGGGCTGCATGCCACTCCAGGAAAAGGAGGCGAGGGTTCGTCATTGGTAGGTGACGGCAGGTACAGCTCGGGATGTGGCAAGGTGCATTGGTACTGGATGTAAGTGGCCAGCAAGGCATTCCTTCCATGAATGTCGTTGCGATCGTCCAAAAGCTTCTGCATCAGAGAACAGACAAATGTGAAGATACGTCACTTCGTTACTCACTGGCATTATTCACACTATCACATTATTACAAAGCACATCAGAGTGAACATGGCGAACTATTCTTATCTGAAGTTATTAACCTCCCCACCAACATTCTCCACTTCTCTACTAGACACCACGAGTATCGGTTCGTGCCTGGCGTACTAACTACAGTTTTCAAACTTAAACTGTACCGTGCCTTGTGTACCTCTATTCGTGAACCTTCTAATGTTAAGTGTGCATCGCCCCACCCCTACAGACATTCATTCAGCATAAAATAATCAGTGCGAGCTCATTTTGCCAGTGACATGCCACCTTTAAGTTAACTTGCGTTTGAGTTGCACTTGAATGATCACCATTTCTGCATGTGTCTACCACAACACAGATTGTAACCTATGCCTAATTTTTATGTACAAAAATGAAAAAAAAAAAAAAAACGCGGTACTTCAGACAGTCCTTATACCTTATTTTTCTTGTAAGAGAGAAAGCGACAATGGTTCTTCCTTGAATCTCACAATCAAAGCTGCCCACGGTATATCAGCAAACCATTTCCCAACTGTGTTGGTGCCAATGGCTACCTAATAAACTTGTGTAGGAGTCCAGGCACTGTTTAGGTACTGAAGACGCAGCTAACACGTAGATTGCAGGAGTGTGCGAAACAGGACTCTCTAGTACTTGCTAGTCCCCTCTCTAGCATTTTCTTTTTTTTTTTTTGTAGGGTGGATGGAGAAAAAGTTTGTTCATGTTCTAGTGTAGTGAATATTGCAGTATTCGAACCCGCTTCCACATGAAGTTACACTGTCCGAAATTTCATGATATTCTAAATGAACAAATAAACATAAACTACATGTCTTAGGCCACGCAAGGCCCGACAACAAATAAACGTAAACTACATATCTTAGGCCCACACGAGGCCTGACACGTCGTGGAGGCTTTCAGCTACTCATGCAGCCTCTGCCAGTAGTGAACGAAAAACTTGTCGACTACGAAGTACATGCTGGCGGCCCTGTTGCCATTTCCTAGTGATTGACCAATCATTTTCAACTTTAAAGCAGCAGTATAGCTCTCGTATCGACCGAAAACTTGACCACAAAACGGACACAATAAAGTATGCTACACAAACTAACACACCGCAACGCACCTATATTAAAGTGAAATTCAATTCATGGCTTTTTTTAATCAAATTAGGACTTTGCGAGTTGAGAGTATGCATCATGCTCAAGAGATGGCACCAGGCTGTCGTGCACTGTCATCATCAGTGGTTGGAAGTAGCAGATGACATTACTGCTGCAATTTTCAGTGGTGCAATAGTTACTCACCAAAAAAATATATATACAGTATTTTTGTTGGGCAATGTGGGAAATGCGAAAGTTATGCAAGTGCTAAGATTACGCGAGTAAATGCAGTATACAATTCAAACTATTCAATACTTGGCCAAATCTATATTTGCTTCGAATTCGCTTGAAACATAAAATTCACTATTTGCACATCCCTACTTTTCTTTTTGAAAAACATTGGGCTAAAACTGAGCAGATTCAACAAATGTGTGGCTAGTTAATAAAGTTGCCTCAATGCCTCAATGAGAAACCCTGCATACCTGTGCCACATCATTATATCGGGGGATCGTATCAGAGACCACAGCAACCTCAGCTGACGGCTCTTTCTTAATCCCCCTTTTATGCACTATGCACATTAAGGAAATCTACAAAATACAATGAAAACTTGCATGGTCCTATGGACAAGTGCCAAGCATGCTATTCTCTACAACCGAATCTGAACTGAACAAATATGTAACAAAAAAAGACACTATTCATTGGTCATGCTTTATTTCAATAATGTGTATTATCCTGCTGCAGCAATTCCCATTTTTCCCAGCTTTTTCTCTTTACAAGATTTCCAGAAAGCTTACTTGCCTGAAAAAAAAAAACTGTAATGTACAACAACACTCACCACCACTGAATCGGCAACAGCAGCCAGCGCATGGAATGCAGCCTGCCCTAGGTTGAATGGCTGGCCGCCGAGCCGGGGCGGCTGCACTAGAAGCCGGACAAGTGCATCCAGAATGGTGGGCAGAAAACGAACGAGCGGGCCCGGTTTGCATTTCACAAGTTCCATCAGGCTAGCTCGGAGCATTGTCTCTGCCGTCTCACCGTTGAGAAGACGCTGCGGCACGTGGCCACACTCGACAGCCGTGCAGAGCTGAAAGAACCGGTCTAGGTGCTCGTCCTGCAAGAGCAACCAACTTGATAAGTGGTTGCAACAAACCTGACATGAACAGATTAAGGAAGGCACAACAGCACACTGCTGCTTTCTTTGATCCGTTGATCTCAAGTTTGCTCAAGATGGATGGATCAAATACAGAGGTAATACTGCATACTCTAAGTAAGGAATCTCTCAAAAAGAACTGCTGCCTAAATGGAACAACTGCCTCTAACATGACTGGTTTCATACATGAATTCTGCCTCTTTGTTCTCTCAGTTCACAACACCACTGATAAACAGAACACATTTTCCTGTTCCTTTCGTGCTCCATTCAACGAGGGTCTACTGCATCTCACAACTATTAGACCTAAATTAGGTGCTGCAAAAAACACTATCACTCTTCACGAAAATAGCCCTTTGCTCTATTTTTCCACTCACGACACTTTTTCCATTCGCGACTATAAAGAGTACACATGACGCATAGGGGCACTGTGTTGCAGACGATTCTTTTGGAAATATCAAGGAAGGCTACCGATACATGCCAGATAAGCTAGTGTGCTATTCTGCAAAAACTTGTACACGAGCATGTCCAAGTTTCATAACCAAATTTTGGAACTGATATGATTCAGAAACTCCGCTGGTGACAAACGTGACAGTTACAAGAATGACACACATAAAATGTGACTTTTCTGAAGCATTTCTAAAAAATAATAAGTGGCTTTTGCCATGTTTCTGGTCATAATTTATACAGAACTCATGGCACAAAGTCAAGACAATACGATCTGACATCTAATGTGCTCCAAGTGGGTACACAGCAGGAGGTAAATTGCTTAGCTAGAAAGTACTGGTAGTATGCATAGGAGTGCCGTTTTACACTCCCTATACTGTAATGCACTCAGACAAATCACATCACATATGTACCTGAGGGTGGACGGTGGAGACAGGCTGCAAGAAAATGTCAAAAAGGCCCTTGTGATTGTCGACCCACTTGGTGTTGGGAATCTGTATGCTAGGCGTGAGGAACGAGTAGCTGGCTGGAGGGTGGTCCAGCATCACTGGTAGCAACTGGTCTCCCATTTGAAGCTGTCCATCATGGTACAGTGGCAGCCACTGCAAGAAACAGGCAATAGTTGCACCATCACAGGCTGTTCAACCGTATCGCCTTCTAACATTACAAAAAATCGCTGCATGGTAACAGCACGCACTGGTGTGTTCTGCCACAAAACCAACGTAATGTTAAATAAAAAAGAAAAAACTTGCAGACAAAAGAAAAAATAATCTGCATCCTGCATTAAGGAAAGCAGTGGACTGGACAGAGAATAAAAAATGCAAACGTACATCTTCTCATGCACTGCCCGTTGAATTACATTCCGATAAGCTACGCGTTGTCAAATAGGTGAGTTATAATAAATATTAAAGTCAAATTTCATATTACACAGATTTTTATCACATGTTTAATAAGGGCTTCTCCCCGTGCTGCACGGAGTTCTTGCCAGGTGACCCACCCACTTGTGCGGCTGATACCTCCATGACGCAACATTATCAAACAAACTCACAGTGTAGCCAATGGGAGTTTCCGTTGGCATAGTCTGCTCCACTTTGCGCTGACAGCTTATGTGGTAAAAAGTGAAGAACAGGTGGTGTCGATCGGACAGCTTGGCTGGCAATTTCACCTTGATCTCATCGTGAAAATCTGGAGATCTGAAAGAATGACAGAAGTGGACGTAGTATTCAAGCACGTTTGCGCTCCATGCAGCTAGCTGTTCATGTCGAGAATATCATTTTCGCGCTGAGGCATGTTACCTCTTTTAAACTGCATTTTAGGGGCGAAGCTCCTTAGGATGTGGGTCATTCCCTCCGTAGTAGTAATAGTATGTACATAGCCACCTCTAGTTTATGAATTGCTTAATAGATGGCGTTGTGTGTACTATATGTCCTCAAAATAATATCATTAGATGACGTTAGTGGTTTTAGTGGAATGGTGCTAGTTTAGGGGCAGACAGACAAACGGACGCCCCACCCATCATCACTGAGAACTGCTTCCGTGGATATGCTGTAAGTTTTTTTAGTATGCACAGTCGCGAAACTTTCTTTCATTCTGTTCATTAAAAACAACATTATCAAAGCAAATTGCTATGACAACAGTCCCTCTTGAGAGGACTTGTGGAAATAGTGAATTTTAGGTTCGCAGTGAATTGAAGCGAATAGTGATTTTGGTGGACTAACTTCGAATGAAATTTAAATACTGTATGTCACACATAAAAAATATGGGCATATTTGTCATGACATAACTAATCTGCATAATATTTTTTAAATTAAAAAGCAAGACCTGCGCAAATGCTGTTTTTTATTTGTTTTAAAGAAGGTGGGAACAACTTTGGTATGATTTTACATGAGGGAGAATGCAATTAATAATTTGTAATATATGTTACATTTTTAAATTTGCTACGCCTCGAACATATAAGCCTGTATAACAAACCTTTAAAATTAAAGAATGATGAATCACTGCCAGGGCAGCATGTTCATTAAACCTTGAAATTAGACTTCGTGAAAATCAAACTTCTCCAAAATAGGTGTTTTCACGGCTAAGCACTCCTTTACTGTTGTGAAACCCCCTTTACAGAAAAATTACATACACACTAATACATTTAGATAGTTGCTTTTACGGCTTAGCACCCCTCTACTGCAACGAAACCACTTTTACAAGCGTTATATGCCAACTAATATACATTCATTTGTTCATCTCGAATACTTCAATGTTCTTCAATAATTTAAATTCGAATCAAAGTGAATTCTAATATTCGTTTGAATATTCAAAGCATTCAAATATTTGCACAAGCGTACTTTTGAGACCTGTTTTTATTGTCATGCACTTAACAGGGAACCAGTGGTGCTGTTCTAATGACATTGCAATGACAAAGACTTTGAACCCTGTTCACACACTGAGCTCATAAATAATATCTTGAACTCATCAGCATGCCTCATAGCTTTGAGTACAACATAGGCAAACCACTGCTTTCACCCCTCTGCCCTTCCATGGCAACCAACTTGTAGTTTTCTGGCTGTCTTTTGAAGCAGCAGGTGCGTTCCTTCAACCAGCAGGTGCATTCAATTGCAATCCTTAAACCATTGATTCACACCATGCATATACATGGAAGAGTTAATTTGAATGCTTGCTCACTTTTTACTTCATATGAGCAAATTACTTCCATGAATGTGACACAAAGTTATGTGATATAGTAGGTACCCACCAAGTTAGTGAGGCACAAGACCTATATGGAACTGTGAATGTTTATCGGTAGCTTACACCTCCTAATCTAGATATCTAGAGACAGATATAACAAATCCTTGAGTATGCTTATAAGCTCCCAAATTTAATAACAGTGATAAGAAGCACAAAAAAGCATCATTTAAAGTATTACTTAATGTGAAGGAACAATCTTATGACAGCTATTTCGTTGAATGACATACTACTTTAAGCACACAATTTTTGTGACTTGCCTTGTGATATGATCTGAGTATCTAAAAATACAGCGCATCATAATAATTGCATGCACAATACAGTTGTGAGTACACTGGTACTTCATCCCAAAGAAATGAACAAAGTGAACAGCTGCTGCGTACTTACTTGTTATGATATGTCACCATTGTGTATACTTCAGTCACAAATTCAGGACAGCTGGATTTACCAAAGAGCACCTGCAAATTAACAAGAAATGATGTGATACCACACACAGTAAAGTTAGCATATGCAAAACTTGTTTAGTGTAGGTGTTTTCAGTAACGCTAAGTGTGGAGAGTTGGACGAATAGTAAATTTGAGGGTAAAAAAAAGACAGAGCTGAATAGTGATTGGGTTGAGTAATTTCAAATTGAATAATTCGAATAGTTTATATTACATATTATAAGAAAATGAGCATTTATGTCATAACCCAACTATTTTTATCAATACACTTAGGAATTGGAGCTAGGCACATGTGAATGCCACTTCTTTGGTTTGAAGTGAGACGGAAGCAACCTTGAACAGTAGCAAGATTTCAATAGGAGTATCATATGGTGCAAGTTGTAAGCAGTATAATAAGATACATAATAAAATTTACTACATTCAGCGCATGTAAGCCTGTGTAACCTGCTTCTAAATTTAAAAAATAATTAATTGAGGCGTGAAGGTAACATGTACGTTTAGAACTGAAGCGTGGCTTTGCAGCTGCAGCGATGCGAATTTCCCCTGGATGAACAGTTTCACGGTAAGACAACCTCTCGCAGTGAAACCACTTTTACAGAAGGATTACATGTGGTCAAATATTTATTTGTACAATCATTTTGAGTAGTTTGAAATTTCGAATAATTTAAATTTCTATTGAAGTAAATTGAAACACCATAACATTCATTCGAATATTCAAAGTGCTCGAATATTAGCCCATCTCTATAAATGTGTTGACATTATGTGATGATCATTGTAGATACTGTGCAAAGTCATGCATGTGCCACATTTATGTTAGAAATGACATAACTTGTGCTGAAGGGATACATGAGGCTTAAGCTCACTTCATTTTTTGAACAAAGAGGATGATTACCAGTGTTGCATTTCAGCATTTCCGCACTTTCAATTGCTTCTCTTTCAATTTCAATACTGAAGTACTGTTGCTCTCATTGTGCAGCTAGAAATGAGAATATAAGTACACATATGAAGAATATGAAATGTGACACATTGCAGAGTGTCTATGCACTCTACAAAGGCACAATTAGGTGCACCTCAGAGTCAGGATGTTGACTATTCTTCGAAAGCCCTAGTGAATTTGCAAAGGAACCAACATTTCAGCAGTCACAAACATATAAGCTGCACAGAAAATCATCATCATTTAACCTCTACAAGAACTTGTTTTTGGGCAAGTTGGTACCTTAGTTTGCTGAACATTTTGTAACTGGAACACTTTGTAAAGGGACAAGCTTTGGCATTGGCCTGTCTCTTTCCTCCCCTCTTTATGTTTATAGCTTCGCACCAGTTACAAAATATTCAGCAAAGATCATCATTTCAAGTACGACTGTAGCCGGCAATCCACTCTGTCCACACTTTCCATGCGATCTGCCTTCCATCTCAGCTCAACATGCGTTTAATTTTCAGTGTGAATAAAAGAGACACTCACAGGAAGAGCACAAGTGATTTCATCCTCTCCGCAGAGAAGCTGCACGCGGCAAGCAATGTTGCGCGCAGAGCCCGGCCGGCCGGCAAAGTTGAGCGAGCGTGGGTAGATGTAGAGGAGGTTCCGGTAGAGGTACTCTGGCTTGAGGACATCGCGCAAGGGAAACTCCAACATCTCCTTCGTCGGGCGGCCCTTCTCGTCGGGATACGGATGAAGGCGCGCCAGCTCGGGACTTAGGCAGTACCGCACCTCCTCCGCACATGGCGATATGTCCAGGCGCAGAGTGCCTGACGAGAAGCGTACAAGTGCTATTTAACGAATTTCACACGTAAGAGCTAGGTAAATGATGTATACAACAATCCCACTTTAAAATATTACCAAACATGAAACTATCTCTAAAATATGACACATCTTTTACAATCACATTTTTTTTTAAGAGTGCCATACTGGAGAGAGGTTCTATTAAGTACCGTGCATATTGCAAGAGGTAAAATGGTAGTCACTGGTGTAAGAAAGTAAAGCCGATGAAGGCAAAGAAAAAGAACAACGCTTAAGATGAAGACGTGTTAAAGGCTAACGTGCAACTAGGGTTAGGCAGCATACCTGGGATACTTTTCAGTCTTTTCAGCATTGAGCCTGACCGCTTGAGATCTATGAGGAACTTGTAGAGATCTTCATCTCTCAGCCTATCACTTTCCTGTAACAAATATAGATGAGAACTACTCGTATTTACAGAGATATCTCTTTCATCCCTAGAACATGATATCTCTTCAACTCTTTCATCCCTAGAACATGTACTGACTGGAACCACCTTTCCGCATTGATCGCTTCAATCACAGACGCCAACGCGTTAAAATCAATCATTTCTGAAAGTGCATTATAATTTATTCTAATCCTGCTGTTTTGTTTTATTTCTTATTAATATTTGTTGTCCCACTCCTCTCTGTAATGCCCAGTGCCTTGAGAGTAAATAAATGAAATGAAATAGAAAACGCAAAAATTAAACACATATTCCAGCCAAAAGCAATGGGCACCTCACCTGCTTGAAAAAGCTTGACACGGTGAGAGTAACTGGGCGAAAAGTGTCGAGACTGTTGGCAAAGTCGTCGGGGGACCAGCTACGGCGCTTTTCAGATCCGGCCCGTCGTTCCAGCGAACCACGACGGCCTGAAAGTATTCAAGTAACCCACTCATTTCTCAAAACAAGCTGATCTTGACAAATGCATGCTTACAGCTGCATGCTAAAACAGTACAAGAGCAATACAGCACTCTTAACACATTCACAGCAGGCAGACACTAGACAACAGCTCATACACATTATTAAACATGATTGCACAACGACAATACAGTATCATGAACTTCAGAATGTGCCGTAGTTACATACAGAGCATGCAATGCACTAAGAAAAGCATTAGATCATGCAAACTAATGGTGGTATGAGCGTTAAGCAGTTGGAAGTTAATATGTGTTTACTGATAAACAACACGGGAACAAAATGCCACCAACCAAACAAGTGCATTGGCCATCACACTCCATACTTCAAAATGATGAACTTACCAATGACAATTCCAAGGTTTGCTTCACAAATAGACACAAGAACATATTAAGAAAAATACAATGTGGCCATCAAAGTGCAAATAAACAAGTCTACATTGAGTGAAAAACACAAGTTCAAAAAATAATGGGTACGTAACGTTCTGATTGAGATTGCTAATATATAGACAATCACTGCAAGATGAGACTTAAAAGCAGTCTTGACCACAATCAAACATATTTGCAAAGCATGCTTACCATAGAACAACTTGTACCTTTTTATTGAGAAAGCACACTAAATTAAACCAGCAAATTACCATGAGCAGTGATGTGCCAAACCCTCTCTTGAACACAAAAAGCTTTACCAAAACGACACAAACTGTGGGTAACGTACACTTCTAGCCAGTAGTTAACACTGTGAGGAAGAGTGCACAGCAATAAGTCTAATTAACGACAAGGCCGTAATTCATAATAAGAAACACTACTAGTGGATTTGCAGGGTCCCCACCCAAGGTGTTGTTCGAGCCAATGCTGTCTCGATCGCTGCCGCTGTCCTTGTCGAGGCTGTTGACCCCCGTGAGCACGTTGAGCAGATAGACTGCTGTCCAGGCAAATGGCATGCGATATTTGCCAAGACGCTTGCATGTTGCCACAGCATTGGCGCGAACCTTGTCCTTGTTCTGCATCCATTAAATTTTGGGGGCCAATGTTAACAACCAAGGCAGGGATGGTGGGTGAGTAATGACAATCATGTTCAACAAAAAAATTCTTGTCAGGATTACCTTTTCATCTTTCATGTAGGGCTCTGCGCATTCGTTGATATCTCCCTGAAGGACTTTCTCGAGCTGAAAACAGAGATCGTCCATTTCCCATTGTGCAGCGAAAACATTCGTGTCCCGTCATGCACTGACTGAGCAATGAACAGGCATGAAGGGTAAAAAGTGAGCAAGATGACTGAAAAAAATCCCATACACCCCTGAAAATATGAAGATGTGAACACTTGCGATGAAAATGTTACTATATCAAGCATTAAACCCTCCAATACTCAAAACCTTAGTGATCGGATGGCTAGAAGCCGTACTACTCTAAGGCGGTAAAAAAATAAATTGGCAGCAGCCACTGCATCCACTACAGTTGAACCCTTTTGTAAGAGACACTAATGTAAAAGACAAATGGGTATAAGAGACACCAAGTGTGCCCATATTGAAATAGGGGTTGATTAAAAAATGCATGCATGATACCCCGCTTATAAGTGACACCTTATATTAAAGACAAGAACTGCCATCGTGCTTTCAGCCATCGTGCCCTGATCTATGTTTCCCATAAAAGGTTTTAACTGTAATATGCCTACCTAAGCTATTAATGAACGAAAGAAAGGCCATTTTTTAGCGACTCATTAATATGTGAGACAGAACCAAACGAATTGAACAGACAATTAGGCCAGAGAGAGCATAGAGGATGTTAATTGCTTCTTTAACTGTAGTGTACTAATTGTGATGGAAATTGAATCAAAGTGGACGAAAAATCATCCTTTTCGTTAATAGGATCTGAACCCACATCTCATGCCACATGATGCCCTCTGGCAAAAAGAGTGTTCCATACTTGCGGCCTGGGCTATGAGCAGCAATCAATGGCTGACACTCCGAGCTATTAGTACATGCAAAGAAATCCCCGCCGAAGTACACAGGGAAGGACCTTCCATGATAGCTGAATCGGTAGAGTATCGGAGGCTCAACTCGAAGGTTGTGGTTTTAAATCTCACCAATGGCAAGGACGATTTTCGTCCCATTTAATTCGCTTTTTTATACAAAATCGTCCCATTTAATTCGCTTTTTTATACCACAATTAGTACGCTACAATTAAACAACAACAAATGACTTACTCTCAGCTCAAAAAGACGAACTGTCTGTTCAATTCATTGGGCTGAGTCTAACTTGGCTATAGTAACTTCGGTGAGTAAACTTCAGGACTGGCAAGGTACCTCTCACGAATGACACCCTCACGCTGTTATTACACTATGCTTCCTCACTTTGCATTTCAGACACATTTGGAAGAGAGAAAGTATGAAAATTTCTTTAAAATTTTCATTTTCTCAGCTAAATTATTTATAGTAGCAAAGCCTAACGAAAAGAAAAGAATGAACTAGCTATATATTAAAGCAAATATCAAGAGCAGCACCGATTAGTTCTAACACAGAACATTCCAGAACATGCTCAAATGATCACAGGTTATTCCTTACTTTGATGACTAGAAACAAGTCAGTAGATGGGTACGTGATGTTGAAGATGCATGATCGACAGAGCGTCGAGATGTCATGGTAAGGAATGTGGTCGGAGAGCATCCTCTTCATAGGTTCAGAGTTCATGTCGAAGTAAAAGTTCTCCGACACCTGAGACGAGAAACCACACATGAAGTTCGATATATTTGGCAACTGCGAATCAACAAGCATTGCAAACTTGTACAACCAAAAGTGCACGGAAAAACGAGTGAGTTTTGAGTTCATCCATGTGGCTTACCTTTTTCTTTTCTTTGGCATCATAAATGGCCATGCTGCCAAAGATTGGCTCGACCTCCAGCTCCAGTCTAAAAAATATTAAGACACACGTGGTAAGCAATAAAAAAATATTAAGACACACGTGGTAAGCAATGAAAACAAGAAAAAAAAACAGTAAGGCACAGGCAGAGAATAACAATGACAAAGTCGAATCTCATTAATTCGAACATGCTTAATTCGAACTTCCGGCCAATTCGAACTCACACTGAGGTCCCGTAAAAGCTATGTGCGTTCCAATGGGTGAAAACGCCCTGTAATTCGAACGCACAAGCACTTGCGACGGTTAGTTCGAACACACCGCACTCCGAAAATTCTCTCAGCACCACGCCCAATCCCGCTGCGGCACCTCCGACACTTAGACCTTGCGTGCAAATGGAAAGAAAAGGCTGCGATGGAATGTTTGCTCTCTCTCAAATGCATATCTGCGATGTGCACCTGTGCCACACTTCTACCTTTTTTGTATCTCCCACGTAAGGACCCTTCTCCTTCAACGCCACGCGCGGAGAGAGAGGAAAAAAAAGAAAGAAAGCTGTCGCGGAGTGTTGGCTCTCTCGCGCATGCCAGTGCTACGCATCCCCCTCTCCTATCTCCTATCCTTTTTCCTTTCTACAAAGCGCACGAAGAGAGAAAAAAAAAGCTGTTGTGGAGTATTGGTTCTCTCTCAAATGCCGATCTGCTTCTCTCTACATGGAGACGCTCCTTTTTCGTCACGTGCTGGCCACGCTGCAGCTGCGGCGCAGAGAGCAGTAGCGGAGGCGCAGTCGTTGTTATCGTCTTTTTTAGAGAGTGTCAGTGCTAGACATTCCCGCGCGCAACTTCTCTTGCAAGGAGAGTGCTAAAGTCAAAGTAAAAATGCTTTGCAAGCTGTGTGCGAAATTCATTGACTTGCTGCTAGGCAAACGTGTGCAACACAACTCAATAAAGAAAGCTTTTTTTTGAGAGACAACCTACTTGAGAGCCAGGCATCGAACCAGAATCCGGTGAGCCATATGTTCACGTTGTGGCTCCGCAGGCAAACGTCTTTCAATGATCTCCTCCTATGAGTCAATAAATTACCCATGAGAGTTTACTTGCAGGTAACACACAGGTAGGATGGGTACAGGCACACACATGCATACACACATAAGTTCAAGATTGCAGCACACCTTTGGAGAATGCTTTTATATGCTTTCACTGATGTTAATAAAACTCAACTTGTGTGTACTTAGGCTTCTAGAATTTAAGCTAGGTTATTTTGAGCTATTGTGCTGGCAAAGAGTTTGAGAGTCCCACGGACTGCCTCTATTAACAATCACTCATAGATGTTCTGAAGCCAAAATCCTGAATCTATATTTCATTTAGGTTACGTTATGACATTCGCCTGTTTGTCTAAGTTAGCTTAACAAACTTTCATCTAATTGGTTTCAAGGTCATTTGTGCAGACATGACGCTTCACAACTTTCAAAACAAACAATTATCATGGGTGATTGACTGATTGATCAAATCTCATTATCATCTCCATTGGTACAAAAAATTAAATTACAAAACTTGTAGGTATGTATAATTATTTTCATGTAGAGTCATCAGTTTACAGTACTAGATGTGGAAGCACAATGCACACATTATCGTTAACTTACTTTCGAACTGAGTACAGATTTGGTGGTAGTATAAACTTCAGAAGATGGGACATTGCTCCACAAGACAATTACGGCCTTAATGAACAGTACTGATCGAGTGTGCAACACTGAGACATTCCTGAAGTCTTTAAAAGAAAATTATACACCTGATTTTCATATCATAAGTAATCAGCTTCAACTTGACTTTTTTATTTTGATGTAAAGAATGTCTGCTACTTTATTGCAGGTACAATCACGAATTCAAAATAAAAACTACTTTTGTTTAGCATGCAAGTAATTTAATAGTTCCAACGCTGTGAAGCATGAAACTGCAACCAACTTCTCACCTCATCTTGGAGAGGGTACAACTCAAAGAGGGCATCATGGCGTCTTTCGAGACGCTGAGCTGCATTCCGGCGGTCTAGTTCTTCGGGCGGTGTACGTTCAAGCAGGGCTGGCACCAGTGGATCGGCTGCCGAGTTGCGCAGGTCAAAGACGCTGCTCGCCCAACTTCCTCGTGGAGTTTCAGCAGCGCTGGCACACCGGAATTCAACCGAAGAAATGCTCTCTGCTGGTGAAGGCTGCATAAAACACAACATAGCAGCAGCCGCTGTCAAACTTCCATGTAGTAATCATAAGGCTTGTGCAAGCATCAATTTCTCGGTTCGAAGCAAAATCAGAGTGAACGATAATTAGTAGGCTTGAGTGTATAGTAAACTTAAGTTTTGAAGCGAACAGTGATTAAGTTGAATAATTTCAAAATGAATGTGATTTATATATATATATATCACCACGTTCCTTTCTTCAAGTTTTGCTGTCGTCCCATTGCACTATGTTCAGCGCAAACCTCGCCTACGTTGTTAGAGAAGCTTCGAGGCTGTAGTAGACCATTTTGTTAAGATTATGCCCACTTCGTGAACCTTTCAGATTATTCTGGAACCAACTTCGCCGCTTGCGATAACGCTAGATGTTCAATGGCAAGTGTATAAATGTTGACACGTTTCGCTGCTTGTCAGTTGATCGACGGCCGACGCCCTGCTCGCTGCTATCAGTGCCCGCTTTTTGCTGTAATATGACTTTCCTTTTACGTGGCCACAAGTTCGGCCCGAATAAACAGTTTATCATTTGACCTGCAGTCGGCTTCGTTCGTCCACGTCACGACCCCGTGACTATATATATATATATATATATATATATATATATATATATATATATATATATAGTCACGAAGAAAAATGAGCATTTTTGTCAACTAGCCTACTGGCCTGTGCAAATGTCTTTTTAATTGTTGTTGTTAAAAGTAAATGGAAACAATTTTGAATAGTAGCAGTATTTGAGTTTCGGTAGAATGAGAGTAATAGCATATAAAATATGTTACAATATAAAATTTACTATGCTTAGAATATATAAGCCAGTATAACAAAAATATAAAACTTAGAAAACAATGAATCAATGTGAGGGCAACATGTTCAATTAGCTTTGAAATGAATCTTTCCGGCAGCGCGAATTTTCTCTGGAGGTATGTACTCACGGTACAACACCCCTCTGCTGCAGTAAAGCCACCTTTACAGATGTGTTACAAGCGGATTGATACACATCTAGTTGTTCATTTCCGATACTTTGCAATTTTTTATAATTTAATTTCGAATTGAAGTCGAGTACTGTGATACTTGTTGGAATATTCGAAGCGCTCGAATATTCGCACAAGCCTAGTGATTAGTATCGAATACTTTTTCAACCTATTCAAGTAGCTGCAGGATTTGTAGGATGCAACTTATAGGCTGTAAAATATGTTGTTTCAAAATGTACCATATTCAGCCTACATAAGACCGTACAACACACTTTCAAACATCAATCAAGCTGCAGGTAATTTTCACTTCGCGACAGTGCACATTTCCTTAGAGTAGGCAGTTTTGTGGCATAGCGGCTGCACGCTTCAGTTAAACCACCTTTTTAGGCTGTTTCTGTGCTGTAAGATATGTTTCATATTCGTCCATTTTTGATGCGTTGAAATTTCAGAAAGTGTAATTTTCTAAGTTGAAGCAGTATTTCATGCTAAACCGTATGTGTCCCACAAAAAGTCTACCAAAATTTGAGTGCATGCACTGCATTATAAAAAAATTATGTGTAGTATTTGATTTGGGCATACTGTTTAGACCACATAGCACCTTTGCTACACTAACCAGTGGTAGGAAATAAAAATAAACTACACTTATCTAATGGCATCGTCTAAGACAGGCCAATGCCTAAGATCATGTTTATTATTACTATTACTACAATTATTATATAGCCACCGACCTGAGGTTTAAAATTGGCAGAATCGTACAGATAATACATTTAGGAGGTATGAAAACGAGCAGAAAGACAGAATTCATTCTTTTTAAGAGCTATAGCCTTTGTCGATGCATACATAGATGGTTTTGTTTAACTTTGTCGTTTTGCCTTCAAATGCTATTGCCATGTTTTGGTAGGGCCCATTTCCTCCTTTTCAGGCCTTTAGTTTTCACTTGAATGAGGCAGGGCCTGCTTTATTGTGTGGTCAGCCACCTCGATGCTGTGTTCTTTTGAATTACTTTGGTCTGTTCATGGTTTTGTTAAGTTTTTTCGCTTGTGTGTTATGGCTTTTGTTTTCACTAGGTGTGTAAGCAAGTCGTCAGTTTCACTGACTGACACCGAGTTCGCTTCTCTAGATTGTCACTTTTAGTCATTTCACCCTCACGCGTTCTTTCCATGTTTTTGGTGGCGACTTTCTCATTTGTTGGTGTATTTCCACTTATCACTACAACCACTTGGGTATTTCGTCCCCTGCTCATATTCAGTTTTGTTATTCCTGAGCGCGTTTTCGAAGTGCAATGCAGTGTTGTCGGTTTTCCCATCACTGAAGTAGGTTGCTTTGTTTACAGAAAAAAAAAGTGTGCATCAGCACTAGCATTTTTGTCCTTGTTAAGGGGAGATGCTACTCGAAGACACTTTTTTTTAATATTCACCCGAGAGAAATGCAACTTGAGCTTTTATGGAACTTTTTATGCTGATTTCAATTATATAATTATTTTTCTTGCAAGTTGCATACTTTTAGTTGTGCAACATGACAAAGTGAAAACCTTAACCGTTTTGCCCCCCCCCCCCCCCTCTTAACTTCAGTAATTTTTTACCATTCATAGTTCTTAATGCTTGAAATAAAGTGTAGAATGCAAATAACTAATTAGGAAGCCCATACAAAATATGTAATAGGCGTGAAAAATAATAGACATAAAAAGTTTTATTTCACCTACCCTAGTAAAGGTCTACATACAATATTTTATTATAGAATAAAATATTGAAATTTAAACTAGACAATTGCATTTGTCATATTTTGGAAAAAATTTGGGCGAAATTTCATGCAGATCCGAGCACTAGAAGTGCTCGAAAAAGAAGGGGCACATTGAAAAAAATGGCAGAATTTGTGTTTTGAGAAAAACAAGTTTTACAGTTAAAATTGAGTTTTTCTTTATGAAAGATATCATTAAATCTGATGAAAGTTGACAACCACAAAGAACAATCCTTCTTGTAGGGGCCACTGCCACTAAAATACGGCAGCACCATAAGCTTGTCCCTCTCGGCTTTTTCGAGCCGACTCCTCACAGGCAGGGCCACGAAACGCTTGCCAAACTTCCGCTCCATCTGGCAGAGCCACGTGGCAACTGCAAGCTTGGAAGAAGTTCGACAGGACTGCGAAACTTAAACTAAGTCCAGTGTCATGCCATTTTGCGGTCATTTTTGTGCCACATACCGTCGTACATAATGGCAATGTCGTCCCTGCTAAGTTCCCTCACTGCGAGCTCTTTTGACCTCACAAGATTGGCGCTGACGTCATCCATTGCCGCATCACGAACTTTCTGGCTGACGGGTGTGAATGAGTTTTGTTGCATTAGCTTTTGCAAGCCAACAACTGCCGCAAATCGGACCAGCTGCTCGTAGCCTATTCCTACAGAGCGCGCCGCACAACGGTGTTCACTTGCGAGCAGTGGCTTTTTTCGTTCATAACGGAGATAATTACACGAGAAAAGCATTCTTCAGCTGCGCTGCTCGACAAGACATGGACACCGCAAATAGGCTTCACAGCACATACAGGCGCGAAGCGGCCAATGGCCGTCCCCGGTCCGTACCACGTGATAAGCCAGTCGCGGCGCTCGATAACTCGCAGAAGCGTGCTTCTTTTTATTATTTCTTGCACTGCATCAGCGAGGGAAACTGTTGTTATTTGAAGAGTGAGGCTCATGCGATCAACAATGGCGAGCGGTGGCACACTATCGAAGGCTAGGTGCTCGAAGACTGCACACTTTGGACCTTTAACAGGCACCTTGTGCTCTTTAGATGCAATTTAAAGCATTTGCAGTTAAGTCTCAACCTGTACTTTTTTCGTAACAGTAGAGGTACTATTCTTATCTAAACAGGCAAAAATTAAAAATCGGTGATTTTGAAAAAAGAATCACGTTTTTCGACTCGCATCTCCCCATAACATGCGATTTCTGCCTATAAAATTTTTGGTTATTATATTTGCTGTTATTTTCTAAATCGTATCAGTGTTTTGAGTAGGTATAGCCACAATGAAAACTCCTGTTGAAATGTAAGCAAACTCAGTTGTAAGTTGGTGTTTGTGTCCTATGTGTATTCCTGTCGGTTTATTTGTGCTGTATTCATTAGAATACATATATACACCTTATTAAGGTGTCTTTACATTTATATGCAGTGTACAGGCTCGGCCCACCAAAGTACCAGCAGTTCACACATTGTGTTAGAGATAGGGTGACATATTTAGCAACAACAGTGGTACTAATTTTGCCTCGGAAATATGTCTATACAAACATGCTTGAAGCAAATACCTTTAGCCTATATGCATTTTTTAAAGTAAAAAAGTGATGCTGTGGCTCGTACATAAAAATAAATGAGCACATTTTAGAAATCAGCCTCTGAAAAATATACACTGTGTTTCAGTAGTTAGATGAAATAGCAGAGTAAATACAAAGTCTACAATAATGAATGATCAAGTGCCAAAATAAGAAATCTTGTGGCAGTCCATTCACTAGCATGTGAGCAGAAAGCCTAACGGTTTGATAACAAGAAGGACCAGACGGTAATCGTACTGGAATGTCTTCCCCATGACTCAGAGAGGACTGCTGCGAATGGCGGGACAACTCGTCGCAGACGTCCACCTCGAACTCCTGCTTCTGCGTGGTGCGCACGACGGCCGCCCTCTCCAGTGCCGCATCCCTGGCGATGACACTGGAACTGTGGCCCTGGTAGCACCGGCTCACCACCACCCAATCCGAGGTGTAAGTGTGCAGGCATTGCCTCATGTGAAAGTCCAGATCCTCCCTACAGCATAATTGACAGCACAGTTTTTAAAAACACTTCTGATGCCTGGAAATAAAGCAGTGGAGACTCAAATTATCCGTATAAAAAGTGGAAAACGTTTTGCATTAGACATGTTTTCTTTTAACTGTGGAGCTGTTAAGGCATGGCAACACTCCGGGATTGTTCCGCACAAAACTGAGCGAGTGTGCACCGCTCAGGGTAGCAGCGCTTAGTATTCTAGCAAAAAGGTGGGAAAGAGAAGTGAGGGCGAGGACCGAAAGAGGAAGGTAGAGGGTAAAGCAAACAGCAGGGCCATGTATAGTATAGCAAGCGAGTGGGATAGAGGGGGAGCTACTCTTTATCAAGATAGAGACTAAAACACCGGCTTCACACAACGGAAGCACCACATATAAAACAAGGGCTTCATTCTGTTTACACTAACTACACTTCAAAAAATTATGGATGCATGTAAGTAAAAAAACTAGTGCGTACGAAAGAAAAAAGGGGGGGGGGGGGGGGAGGGCTCTTACGGGTTTTCTTCTGGCACGATGGGTTCTATGGTTCGACATTTCCTCGGTAGGATACCAACTTCTACGTCGTCAGGGGGAAAGTCTAGCAAGTCACTGATGGCATCCCGATCAGACAAGTCCTGGTGCTGTTGGAGGAACTCCTCAAAGTCCAAGGGCTCAACAACATCGGTGAGAGGAACCTGCAATGTTGCGTTGAAAGCGCACATTCAAAACAATGTTTATCAGAAATTATTTTAATACAATGCAACAGGCTACCATCACAGTAAATGAGGTTAGAGGAGCAAGCTCAAACGCTTTATTTTTTAAACCAGTTATTTATTGGTACCGTGTGCCTTTCAGCACTTAGAAGCCACGAAATACATTGCCATATATGGATGTGTGTGAACATACACACATCCATACACAAAACATGCCAAACCTGCTGTGTGCATACTACGGCTGATAGTTAAGAATGGATCCAGGCACTGTCACCAGTTTCTTTCCTGTTAATAAATGTTTATTTTCCTACATCACTGTTCTCAATATTCTACAATATAACAGAAAAGAGAGCTCTTAAGACTACAAAGAGAAAGTTGTGACGGGATGACATGTCCATCTTACTTGCTTTAGGTGTGAATTACGATGTAGTGTAGATGAATGAATCAAATTTCAGGTAATTTATCACAAGGCACAGGACACTTTGTTAAAAGAAAGGCACCAGCATGTTATGTTGTTTGTAGCATATCTAATGAGCCTTGATAGTTATGGAGTAAATAAATATATCCCTATTGTGATGTCAGTCATATATTGTGTTTCTTTATAGAAATACTTGAATCATGAACACTTGCACGAGTTATTGGCCACAAACACTACGAGAAATCAGGATACCATTATTACGCCGCTTCTGTAGTTGAGACCACATCGAACCCGGCAGACGAGGTCTTTAACGATATTTTTTTTTTAATACACAGCACACTGCAAAGAAAATTAGTGGGACAAGTTAAGTATGTCATGAGTTCAATTTACCCGAACCTTAATGTGTTTTTTTTTTCGTCATCAATGGTTAAGAATGGCACAAACAAATTTTTCACACCTATGCGGGCATACCGCCTGAATGCAATTTAGGCAAGTGAGCGAGTTTATCATGATTATTCATTCTCGCGTTACACATGCTTAACCCACGTTATGATTATGAGGCACGCCGTACAGACGTTTGTAGATTAATATTGGCCACATAAAGTTCCCAAACGCGCACCCAGACGTCCTTTCGAGGCGCGCCCGTCGCGGCCAGGAATCGGACCACGTCCTTTCGCTTAACAGCGCGACACAACGCGGGGAGTTTTATTTTGCAACCGTCTCCGGAAATAGTGAGGTAACATGCAGATACATACACTGCCCTGCGCTCCGTCGTGTCCATGGGCGAAGTCTCTCTCCGTTGCGCTACTTGCGATCTGGCGTCTGACATCGGCGTTCGCTTGTCTGCAAAGAAAACCGCAAAACCAAGCGTCAAGCCAGGGCGAATGAACCGGGAGAACAGCACTACACCTCGCCAACGCCCCGGTACATTTACGAGAGGTTCGGTGTCAGTAAATGAAACCGGAAGCATTGGTTTGTGCATCGCAGCATAAAGCCTAAGCATGCTCGATGACAGGTTTAACCGGAGAATGGTCAAGCACGCCTTACTTGCTCAGTTTCTGAACAAACGCGCGCTGACCAGACGCCATAGCGGGCTTCGGGTGCCTTCGACTTGCTTGGCGTGATGCGCGTTGTATTAAGTCCATTCGATCCGCCTGCACCGCACAGACTAGTTCACGTGTTGCTGCACCTTGTCATTCGTTACAGCGGTGCAGCATTGACGACCTCTAAAGTCTGCCACTTCTTTCCAAAGGTGCAGAAAAGGTGCAGCACTGGTTCATGATTTTCCTGCACCTTCTACGCTTACGGTGCCGGCTTGGTGCAGCCACACGTGCAGCTGAGCAGACGACGCAGCACTTTGGCGTAGGCGCCGTATCGCTTCTACTAACGCGGTGTGTTTTGACAAGGTGTTTGCGCCTTATAAACTGTCCACATGTGCGATTCGCCATCGGTCAGTGTTAGTTTAACAGCGTAAATTAAGCGAACAGAAATAAAGCCTGCACTGCCTGCACATTGTCATTTGTTTCGGGTGTCGCACTGTGCCTGCACCATTGAACTCGCGCTGCACAATTTCTGAACTCCGCCTGCACAGTTGTAAACTGGTGCAGATATTCGAATGTACCTGCACCAAAATGTTGCACTACACTGTGGTAAAAATATTGTTATCAAAAATACAATGTTGCCTACAAAATTTTAATTATTTTTATAACTACGCGTAGCTATCTTAAGTGCTACATAACACATACGTATTTATTCAAACTCAGCAAAGTTACAAATTTTTAGCTGGTAAGGTGCGTCTATGTCCTTATTAACAAATTCTGTTGCAAAACCAGGGCATTGTTAGGGTAGCTTAAGAAACAACACTTGACAATATAAACGAAAACACTATCTACAGCTTCGCATAAAATATATTAAAAACTAAATAAATTTAAACAAAAATTGAAAACTGATTTATAAACTTAAAAGACAAAAAATTATTTTTTAACAATTTTAATTTTTATTTATTAACTTTAAAATATTATAAGATTAAGTGCGGGATCACTATCTCAGTGTTGCGAGACGTCAACAACTTAGTGTGGCTGGCCGATCAGATGTTCGGCGATGGTGCAGGGGTGGCGAAAGTTTAAAAAGTTATCGCTGCTCGACTTTCCGGATGGACGAAGAACGTAGGCATCGCTAGCCAACTGCATCGACACCAAAACACCGGCGAGGCAGGCCCACATGATTGCGCGCCTGGGTACGGTAACACCGAGATCGTCTCCAAAACTCGCCAACAAGTTTGCGTGCGTGCGTGTGCGTAGCGAGATCACACGTTTACACAGTGATATTTCGGGAACGCCCAGCTCTCGTATCGCGGCGATAGAGCCGCTTAAAGTCTAACGGGTACCAGTGCTCTGGGAAGTCGTGGTACACGAGCAGATATGCTGCGATCGCTTCGCTTCTTTGAAACCGAACTGGCTGGACCACGTAACATCAGAACCGCCGGCGCCGCAGGCATTTACGTGCGTCGTTGCGGCAAATGACAAGCGGAACAAGAGATGCCGTGCCTTAAATGGGTGAAATTGGAGGCGAAAGGAATCTGAATACGTGAAACTGACTTTGCTTCTCGGGCGTGTCGTCTCAAACGAGATGTGATCACGCATTTGCCGAAGCGTGGCGGTGATGCGCTTCGTAATCCATTGCAGGTAGAACACCAGAGCTATGGATATCGGGGAGAAGTTTCGGAGGGTCAAACGACTCTGCGATGGCTACCTGTCGTGAGTAGTGCAAGAAAAAAATAAGATTGTGTCAGTGACCACTGCACAGCCTGTCATTATTGCATGATCTTTTTTTTTTCTGTAGCGCCCGAATGACCTTTCCTTCTTAATAAGTTCATTCCCTGGTTTTCTTGTTTTTAGGCATGCTCATTACCACCCGAAACTCGTGCTTAAGAGGTACAATACGCTTACTGCGTTCTGTGCTTATTCTTCTCGCTTTTTTTTATATCTTCTGTTGCGTTGCACTGCATGCCGCTGATGTAATGGAAAGGAAATAGCGTTCGTCTTTCGTTAGATGAAACTGGAACAACTATTTTCATTACGTGCACGACCCACCCGTGTCACAGATAACTGCGCTGATTTAATTCGGCCGAGCTTGATTATAATCGCTTCTTTATAGTCAACTAATTAGTGGGTGACTGTTTGCATGTTGACTCTTTCGCTAGATATATTATGAATACAACGTGCTGATTACGGTTTGCTCTCGTTCCACAGATCGAGGAAAATGTTGTTGCTCGTTATGATGGCCCTTGCACTGGTTCTGTACATCGGGCCATCTCTGTTTCGATGGGTGAGGCGAAAGACGCCCATCATGATTGGTAAGCAGCGTGATTGCAGTGCTCAACACCACTCAGTTGCCTCGGTGTCTCGATCACATCCTGCCCCGTCCTTGCAGATCCGAGCATCGGATGTGTGGCACTGAACGTTGACCCATTTCTGAGAGACGTCGGGGAGTTCGATGCCAGTTTATATCGTAGCTACGAGAGCTCTACTGACAAACAACTTCTCTCGTTCGTCGGTGAGTCGGGCCACTGAGACTCGCAGGTGTTCAAAAAACAGAAGCCAGGCATTGTGTTCACATATCAAAGACTCGTAGACACAGTAACCGATTAAATCTGACTCATTCAGAGCGACATGCTCTTGCTCTGCTTTAGCTTCTCAGTTCAGCACTGTTGCGTCATTGTCATGCGAAAGTATATGTACTGTGATTATATGCGTCATTTATGATACAATCCTGTGGTAATGGTTCTGCGCTACAATAAAGAGACATAGCATAGGTCAAGACCACTGAACGAACACTTACAATCTCTCAACTCGGCAACACATAAAATTATTTGCAGCCTACTTAGTGAGAAAAAAAAGTTAAACAAGTTGTCGTCTTGCCATGTTTGTGTTGTCTGAAAGCATGCCTCACAGCCATACACGCATTGGGCACTGAACCTAACACCGAGCTGAACAGGGTGCATGAACTTTCCGACATATTGATGTTAGACAAAACGTTAATTCTGTGCTGTTATCCAGGTCATTCTCTTTAATCTTTGTGGTTTACATTGTAATAAAAAGAAGTTCTGTGCCTCGTGCAATATTTTCTTTCAGGAAATGGCAAAATAGGCTTTTCCGTCGACGACGACAACACCCTGTTCATTTTCAACAACAGGACTTTGTCCCTTGCCTTGCCGTTTCATCCTGGTGTAGAGATCACGTACCCGCAAGCCTCCCATCAAGGTTAGGTGACCTCAGTTTTTGTAGCCACCTAGCTAGCCATTGTGCAGTTGGACTGAAATGAGTTTTACTTTCTTGGTTCATGTTTCAGAAGGCAATGTCATACACTTTGTAAAAGGCACTGTCTTTAGGTATCAGTGTTTCAACAAGGTAAGCGGTCTACTCCCTAGATCTGTCATATTCACTGAAGCACCCAGTATCGTCTAGTTGGAGAGGCATAACAACCTCGTGGCGGCCGCATTTTCAATGGAGGCGTAAATACCTGAGGCACGTGTGCTTAGATTTAGGTGCATGTTACAGAATTTCAGGTAATCGAAACTTCCGTAGCCCTCCACTACAGCGTCTCTCATAATCATATCGCGGTTTTGGGATGTTAAACTGCAACAGTTGTTATTATTGACATAACAGCTGTCAAGATGTGCATATACAGGACAGAATGGGGATACATGAAACATTTGTGCAAGTGTTTGTTAGTGTGTCCGTTTGTGTAAATGCATTTTCTTATTCTCTTTCAAGCATCACATGAGGGCAATAATTCATGCAGAAACATTGTTGCTGGATGAAATGCAGTCATTTAGTGGCTGACTTGTTCAGCTTTCCACCAGACATTGACCACGTGCATGAGTTCTCAGTTATTCATATCAGGAAGCAAAATTAATTGCATATTTTATGGCAATAAACTAAAATTAGAAGTCCTCAATGTTTAAGTCTGTAGTTTAAATGACACCCCTACAGATTGATTGATATGTGGGGTTTAACGTCCCAAAACCACTATATGATTACGAGAGACGCCGTAGTGGAGGGCTCCGGAAATTTAGGCCACCTGGGGTTCTTTAACGTGCACCCAAATCTGATCACACAAGCCTACAACATTTCCGCCTCCATCGGAAATGCAGCCGCCGCAGCCAGGATTCGAACTCGCGCCCTGCGGGTCAGCAGCCGAGTACCTTAGCCACTAGACCACCGCGGTGGGGCGACACCCCTACAGAGGCATACTTAGGTCACCATTTGCCTTGTAAAGCAATACTTGGTAGGAGTAAATGTAATGGTGTTTCAAAAAGGTAGTGATTGTTTGAGTAAAGTGTTTGAATCTTCAATATCATGACATCGTACATTGGCTGAGACATTTTTGCTTTGGATTACAGAGGAGAAAAACAATCAGTGTCAGTCACACCTACTATGCCCATCGAACAATACCGTCCTTACTTGTCCAAACTGTCAAGATTGTCAACCCTCTGGTGAGTGCAAAAGGCTCTTCTTATTGTGATACGACTGCTCACTTAACTTAGTGATGACCGCTCTTTGGCAATGTTTGGCAGGTCATCTCAGTTTTCCTTCTAACACTTTGCAGTCGGATCCAATCACGTTTGGCATCGAGCAGAAAGGTTCTACTACCGAGAACCTGCAAGCAAAGCCTCTTGGGTTTGTTTGCTTTTTGTTTGGCTTTGCATGAAGTTTGCGGCAGTCTATGTATTGAGCGAGTCAACGCTCATAGTTGTTTCTGCGCAGATGTTCACTAGTCGCAACTAAAGTGACTAAATGATAATTTAAATGCACAAACAGTGCGAAAATCTTCACTAAAGCCCAAGTCAGTTGAATCATATTCTTTGGATGCAATTGTCCTGGGCTAATTGATATTTGGAAGTGCCATCACTTGAATAACATGCAAATTTTTATCAAGTTTGAAAGGAAGCTAGCTTTTGTCGAATTGTACAATGATCACATAGATCACGGTCTCATAATATGCAAAGACTGAAAATGAATGGCTTAGAATAAGGTGTTTGAGTTTAATAGGCAAAAAGGATGCCGAATACAAATATGAAAGAAAAATAAAATAGGAACGAAAAAATTTGGCCTTGATGACTAGAGGTAAAAAAAAATGCAAGACTCAGCTTCAAGAGGCAGACTTATTTTGGAGATATTTTTTTTTATTTCCTCTTCGATTTTGATAAATATGGGCAGCTTTCCTGCTGATTTCAAAAATGTAATTTAGCTCATGAGATAACTTTAGTTCACTGCTCATTGTTCAGGGCCTCAATAGACATTAAAGTGCTTAATGAAATGTAAAATTTAAGATATATCAGTGTTCACTAATCACTAAAGATTGAAAGTATGCAAGCAGTTTCCTTTCTTGCTTTTCTCGATTATTTTATGGGACAGTGAACTTTAACTTCTCTAAAACACTTGGCTTCATGTTATATTTTTGACGAATAATTCAATTAAGGAGTTGTTCCCATATCTATCCCATATTACGGAGTTGCTCCCATATCTAGATTCTCTGCATGTTTACATTTCCATTGCTTGAAGAATCATTGTTGTAGCTGCCCTAGATGCAAAGATATATCAGCCTGAAAATTGAACTATCATAAATTTACATCTTCAGGGAAGGGCAAAAAAGAAAAGCATGCTGGTTTATTTTAAAAATAACAAGTAGAATGTGTGTATTTTGCAATAAAAACATGAGGGATGCATTTAAATCTGCCCAATGCAACCGCCAATAATACGGAAAATCAAAGAACTTGACAGTGTCATCAGCAAGCATATGTATTGTTGAATGGTGTAAAACTCTCATTGATTCGTTCATATTTGGTCGTGACACGGTACGTTTGGACGATCCTCGGAGTGTGCCAAGCACGAAACACGGCAAATGTGTAAAGCAAAGGAGAGAAAGCAGCATTCGCAGACAACAGAAACAGCCACGTGCCTTCAGAAAGACGTGGTCAACATCCATGGCTGCGTAATAGTGAGCCTGGCTTATTTCAATATCCTGTTAATTTTGGTGTAGGGTCTTTGATTTTGATAGTGGCAAGGTGTATGGCATTAGTGAGGCAGCCTCTGTTCTAATAATATCGAAATTTGGGCTAGTTGGTTAGGCGCTGTACCCAAAAGTGCAATCTGTTCGGTGCTACCACGTAGCTTTCTCTGTGTGCACTGCAAAGCTGTTATATCTCTTGGAAAATTGAGGCGTAGTGGCATCCTTTTCTACAGTTCTCGTTTAACGAGAGCATATTCCAGTACTTTTATTAATGCCTTGCTTTGAAAATATACTTACATGCTTTCTGCTTGCACCAAAGTATCAAGGATCGCTACGGCCAGGAAAATATCATCTGGCATGGCAAGGTCTCGCCAGGCGTAAGCAAAGACACCGTCATTGCCTTCGCACTTGTCACTCCAAAGTTGCCAAACACAGTCACAGTTGAACCAAAGAGGTGAGCCATTTCATTTTGTAACTTCGTAAGGTGTTTGGATTAACCAACATCATGTTCTCTTTTCTAATTTGTATATACTTGTATTATGAGTGCAACTGTGCCAACAGGTTCACATGCAACATGTGCATGGACTGTGCATTAAGAGAAAAGGAATTTGTTCACGGATTAGGTGCAATGAATGAAATCTCATTCTTGCCACAGAAATACTTGAAAGCAACTGTTATTTCTAGCCATCTGAGTACTTTATGAGTTTTTTTCACAGAACTTGTTCTCATTTCAGGTACTCATTTTAGGTAGCTATCACACAGAAAAAAGTTGCACACCTTTGAAAGAAAAAGATGAATTTATATCCATCCGAAACTGTCAGACTTAACTCCAACATTAACTAAAAGGCTTATGTCAGATGCACAGTTTGTCAGGGCACTGTCAAATAATAAGGTCCACTAAAATATGGCACCAAAATGAAAAGCTGTACATTGTTTTGTTGGAGGCACCAGCAGAGAAAGAGGAGAGGGATTTGCTGCCATTAGCACATCATAACTGAGCCTCCTGTGGTGGCGAAGGGCTGTATAAATTTCATAGAAGTTCTTTATGGATAAAACACAATTGAATCGCAGAGAACTGAGACAGCGCGTGCAAACACGAGATAAGTTTGGACACCCCATTTCATTCCCTTGCGACAGTGTCGACGTTGTAATGCCGATTAGATGGATGACAAAGACAGTGAATGTGGTTGATGCGTGCTCAACCCTTGACCCTTTCAGTTCCACAGTGCTCAAGATACAGACTCTGGTGGATTACTCTCTGCCTGTAAAGTCAAAAGACTACCCATCTGCAATCTCACAGCTTCAATCTTTTCTCAAGGAGGTATGTGTGCTCTCTTTCGTTAGTCTTGTATTCACATATTTCAAGCCTCATTTTAGCAAAGCCTCTTGTGATATGGAGATACCAAGTTTTTTGTGTGTAACCCACACACAAAAATACGAAAGCTTTGGAGCTGAAGTTGTGGTGTGAATGACACGTAAATTTCGGTGGGCAAGGTGGCTTTCTAGCACTGTTTCACAATATTGCTTGAAGAATAGTTTCACAGCAATATGCTGGGGTGTTTTTAAAAAAATTATCTGCTTATCATAGTTGGGGGTGTGGAATTTATTCAGGGGAGGGTTATACGCGAGAAAATCAACATGTTTGTGATACTGAAGCACGTATGTTCTACTATGGGGAACTATTTTGAAGTTTACTTTGTTGTATCAAATGATTTGCGACCTCAGGGTCTGTATCTTGTATTTCCAGGCTCAGTTCACACTTTGCGATTGAATTTTGTGCCTGCATTTTTCCATGTTACAGGAAATGCAGAGAGTCGTGAGCATCGAAAGTCACATTCTGCGCAATATGCACGTCGATGCGTGGAGCCAGGTGAGACCTTTATGCCTTTATAATGGGAGGATAGCAAGAAGGTTGGCTCGAGACAGCAAATGCCAGCATAAGCTTTACCAAAGGTCGGGAGAAAAAAGATAAAAATTTTTGTCACATTTTCTTTGAGTAATGCATCCAATTTCACTTAACATTAATTGTATTCCAAGTTTGCTGCGAGCAAAGATACAATCCAGATTTCTCTGCAATGTGCTTTTGATTTAACTGCTGCATCTAGACAATCTGGTGATGGTATGACACCATTATTTGATAGATCGTTAGTGATTGATAGAGGGATGTGCATGAAGCGAACATTCTTACGAGGAGACTTCTGTTCCTTACATAGCCATTAAAACATGGGTTTATTTTTAAAACGCTATCTGCTTACGATTAGCAGTACGTATATGTATTTGACTGAACCTTGACTCTATGGCTCTGAAGCATTTAGCGACATTGCAAATTGACCGTTTTTAATAATTGCTTGTTCTAAATGAAATAGTTTGCCCAGGCAATGATTACGTATATATGCTGAAACCTATGCTGACACGGTGATATTTTTGTAAAATTTTAAAAGATGATGTTTAGTAAATTACATCACTTGAGCAAATATTGGATAAATCATTATAGTAATTATTATTTCCCTCCTAATTGAATGATTGCAGCATGAGGTTCATACAAATTTTTGTGGAACATGTCTATGTTGGACATAAACAGGATACTGATGGAGATGGTATTCATTACACAAATTCTGGTGAATTATCCTCTATAAGAGTATTGCTTGTGAGTGTACCAGTGTGTACACACTAGTGTGCATACATCAGCGCGTGTACACTGCTGTCTGTGCACTACTGGGTGTGCACCAGTGTGAAACTCTGATAGTGCTCACCAGTGCTTGGGTGGTCACGGCCTTCACTTTTGGATGTCCCAGTTGTGGAGCACTGGCTTCGGCATCAGCCAGTCCAAAGCATACGGTGCGCTCAATGGGGACGTCATCAATGGCACCATCTACTACATACTGTCCCACGTGCGTGCCTTGGCGTCCGAGTGGAACACTGGTCCGGCGGAACACCGGGAGCTGCAAGCACTTCTTGCCTACCCGGAACACTGCTACGGTGGCCACCACACCCTGTGAGTACTCACTCGTGGTACCTTTGCTTCTTACCATCAAGAAGTTCTTATAATGTGTGTCTGGTCTGTTGTATCTTGCAGCAGTACTTTGCAGACGTTCAAAACAGTTCTCGTCTAAGGATTTGTTAGATAGACAAGCACACTTTCAGCTTTTGCTGGGCTCAGTTACTCACTGACACTAACGTATAAACTCAGAAGGCTGCTGTGAAATGCATGGCAGTATGGCTTCAGTTGTTGCCCCTCCCTTACCTGCAGGCAAGCCTCAACCCTGTGGGCTGACCTGACAAGCCTGTCTTCAGTTACAAACGCAGTAAACTTATGGATGCTCACCTTGGAGAACCAGGGCTGTTCGAAACTGATTAAAACAGGTGAGTTTCAGTATCACATCTGAACCCTGTTTTTACGTGGCATAATCTCAGTCTGTCGTTCTCTCACCACTCTGGGTTGTTACTTTTTTAATGTAAATTTTAATGTAACAACCTCTAACACAAGTGGGAATCTTAGCTGAAGGTCTGAGCATTGATTGTGGGCATTTTCTTTCACTGCAGGCTAGGATATCTGATGTGCTATGTAGTCTTTTTTGTTTTAACACTAAAAAAGAGGAGGATATATATGTTTTTTCAATATCACAAGTCATAAATTTTTGGTTGGGCTAGTTTAATTATAGTGTAAAAATTAGATCGTTAGCAGATGAATGTATGTTATTTAATAAAGTTCCACATACGATTACAATAATCTGACCACTAGCCTGTGTAATGTACATGAATTGTTTAACAAGTGGGGAATATGTGTCAGCATGAGTTGATGTGTCAGCTTTCCAGTAACGTGCAAAAACAAATTCACTATCATATGACTACATAGAGTCTTGTTTCTAAATTGTTTCTAAATTTTTGTAGCACAGCCACATGGTGGTTCAAAAAGTTATTTGGACGCTTACAGCAAATTGCATGGGGCTTGCACAAGCAACTAAAGACAAAATTAGGACTTTCTTTTTATGGAAGGCATATGCAAAGTCTCCTTTCCCTTGCTTTAGTGTAGCAGCGCACTAGAACAAAACAACTGGACCGAAATGCAAAAAACAACAAACATACGCTTACTCCCAACTGGGCAGTTTATCAGACCTTAAATATAATATATATTACATGTATACGACACATATCTACACGATGCGCAGTGAAGTGGTACCAACTTGCCCCAGGTGCCATCTGATTAGTTGTTTGTGTGAGTAGCACATGTGACCACTTGGCACTGACAATCTCCACTGTTTCAATTTCTAAATGCTGGTAGGTGCGGAAGGCGTGTTGCAAGCCGTGGTGTTGAGCCTGGGTGCCTTCCTGTTCAAGGACAGCCACCTGGAGCTCAACATTCAGCCAAAAGACTTGCACCGAGAACTCTTCTTTCGCCGCATCAGCTATGGCAATGCCACGCACCTCAACGTGAGCGTTGTGCTGGGCGATGACAACAAGGCACTCCTGCAGGTTTGGCTTGACCGGAGTGACCGGGACTACTATGCGTGTGATGGTGGATGCCTTGACCCACCTGTGAAGCTTGAGTAAGTATTGCGTTTCTTGGCTAGGCAGTCATGCAACAGCACACTGCGTGTTGGTTAATTTTGGTGAAGCTTAGTCTTAGCATGCGTATCCAAAGAGCAACACATTATCCGCATGACGAGGCAACCACAATGTTTGAGTTGCAAGCTGTACCGCGAGACCAGTTTTCTCTGAAAGTCCTACACTCAAGTACACCTCATCAATACTTCTTCCTGAACAAGTTGATTCGTTACGGAGAAAGAAAGTGCCATTGCAAACAGACGTGCTCATCTGTGTAATGTCACAGGTCGGGCTACGGTCATTGGTTTAGCAGTATACTTGGGTCCAGAAATGTTGGCACACACATGCCAAGTGACTGATAGTCTGAGCCAGATCATGATACCTCTGCCCTTGAGCATTCAGGAATGTTTCATCTTTCATTTTCCCTTTCAAAGAATAAATGAAGTCAATGAAAAGCTTTTATAAGGGAAGGCATTTTTGAACTCTAAGGAGATATGAGCACACAGCTGAGCAAGAAATGCATCTATATTTTGAAACCATAAAGGTCAGGTATAGCACCTGTTTTCTCGCGTTTGAGTGTCGGGGAATTCCTTTCATGGCAAACAAACAAGCAGAGGAGTTAAATTTCCTACTTATCGCAACTCCCTATGCCTTAATCACATTTTTAGAACAGGAACCACACCTTTTTCTCTCTGTTGTAGTTTTTCAATGTGAATACAGGATGACCAAGTTGATTAAACAACATTTTTCTTTGTCTGTCTGGTTCTCAATTTTGTGCTGAAAAATAGGACTTTATCAAATTGTCTATCCCTATAATACTAGTACATTCGTGCAAGCTATAACCCATTTCTGCATTTTTGCTTGCTGTTGCCAACAACAGTCAAGCATCGGCGCTTCTAGGGTTTGTTAGTGTGCTTCATACATTTGCTTTTGTGCAGCTTCAAGGCAAAGCAATTCCCGGTGAAAGTGACTGAGCCCATGACGGCTGTTCTGTACATTACTGCAGACCTTGAGCACATGAAGGAGCTCAGTCAAACCATACACGTCAAAGAGGTGGTCGAAGGTACGTGAAAAGTTTCGAAAGTCGTGAGAGCATGCAACTGTTTACACCAATGTAAACTTTTTCACAGCGAATTACTGGCAACTGTGGCACAAATGTAGAGGTATTGCTGGATTTGGCTTTGTTATTCTTAACGCAATAGATCCAAGATTCTTTTTGTCACTTTCAATTAGTTGTAAAAAAAAAAAAAAAGATGATGCATGTCATTCACATTGAAATATTACAGGGTCAAGAGCACAGCCCTTTTTTTTTTTTAAGAATTTTTAATGTACATAAATAAATGCAAGCTATTCAAGTACAAGATTTTGAACTCGGAGCTACTGATTGTGTTGTGACTTTGTGTTCATTCTCCTCCTTATCTCAGTTGCACTGTGCTTGTATCATAAACGAGCGTGAAACAGCTTACCCAATCCAGAGCTTTATTGTAAAGAGAAGTTATAAAGCAAAGAGCTTTTCTTTCTCACAGCGCCGGCGCACGAACACCATGTCATTGCATTGCATCGGCACGGCCATCAACTTGGAGGCCTGCCGGCTCTCTTCTGGGTGTCCATCACTTTCCTTATCGTGGTCTTTCACCTGTTCCTGGCAAAGCTCATCTATAACGAATACTGCGGTTCCTCGCAAGAGAAGACAAGGGGACGATATGTGGTGTGACGCAGTGCGTCGTCAAGAACAGCGTTTCGTGTGGACCAGCGCTTCAAGTGTCGTGTGGGTGAGAGAACCTTGTGAGTGAATGATCTGCGATGGCGCAGAGACCGTCGGATGTGGACGCGACAAACGTCTGTGTACCTAGTGTCCCGCTCGGCGTCAGTCTAGCCAAGTTGTAAAGTACGTTCTCCTGCAAGCTTCGCGTGCCAGTGTTTTTTCATCACCAACACTGCCACTTTTCTGGTTGAACCAAAGTGGCCTGGTTTCACCTCTGGTGTGAAGTGTGTACATATGTCTAGATACTTTGCATACAGACACAGCGATGTATGTTCAGGTGCCGTATTGGATGTGAACTCCAGAGGCATGTTTGTTGTTATTATGATCGTTATTAATATTGGTGTATCAATATAGCTCGCTTCGGTAGAATTGGGATATAAATATGCTAACCTTTTCTTTTGCTTGTGATAATTGCTTCTCACTTGAATCTGTAAATCAAGGCTGTTTGGTTTCAGGGCAAAGAGATTTTGCGTGTTGCTTAAATTCGAGCTATAGGTGAAGGAGTCTCGTTGAGGTTAAAGTTATTGTGAGCTCTGATAATCAAGCTTAAAAATTATATTTGGAGGTGCAGTATTCATAGAAAACAGTGTTAAATGTGGAAGTTTGGTTTTGTTAATGCGAATAATCTGTATTTAGTGTCCTTTAAGGTGTGAGAAACTGTTTTCAGAGTCTGCATCTGACAGTGCAATGTAATGTATTGTGAACTTATCGTATTTATTGTCTCTACATGTGGTTTTGGCAAGCTTGACATCAATCATGCTATGCGAAGTAGACCATCCTTTTGTTTCCATTTCTAGCACCTTCTAGATTTTGTTGTACATGATCAGTTGGGATATGTATGGTGTACAAAAGTATGCTAAGTAGAGCGCTATACAAAATTTCACTTCCACTTTTGCAACTGTCCGAGGTAACTTTGATAATGTGGCACAATAAAGCACAGGTGGAATTACATGAATGTAAATAAGGTCATGGTTGTTTCTTGTGCGGGTTCAATAAATTTACTCGAGGTTTAGCTGCTACACTGTATCTACCTGTCATATTTGTATACAGTCAAACCTCACTATAATAAATTTTTGGTTATAATGAATAAAAATGAGGAACTGCGTTGCCATTTGTTAGGCATTACAAATATACATTATATCTTATTTTTAGCTATGAGAAAACTATTTTTATGTCATATGCTATTTCTTCATAATGAGCTTTTACATTGTAAAGGGTTCAAACATCGTTGAAAAAAAAAAATGGAGCACTCACTGAAATGAGGAGCAAAATAAAATTTGGATTGATTTGCTTTTCCTATCCATTGCTCCTGATGGCAGGTGCATAGTTTTTTCTGCAGTGAGCTATTACTTAATATGAGAAACAAAGGGAAGCTCACACACAACGGAATAACCGGATTTCTGCACAGCTGTAGCTGAACGATGCAGCTTGCACTTGCATCTACAACCATCGTGCTCGAGCTCCCATTTCAGAGAGGTTTAATTTGACCCCCTCTACTAGGCGAGCACAAAGTTGTTTTAAAAGCAGAGCTATTTAAGGCCAAGGTTAATCCGGGTATCCATCATTTGCACTCTTTAGCGCAGATGCGATAGGGAGAGAGAAGCCTTGTGGAAAGGATGCCACGCAGAGGCGAAGCTATGGCAAAAGTGGAATGGGTGATGGGCAGAAGAAGACTGGCTGATAATCATACTGGATAAACTATAGGTCTCGCATTCATTCTGGAATGTTCAGCAATGGCCAAGCTATAACTAGTACCACCAGCACCGCAGTCTAATCAAGCCTTAAGTCAGTCGAAACTGCACATAATTTGTGTGCTCTCCTAATAGTACAAAAACATTTTTTGTGTGTGTGCTATGCCCAGAACAACTCCTCCCCATTCACCAGTGAATAAGCGCCTGCAAGAGATTCACGCGGCTTCTTTGCAGTATTTAGTAGATGTTGTACTAGTTCAAGCAATAGCCTTCTAATTGGGCTGCATTTTTCTGGAAACAAACCTAGTTCTGTTTTGACATCCTCCGTAACCAACACTGACTGTGGACATCGAACAAGCATCAGTGAGCAAACACATGACAGCCATGCATAAAGGGAAGTCGTGGAGAGTAATGAAAGCCTACCCACACAAAAGATGAGGTATTCGGAGATTACGTATGAAGCCACCAAATGCAATAGAGGTGTAGCTAGCGATCGCTGGAAGAGATCTTCACCCTGCAGTGGATATGAATATGCTTGTGATGATATGACTCGAAACCAGGGGTGCGTGAATATTCGAGGTTCAATTCGAATCGAATAATACCTAATCAGGTGATTCGATTCGACTTTTGAATGGCTAGTGTTCAAAGTTTCCCATAGTTCTCAGGATGAATATTTAAAACGGGACGAAGGCCAATGGTGCAACTTGGTTAGGGAGGGGTAGATAAAACTAATGCAAACATTGTTACAGTAGTCCTTTCGCTAAAACTTCCACTGATATCGTGGTTCCAATGCGATCACATGTTCATTTGGAAGGATATTATGTCATTTTGCACACGAAAAAAGCATGTCATAAAACTGTCAAGCCCTTCACAGCTTCGTTTCCAAAGCGAATGCATGTACTGCTTGCGTAGTTCGGCCGCGTATGCCACAGGTGCCGTAAATTGTCCAGACTTTGGCCCATGAAACCCTTGATTGATATGTGGGGTTTAACGTCCCAAAACAACCATATGATTATGAGAGATGCCATAGTGCAGAACTTTGTAAATTTTCACCACCTGGGGTTCTTTAACGTGCACCCAAATCTGAGCACACGGGCCTACAGCATTTCCGCCTCCATCGGAAATGCAGCCGCCGCAGCCGAGATCCCCATGAAACCTTTGATGATCGGCTTCACATGTGGTAATTTATTGACACTGTGCATTTCACACTGCACCTCTCGTTTAGAAACCCATATCGTACTGGTGCACAGTTAAAATGCTGCTGTGAACGGGTGCCCAACCAGAGATATTTAAGCCGACAGCTACCATAGCGATGAAGCGCAGCATTGCCTTTGTCAGATTAGTTATAATGCGTGATCACAGGGAAAAAAAAACTAGCTTTCATACTCTCCTCTATTGGCCTTTAGGAGATTAGGAGTGCTGCTGATGACTGTAATGGCTTTTCATTCAACATGCTTGCGTGCCCATAAAAGCTTGGGAGGGAAAGAAAAAAACCCTCCCGAATAAGTACGTAATAATGCTGTCAACATGCCGTAGTATCCCCAACTTTTCCTTTTTCTTGTCATAAATGACGGTACAATTTTCATGTAATTATACTATTCAATATTATATTCTATGTTCAACATTTGTGGCTGCAATTTAGCACTATTCGATTAGAGACGAAATTTCACTATTCGCGTGCCTCTACTCGAAACATATAGACATTTTTCGCGAGCAACAGGTGTGAGTAAGCAACACATAGCAAGTGTGCCTTGACGTGTTCTTTGTACAGTAAAACCTGGATGTATCGAATTAAATATCTCTATTGAACAGTTACAAAATCCACCACGTATGGAAATTTCATGCTAAAGTATAACGAAGTTTATTCATCTTTACATACCATGCATCATCTCCTGTGCCCCTATATGTGCAGTGAATCGAAATCAATTGCATTATCAGAAATATCTATGTCAATGAAAGTGCACTGTTTTTGCAGATGCTTTCGAAGAAGGAATTGAATCTGCAGGACAGAGCTAGCCAGTAAAGAGAGTGAGCTGGGTTAAGTAGGAGAATAAAACCGTTTTTAGACAGGAGTTTGGAGCACGCAGGCTCCGAGGCGGGTGCCTCAAAATGTGAGCAACTAAATTTTTTTTTTGTAAGCTTCACTGCAATACATCAATGTGTTGCGGTGAAAAGTACTAACACAGATAATTGTCGTGCAATGAAGCGTATCGCCTGTGGCGGCCTTTCGCTATCGCAGAGGAGCGCAACACTGCTTCAAGAACGCGAACGGAGCACAGGTCTGATGCGCGCGTAAATTAGAAATGAGTCTTCAGTAGACAATTGTGTTTTTCAAACGGCCGTAGGAACGGACCTGTGAATTGGCCGCTAACACATCCCGGAGCTTCGAACCGGGGTACCTAAGTGAAACAATCTGTTTAGATCGACAAACTGTACGCTATGAACTCCTACGTTGTTAATTCCAACTGTGTAAATAATAAAGAAAAAAATTAAAATGGAAAACATTTGATTTTTTAAATTTTCCCGCCGAAACACCCGCTCATGACGTCACTGATTCTAAAAAGAGTTTTAGTATTTGAGCAGCATTGGCTCAACAAACTTTCCTGAAACTTGGTATTTCAAGTCTATGACCATTTCAGACAATGCACTTCATTTTTACTCATAACTACGCAGGATCTAGTAAACGCCGTCAAACTTTTATGACGTGATGGCGCTTGGTGCGGGAATTTCAAGGTGGCGTCGCCACCCGCCATTTGCTTTTGCGCGTTTTCTAGCTTAAAGAACCATATTCCCGCGACAATCGTGGCGATTGCCGAGTTGTGAAGGAGTAGTGAACTAATGTGTAAAGAATTGGGGGACCCTTAAGCTTCGCCTTTAAGAGTTGAACGCGATAGCGAAATCCGGCCACTTGCATGCACCCTTCAACTGCTAAGTGCCTACGTATTAATATGCTTTGTTACGTACATACGCACGCACAGAAACACGCACGCAGTAGATTGGACCAGCGCGCGCTATTATTGCCGAATAGGCTCGTTTTCATCGTGACACCTGCCGAACAAAATGCGTTAAAGGGGCCCTGAAACACTTTTTCAAGTAACCATGGAATGAATTCTCTAGATGAGCTTATTGCCTCACGAATTCAACGCCGCAAAAATTTGAAGAATCCGTCCAGTGCGAGTGGAGTTGCAAAGGTTTGTCACATGCTGCAATTGCATTATCTCTTCTCTCGTCCCGACGGAAGCGCTGCAAGCTAAGCAGGGAGGGCTGGCGGGGCAAAGAAACTACCATGCTTCGTGCCCTTGAGCACTTTTTTCTTCGAATGCGCGGCTTTTCAGTGTGATCGCGCGCGCACGCGTGGACAAGTAGCAACCTACCGCGGCTATCTTGGTAATTTGATTTTTCGGTCACAGACGCAGACGACTTTTCGCTCACAACCAACGGGGCCATCGCCGGCGGCGGGTTTTCTGCGACACGAGCTCTTTAACGCTATCGCGTTAAAGAGCTTTCTTTTTGGTGTTCTTAGTGAAACTCAAATAAAACTGCGCGGCTGAACAAACACAAGTAGAAGTAGTTGACAGGACGTCTTGTCAACTTCTACTTTTTTGCGTTTCGTCACCCACGCAGTTTCATTTCAGTTTCAACGCCGTAACACCGAAACCATTCTTAAGATACTCTACAGATCTTCACTATGATTATGCCAAATGCGCAGCTATGTTAAGTAGCCAATTTATTCGACACCGTGTTCATTTCACCACTCCTATAGGTGGGCTGAGGGGAAAAAATGAATGCTCGAGTCGGTAGAACAGCGACAAGAATGACCTGTATTTGCATGGACACAAAAGCAAACGAGAACGGCAGACTGTGATGATGATTTACAATAGTTATACGGCTTCATTTGCACAAGAGGCCGGGCTGAACGTCGCGGGCGCTGACGCAGGCATGGGCGTTGACGCAGGCATGGGCGATGGCCAATCGTAGTGTGCCGATGCCTCTGATAACGACGGAGCCGGGGTCGATGAATGGTCCAGTGTGGGAGCACTCGAAACAAAGTCACTGCTGGAGTTGTCATACATTTGACTAGTAGGTTGGGGAAAGAAGAACTGGGGCGCGCCTTGCGCGGTAGTCGGTTGATCTAAAACCGCCGCCGACATCAAGGAACAGTCACCAGACGCCTTATTACTGTCTGCGTTAAGCAGATTCACATAGCGCCGGCGCGAAGAGCGCTGCTTGCTCAAGTGATACCGGCGCTGTCCTTGCCCGTTGCTGTACGAATTCAGCTGGCCTCCAAAACTAGAGTCCGTAGGTGGCGGAGCCACCAGCTGACTCGTTTCGCCCGGGGGAGCATTTTTGTCTACCCAACACTTTCTTTCTTCGTCCCACACAATGCAGGGGTCAGTGTCGTCTGGAAGAATGATCTGGTTGGGTTGCTTCGGGGTCAGCTTCTGAAAGATGGCCTCCAGCCAGCTCTTCCTGGTGGCCTCTCGTGAGTTATCAGTCACCTGTCTGGCAGGTCCTGGCGTTGACTGCGAGTTCCCCGACTGAAGATGCGTGGTTACAGGCGGTGTAATGCTGCTGACGTCACTAATGCAACCCTGGGTCGAAGTTACGGGGCGTTGCGAATGACTTGAAGCTGGAGCACTGTAGCAGTCAAATCGAGCGGAATTCATTCCGGGAGGCGAAGATGGCAGCGGTCGAGAATCTTCAAGCGGCGACTTGTCCTCTACTTCGACTTGTGACTTGGGGCTGAGAGAGCACGTGGCTGCGAAGTGGTGCTCGTCTGAAGGCTGTGGTGCTGTCGACAAGTGAGGCAGTGGTGATTCGCTAAATTCGACAGTTTGTCGAGGTGTCTCATTGTATGAAAAAACGACCGGCATTTGAATTTGAGACGCGTCAATGGCAGAACACTCTTCCGTAAACGGGTTCTGCTGTTCTGTTGGTGGCGAAACACAATTGCATGCCGAGGTGTCCTTGTAAGCGCTGAAATATTCTTCTGGTTGCCGCAGAGCATAATCATCTTCGTCGCATGCGAAAAAGTCCGAACCACTCGAAAAGATTGGGTGACTTTGAAAACCACTGTCTGAACTCAGTATCTCAGCCATGAGCCTTATTTCTTCGCTGTCTAAGTCATAAAGTGTGCTGTTGTCTCCGACCAGGGGCATCACCTCATTCTCAGCTACTCTAGGATGCTTTGAAGTTATTTGGGCAAGGACATCCAACCAAGGAGCTTCGTCGATCTTCCGCAGCTCTGTCTGCTCTAGGCTCAATTTTGGCACGTGGTACTTCAGCCTGTTCGCCAGCTCCAACGTTTGCGCCGCTAGCTGCTCCGACACGCAATCCTGCGCCATTGCCACTGCCAGAACCTCGCAATAGCGAAGCGCCTCTTCAACAAAACCATACTCGGCGAGTCGCGTGGCGTGGAGAAGCTTGTACTCCTGCAAGTGAGGAAGGGCGTAGCTTGGGTCCGACAGGGAACGGGCGTACTCATAAATCTCGGTGCAGTGAATTGCTTCATTGGACGCAAATCTGCGAAACGGGAGCATCCGGTGATCGGCTCCGAGCAACACGATCTTGCTGGATTTGAGAGAATACGATCCAAACTCGACGTGGGCGACCAGGTAGCAGAAATGGGCCGCCGCCAAGCAGCCGTAACTGGCTAAAGCGTCGCCGAGGGTGGTGACGTTTCGGGCATCCGCTTCCGGACTTCCCGATGCGTTGGAGAGGATCATAGCCAGATGATGCCTCCAGTCGCCCCATTTCAAAGAGGCAACCAGAGAGGCGGCGGCGGGCTGCCGTCCAGACAGGTGCTCGTACAGCGTACGTAGAGGGTCATTCAGGGACAGAGCGTTGGTGAAGCGAGTCATCATGGCTGCGTGAGTTTTGGCGTCCATCCTAGAGGCCAACGAAAGAGCGTGGCCCCAGAGGCCGTGCTCCACAGCCCACTCCAAAGCACACTTCTTGCGTCCGAAGAACAGATACTCGCGGAACTTGGCAATCGAGTAACTAGTGGTGGTGGTTCGGAGCTGGCTGCCGTCACACACCACGATGTCCTCGTCAAAAGAGGAGCCGGTACAAACGCCGGAGCTCCTAGATGAAACATCCGCATCTCCATCGCACGTTGGCCGGGAACACAGCACGGAAGGCGTCGGCTGCAGCGTTTCGTAATCCCTAACGAGAAGCTCTGCAATCTCGGTGCCCGAAACCAGCCCGTTTTGTCTGAGCATGAGCACAAGCAGCTCCCAGAGTAGAACGTGAGACGACCTGTCGGGTAAGACGTGGATTCTAGCAAATGACGCGATCTTGTTCTTGCAGTAGTGGATCACGTCTTCCTTGTGCGTTTCGAATCTAATCAACGGTCCTGGAAACGCCTCAAGTTCGCGAAAGTCGGGGTCTTTCTGCAACATGGGCGTGAGGCTATGAAGTTCGACGAGCTGTGGCAGCGTATTCCCGCTAACGGTGGGAACCAGCTTCACCAGGCCATTGGCGCCGAAGAAACTTACAACAGGGTGCGGTCGCGGGAACTTGAACATTTCTTGAAGCCGGGGTTCGTCTTTCCGGGTAACGTTGGCGGCTAAATTCTGGCTATTGGGCGACTGCGCATCGGCGGGCAATGGACCGGCGCTTTCAGTCTTCCAGTCATTTAACTGAGCAGTGCTGTAGCCTAGACTGGAATAGAACGCGTCCATTTGATGCTTGTAGGCTGGGTTGGTCCAGTACAACGAATCATAGTACGCGCCTACGGACTGTGAACGTGAAGCGTAGCCGTAATGGCTGTAGCCGTCGCATCTTCTCCCGGAATCCACGCGGTTGTAGTCAGAGGACATGTCAGTGCAACTTCGGTAGTTGAAGACACCGGCAGACCTGTCAAAGCCTCGGAATTCCGAATGGCTGCTAAAATTGTTACCTTCTCGCGAGTCCCAAGAGTAAGTGCTTGGCTCGCGTCTGAGGTAGGTTGGCTCAGTCCACCGTTCTTGTTCACACATAGAGGGTTCCGCTGAAGTTCCGTGCAATCGTCGGCAGTTGTCATTGGAGCGGTAGTCACGCCAGTCGCCAGCATGGACCAACCGATGTGGTTTCTTTCGTTCTTCAGGACTTGCTCCCATCGAACGCTGAGCTGGGATTTTGTAGAAATGGTCAGGCTCATAATCCAGTCGCAATTTCTCGCCGTGATACGAACTCCGGTCATCGTAGGTGTCGAATCTCCACTGCACCTTCTCGTAGTCGTGATGTACGTTTCCCGCCGTTCTGTCCTCCTTGTGTCGTCGTCTCCCGCCTTTTTTCGAGTACTGGTCGCAGTACTTTTCCGAAGAAACTCTCCGATCATCTAGATGATTCGACTGCCTGTCTCTCTTGAGTGTCTCGCTTTCCTCGCAGACTCCGCTTCTCTGCAGGCGACCACCAAAGCTAGAACTGTCGCAACTCTTGTAATTTATGATTTCCTCACCTTCTCGGTCGAAGGCTGGTTTCCAGTCTCGACGCTCTTCATGCTTCTTGCCGCGCCCTGCGTCCGTGGAAATTTTGCAGGTCCTGGTACGCCGGTAATGAGATTGCTCTTCGCCGTGTTCTGCCATCGGCGTTCCGCGTTCCCGTGCGCGCAACTCGCTGACATGTGCATCGCGCTTGAAGTGCGTCACAGCGACGCGACTGCGGTCGGCATCGTGGTCGGGATGGCCCCTCGAATGCGATAAGACATTAGACCACGATGTCAACGGAGAGCCTGTAGCGTCCTTCCGGACACTTGTTTTCGGGACAGCAGGCGAGTCATCGCCCATGGCGTTGCGTCCAGCAGGCTCGGTCCTGGCCGACAGCGTCGTTTGGGACTCTGGCCAGGCGAAGTCCGGCACGGACGTGACCGTGTCAAGCGAAGATAACGAAGCACGGGCAGATTCACTTTCTTGATGCTGCTCCCACCCATCACGGCGCCGGCTCATCGGTGCGGGCGTCGCCACGTTCGGCGCTCGATTCCGGCGTTGCCTGCGTGACACTGCAACATGGTCTTCGAAGCCACCGGTGTCAGTCCCCATCATGGGCACATTTACCCGAAACTGGACGGGTGGCAAATATCGCGCCACTTCAACAGTTTGGGCTTTCGTGGAACGTGCCCGTGAGGCGGGCCGGTCGTGCGAGCCGGATGGTGCAGCTGGAGCCAGGTTTACGACGGCACTGTGCGCCGAACAAAGTCAGTGGTCGGGGTCGATGGGGCGCCCACAACAGCTGAATGCGTGCTGACGGTGGCGTGCGTTACAACGCACTTGCAGCGTCGTAGGTGACGCGAAGATGTACGGCAGGTGCGGCCACCGTCATGGCCCGCGAGGTGACCTCGGCGCTCGGCGACGAGGCGCCGGCGACGTGAAAGACGTCAGCAGATCCTTGCTTCTTCATCTTTTCGTCCAGTCGAACAACCTTCTGAGTGCGCATGGTCCACGTGGCGCGTGTGCCGCCAAGCGCCCGAAAGTTTCTTCTTCGACCGTGCAAATTACCATTTCCTTTTCTTACTGGTGCCAAATCGTTCACATTATTTCTAAAGTATAATTTGTAGTATTAAGTGTTATCCTAATCGTTCCTACAAAATCGTGAGGCTTGTGATAAGAAGCGTGCACTCAGCTCATTTCGATCGATATGCACACGTGGCAGTTTTCGCGTTTCATGTTCCGTGAACGTGAGTGATACGTTTAAAATATGCCTGAACTTTAGTTAATGAGAAATAAACAATATTAATCATGGTAAAAAGGAATAACTAACCAAACTTCATGTACTCACTGCTTGGTTAGTTGCATTTGCCGCTACACGCGATGTTACGCATGACTTGGACTGCTTTACGGAGTCAATCCAATCCGATCCTCACCGTAGAAAAAAAGCGGCAAATGCGCTAGCTAGTCGCGAGGCACTTTCGGTACTTCTGCAAGCTTACGATGACATCCGACGTTTACGGAAGGATCCAAAAGCGAGCTTGACAAACGATTTGTCATATAACAGTGACCATTCGTAATGAAATTAGGGCGATGTTAACTGCGTTATGCATCCGTGCGGTCGTGGTCTGCTGTTAGCAGACGACTGGCTTTCGCATGGTACGATGCTACGCACTGCACATCAGTTTGTGTTGTGTCGGCAAAATATTGAGCACGAAGGCCGTGGGCAGTACTTTGTACTAGTTAATCAGCAAGATAATTCGTAGGGGCCGCCCGAAACGCTCGCCTAAAGTCCAAAAAATGAGTCTCCAGAAGCTAGACTCTTGCACTGCGAGGCTCTTACATAGCAGTCAGTCAATCGCCTCAGTTAGCAGCATTGTGAAAGAAATTGTGGAAAACTCACTCGATGCGGGTGCCACGAACGTCGTCGTCAAACTGGTGAGTTTCCTTGACAGCGACAATGCGCACAATTTCGGCGGGAGAGCAAAATGTCACCAGCGCTTCACGTTGATGCCACCACGCGGTGGTCGCTGACGTTAGTATGACTGCATCGCGCAAGTTATTAAAATTGCTTTCCTGCAAATGGTTGAACTGAAGCATTCTGACGCCTTATTGGCTTTGACAGCAAACGATGATCACCAGCGGCATGTCACAGCAAACGGCGTGATGCTACAGTCGATCGGAAAATTTCCGTCATAACATTTGTTGCAGCGGTACAAATAGCTCTCTGTCGAATGACAGTGTATTAAACCATGGCGAAGCACACATTTGACCAGCGTTGTTACAGACGAGCGTTAATTAACCCACATTAGGAGCCTGTGTGCTTGTGTGTGAATAAAAAAACAGTCTTATAAGAAGAACAGAAAAAGAGGTGTTGATGCAGTCGCTCCTCTGTAAGATTGTAGGTCGATAGCATGATTGCTCAGAGCAATATTCGCTCTACATGCATGCATCGGGATCAAGGTGTGGCAGTCAGGCCCAAAAAGCTCTAAAGTTGTCGGTTGGATTTGAAAAAGAGAGACACAGTGACTGCCTGTTGATCACTGATCTGTATGATAGTATCTGCAGTGGCAGTCATCCTAAACTGCCTGGACGGGTTAATTTGTTGTCTCTGCTTCACATGCCTGTGAACGTTCATAAATTGTGCGAACTTAGGAAAAAGACAATACGAAAAAAGGCACTCAAGAAGCATATACAATGCAATATATGTATTAATCTATAATAGGAAGCCAGCGTGCCTGTATGCAAAAATAAAGGAGAAATTAAATAATGTGAACAAGCAAATAAGTGAGAAGAAATAGCTGCTAATGTATTTGCTACTTTGCAGCATTGTAACTTGACGAAAATGCTTGTGCTCTGTCCTTTTTTCATGTCTCTTCTGTTGTGTTGTTCTTATCCTAATTATAAGCAGTTCACAACTGTTTACTAAAATGCACAAACTAGCTTCTCAAGGTCCAGTTGCATCACGTATTCCTCCTTCCCCGTCTTGGCAGGTTGATTATGGACTTGACAGAATCGAAGTGATTGATAATGGCCACGGTGTTGTAGAAGATGACCTGCCACTTGTCGTACTTGCCGGCTACACGTCGAAGATAAGCAAGTCAGAAGATCTTCTGTCCCTCACCACCTATGGATTTCGTGGACAGGCACTCGCAGCCATTGCTGCTGTGTCCAGAGTCACTGTCGCCAGCGGACCCCAAAACGGCGAACAAGGGCTGGCATTGTGCTTCGACACACAGGGAAACATTGTGTCGCGAAAGGCCTTGCCTTGGAATGGAGGTGAAGCTCTACTAATTGTACTTTTTGGCTGAAGATAAACCAAGCATAGAGTGTTATTAGTGGAGGATCAAAAGGCAGAGCTTCTTGGGGGTGCATCCATTAGAAAAATTTTAATCTAAGGGATACAGAGACTTGTCTTGTATTTAAAATACAGATTTCCGTACCATATCTTTTCCTACAGTCAAGTAGCACTGTTCACAGTTTGTGGAGATGTACACGTTGATGTGTAATTGATTTGTTGCTGGGCCATAGAATTCGTCTGTAACTCATGCAGCTAAAAGTCTTTATGGCTACCCTAATATAGAAGCCGAAAATTTAATTAATATATTGTCAGTCTATTTAAAAAGATGGAACTCCTTGGGACAAGGGGTGTTATTGGATCCAATGCTTAAAAAAGTGGACTTTTATTTTTCAAAGCTGAAACTGGTTGCGTGTTGCAAGAGTTGCAGCCTTGAAGAAGGCAAGTGCTTTTTTTTAAGTATTGGCACCAGTATGCCTCGTGTTACAAGAATTTCAAGATTCCATCTTACCCTGAACTGCTATTAGTCTATTCAAAGTTACACGTGTCGAATATTTTTGAGGGAACTCACTTTGTAAATGTAGATGGCAGCGTCCATGCTGCATCTGAATTCGTTAGCATGTATTGCTTTGTGATTAACGTTGCTTTAACAGCAATTCTGAAACTAAGTGCTTTGTTTGCTGCGCCTTCTTCAGGAATGCGAGTGACCATTGAAGACATCTTCAAGAACATCCCAGTGCGAAGGAAGCATATGGAAAATATGAAGGCAAAATCAGCACAACTTAAGAAAGTTCAAAATTTTCTTTATGCTATGGCCATCGCTTGCCCTGGTAAGTTAAATAAAATGAACACTGCATTGAGAGGTAGTGCAGGGAATTTTATTTCCGTACTTAATGGCCCAGTTTACCCCTTGGTAGGTTAGCCTATCTTTTTGACATGATGTTATAAAAACCTGCTGTGGTATATACATATAAACCACAAATAAGTAGTATAAAACACATTATATCAAACTTGAGCCAGTACTGTTAAAGGTGTTTCGTTATCTCTTCATTTATTTGCAAGATTTCTTTCAAGTAGGTCACATTTTCATATATATAGCCCTTTTTGTTTTCTTCTTTTTTTTAAGCAACCATTAGTAACCACACATTATCTTCCTGGTGAAATTCGTTTCTCGACTCATCTTTTTCGCCACAGGTGTGGGCCTCAGTTTACACCATAACAAAAGCCTCATCTGGACGAAGGTGCCTGTGAAAACCATGCGGGAGGCCATCGGCCAGGTGTACGGCATCAGTACACTGCAGATGTTGCACTACAGCGAAGCGCACGACGACAACTCTGGCACTGTAAGTGGCAGAAATAAAGACCTGTTGGACTATGTTGTTTAAATGAAACTGAAGGTTATTGGGGAAACTCATTTGTGAATACTGTAAAATATGCACTGAGTGTTCCTGCATTCTTTTTGTTTTGAGAGTGTTGTATTACGTGGGAGCAAAGACATTTTTAGGGAGCAAAGCCATGCCTTCAAAAACCTTTGACGCACTACGCTTGCAGTGAGTGCATGTGTAAGCTTGTGCAATTATTCAAATGCCTAGAATATAGGAACAAACATTACAGTATTGCAATTCGATTCGAATTTAAATTATCAGAAATTTCAAAGTATTTGAAATGAGCGAATAAATGTGTATTAGTCCGCATGTAACCCTGTGAAAGTGGTCTCACTGCTGTGGAAGGGTACTATGTCGTGAAAACATCTATCCAGGGGAAATCTGCATGGCAGCGAAGCTTGTCATATCGGCTTATATGATCTAACTACAGTAAATTTTCAAATTCAACATATTTTACTCATTATTACTTGCATTGTATGAAAACTCGAATCTTGCTGCTTTTCAAAGTTACGTTCACTTCGTTTGAACCAAAAAGAATGGCATTTCCACGGGTCTTTAAAATAATTTGTACAGATTAGTTGGGTCATGATATATATGCCCATTTTTCTTTATAATATGTAATATATACTATTCGATTCAAAATTGTTTGATGGAATCACTATTCTCTTCCAGTTCACTTTGAACCTAAAGCTCACTATACGCCCCAAGCCCTCATATGAGGAAATTAAAAAAAAATACACACATCCATAAATACACTGGCAACCATTTCTTATCTCTCCTTCTCACACATCAGTCAATTGAAATAAGTATGTGTTGGTTGATCCGAACAAATGTTAATCTCTAGGGCTCCATATTGTAAAGTGCAGACCACGGGTGTAGCCCTCTATATTCAATAGTGCAGCTTTTGCAAGAGATTAATAGCTTCATAGCGATCCACTTAGTACTTCAACGTGAGCTCTTATTAAATATTGTGGCATTTTCAGCTTTTAGCAGGGTCTTTTCATTCTCTGGTTTTTTATTTGTTTTGCAGACTATAAAGCTGTTTGTTCCTGATGTTTCAATCAGGGACAAAGAAAAACTTCTCACCTGTTCTGAGCCAGAGAAGAGCGTACTGTTGGTCAATGGGAGGCCTGTGAGGATCAAGGAGATGATGCAGGTATTGACATTTTTGACTGAAACAATTTCCATACTGGTCTTTTACCAGGCTGTGTCTGAGGCAAAGTGAATGAAGTTATTGCTGGCAGAGTACTGTGCTTTTTCATCATAGAAGCCCTTGAGGTGCTAAAAAAGCAATTCATAAGTACATATGTTATTTTGGTGGATCGTTAAAATAACAATGCAAAAGACGGAGAGCGCATAGGGACAAGCGAGCGCTGTGTGTTAGTGCGTTGTCTTTTGCACTGTTATTTTCATGATCATGAATAACTAACTGGTCCGAGTCAATGCTATTGTGTGAAATGCTATTGTGTGTATTATAATGGAGTTCATAATATGCTTTCGTAAATGTTGATTCGTTTGATGATGTCTTGCTGTTTTCTGAGGTGTACAGAGTAATTTGCATTACTTGTGGGCAACATGTTTATGAGAACTTGTGGAACACACCAAGATAGCGTCTAGTCCATTTGCTTCCCGTCTTTTGCCAGTGTTGGCTTGTCACTGCTTACACATAGGTTGCTCTTTTATCAAAACTAATCCTCTATCATGTCCTAAAATTATGCCAATTTCATTTTAATAATATATCATTACATTTATGCTACTAACAATAAACCCTAATGAATCCTGATAGCTGATGTCTGGAGTTCACATTAATGGTTAATATTAGTGGTATGAAAAATTTGTGTGTCTGTATTAACAAGTCCTGGTCTGGTCTGCAAAAGAAAACGACTCACTTAAAAACGTTTTTTTTTCTTAAGTTATTATCTTCAAGCAACTGTACTAGAGTTGTAGGTAGCCAAGATTTTATGTCTGACAGGCTTTGTGCAAAATTGCTGTACATAGCTAATTTCTTGAGTTCTCAGTTGCACTTGTCATCTCGACTCCTCGTGGTGCTCAAGTGTTCGTATTTTAGGAAGTTGCAGTTCTTGCACGTAAGCGTTGTGAACTATCATACAGGCAATGAATCTTGTGCTCTCTACCTTCACAGTTGCTGCACAACGAGTTTTCTTTGGCAATTGGAGCGGAGGATGGAAGTTCGACGAAACATCCCATTTCTGTCGCCTCAATCGATGTTCCGCCAAGTGAGCTTGATGTGAACTTGGAGCCGGACAAGACTGCTGTTGTATTCACTAAGAAGGTCAGCCAGAGATACTTTATCAGGAAAAGCAACTTATTAGCATTTAAGTCGAGATTGATAACCGAGATGTATTATTCTTGGGTATTTTTGGGTATGTTACAGCTTCCTTTATATACATGCACTGTGAACAGTAACATCTTTAAAAAACAGCCAGAGGTTTTTTTTTTTTCATGCTGCGATTTGCTTTTAATCATGCTCGATAAGACAACGAAATTTTAATGTCAATGTTCATTATATTGATGTTTAAATGCAGTTTATAGCAAACCTGAAAATGTGCTTTTGCTAGGCAACAAGAGGGCTCAATAAATTGTAGGTATCTGCAAATATATCATTCTCTGTGCTTGTGAGTTTAGTCTGTGAAAGTCATGGTGTAAGAAACTTTGGTCATCATTGCACCACTATTACCAAAGCAAGGTGCTATAAGGACTAAGTTGTGGCAGTATTCGTTTGAAAGAAGAGTCTGTTTCAATCTGACAGTACACCATGGTGTAATTGTAATCACCAAGCAATCCTATAGATGTGTTATGCTTAGAAAAAGGCTACTTTGAAAACAATTTCATAACATTGTTGTGATCCCGTCTCTTTTTTAAACAGGACACAGTGTTTGGGCTTTTTGAAGGTTTAGTCAGAAAGGCATTCAGCAGTGCATCTGCAAAGGACGTTGGTGACGATGCCGTTGAAGGCGGTGTTGCGAGAGCACAGCTTCCTCTGAATGATTCAGAAGATCGAAATCGACAGGACCTAGGAGCAGCAGATGACTTGGATCGACTGTTCGACGACTTTGTGATGCCAAACGATGCCTGTGAGGACTTGGAATGCCTGATAAGCAAAGATCTCCCTGTCACTCCTGATGGTAACAAGGAGAATGTGACGGCACTTGCTGAAAAGGCAGCAGTTCCTCCAGATGAGACCACTGCACTGCGCAAGGACCTGCCGGAAGTATTATCGGAGAAAAGTTCGACACCTTCAAAAAACGTTACGGCACCTCGACCTGTGCCTGAAAGGCAAGCGTCACTCTGGTCTCTTGGTATCCTCCAAAATACACAAGGGAGAACAGTGGCGGTAAGCAAATAATTTGTAGTCTGACGTTCTTTTTACTGCGCCTTGTGCCTAGTCCACTAACTGTGTTTACTATAATTAGCAAGTTCATGCCTGAGAATTTGGCCTGCCTAATGATGACAGTCTTGGATGGGAACATGCTAACTTTGCATGGCTGGTTCTTTATAACCACATACGAGTTTCAACGGGAACCGTTTACACTTATTGCTTCATAGGACATGCTGATTGGCACATTCTTTAAGAAATATAAATAATTGGTTGGGTTTGACATCCCAAAACTACCATATGATTATGAGAAATGCCATAATGGAAGGCTCTGGAAACTTTGACCACCTAGGGTTCTTTAACGTACACCTAAATCTAAGCACGGGCTTCAATAATTTTGGCCTTTATCAAAAATGCAACCACGGTGGCTTAAATTTGATCCCGCGACATGTGGGTCAGCAGCCGTGTGCCTTAGCCATTAGACCACTGTGGCAGGTGCATTCTTCAAGAAAGGCTGCAATGCTACTATGTTGGTGTGCGGCATTGCAGACAGGGTAGTCTAACAATTGTGCTAGTTTGGCAAACTAAAGCACTAGAATAGTTAAAATTGAGACGGAATCGAATGTGCATTTCAATAGAACCCGAAACACAAAGAGTAATAAAGGAATAACAGCAATTGTATGCCACATTTACAATAGTAGAAGGATATTCACATAGCAATGTGCGAGTTCAATTTCATCAGCATTTCATCAGTCACATCTTCATTGTCACATCTTCAGTCACATTGTTTGCATTTTAATAATGGTTGCTGTAACAACAACGTGTATGCTTTAAAGGGTCCCTGCAACGCTTTTTAACGCTTCCTAATGTTAGCCGAGGATTCTGGGAGCATGTGAGCCGAACATTTTTGTGCAGCAAAAAAACTGGAGTTTACCAGTACTTATTCTCATTGTCAGCTAGAAATTGATCCCTCTTCTCTCGACAAATGATGCATAAACCCAAACAATAACACCATGAATCAAAGTCCACAGTCATTAACTGATTTGAGCATCGCGAACTGCATAATTGCCACAGGATAGCGTGGCATGCCAGTGCACTTGCTCACAATCCCACTGAAAGTAAACCATGCATTCAAGGAGGAAAAGAAAAATGAAAGTGCTTGAAGTCGTAATGCTCACATGCCGCAAGTTTTTTTTCCCGTGCCATGCCTCCCTGCTTAGCTTTCAGCGCGATCTTTTTTCAGCGTGCTATTTTAATGAAGCCATTAAAATACCACTTGGAAAAGTGTTGCAGGGCCTTGCTAATTACTAGTTTAACGACAAGCCATAAGCTTACAACTTGTGCCATATGCATGACTTTCATTAGTTCTAGTGCTATTTATTTGCGATGCATCTCTTTAAAAATGGCCACTTTGGCCTATAGCACATGCTTGGGAAACAGTTACTGCAGTTTGTGCAGGAATGAAATCGCTGCACAGTATACATTAGGATCGTGCCAATGCAAGCCGCAACAATTTCACATCCATGTTTGCGGGCTTTGACCCTGTGACACATATGAGTGACGAGGCTCATTGAATGGAAACTCTGGCAGGAGCCCACGAGAGTGGGAGGCATTGCAGAGAAGAGGCCCATGATCAGTCCGCTGAAAGACAGGACGCCTAGCAAGAAAATGCGCACACCCGCAAAGCCGTCAGGAGTTCAGAGCTGGCTCAAAGGCTTGCTGGGCACTCAGAAGCGCTCGGCCAAGGAAGTATACTGCGCTCGTCGGAAAAAAGAGAGTGAGTGTTGCACGTGTATATTGTGATTCCCACAACACACTTATGCAAACATAGAGAAATGTGAAAATTTGCATGAGTGTCCAAAATGCATGCGATGATTTTGGGAAATTATGTGACTGCGGTTAAATAAGGAATGCCACCGGTGACATTGCTCCAGCCAGGGCTTGTCTGGATGGCACTGGTTGTTACGTATGTTCATATGGCATATTTGGTTGAACCCTCCAGCCCCAGATGCTGTAAAATCCAAAGACTTCTTAATAGATGAACCAGGTTTTAAGAACAATACGCCTGAAAAAATATAGCAGTGCATCTCAATACTGCCGTTTATTCTAGTGAAGACAAAAAAAAGTGCCGCCACATCCACGAAGTGAATGATGATGAGTGGGCGAAGCTCCGGAGGTAAACCTGGTAAACCATGAATCCTCCGTACATTTTGCCCACTCAATTTTATTGCAACGCTCCCCCTAGCGTACGTCGCCGCACTATATCGAACGATGACACGCGCCATATGTGGCATCATTCCTATTTTATAACACCTCGCATCTTTCATAATCAACTACACGTACCGCCGTCTAGTTTATAACATCTTGCATCTTTTGGATGGATGGATGGATGGACGGACGGACGGATGGATGGATGGATGGATGGATGGATGGATGGATGGATGGATGGATGGACGGACGGACGGACGGACGGATATGGCTGTACCCTTTAGATCGGGCGGTGGCTAGCGTAATACTTAATGCCGTCAGCTACAAGTACCGCCATCTAGTGAACACTGCAAGAACTGAACGAGAGGTGGCTACATACAGGGGACGCACAGCCCACGCCTTAAGGAGCTTCGCTCCTAGAAAGATCACAGTGCCATGCGCCATCCCTCTTTTCTTTTTCTTATAGTGCACTGTGTTCACTGTTTTTAACACATGCCTCAAAAGAAAGCAAGAGTTACATGTAGCACATTGAACATGTTATCCGAATGTTGTAGGTGTGGTCCCTACCTGTGTCAAGTTTTTTTTTTTTTTTTGATCCACTTAGATTGCATTCCACTTATTTCCTAATTACTATTCTACATATAAAAGTTATAGCTTTATGTCACAGGTTTGTAATATAAATAACTTGCTACTTTCTGCTTGGCTGCCCATTTTCTGTCCAGTCCTGTCACAGGTTCCTGATATGCCACTTATGGAGCTCAGTGAGCTTCTTGAAGAAGGCTGGACTTCATTAACACCCGACGAAAAGCAGCAGTATGAAAAACAGGCTGGAAAATCTCCGGTGGAATGGTAAGTGTTGCTTGCAAAAGCATATCAATCGAATTCTGTGATGAATTCTGATAAAACAGATTAATGGACTTGCTGGAAAAAAACTTTAACTTTAGCTGATGCGAGTTTGAGACCCCTTGCTTAAATGGTTGGTGCCCACACTAAGTTAATAAAGAGCTAATATATATCTTGAATAACTGTTGCCACTTGTTCTCACTTCCAGTACTTTCAACTGCAATACGTTGCACGGGTGTTGTGGGAGGATTGAGAGAGCCTTGCGTTCCTCAGCCCTCAGCTGTGCATTTATGATGGTATATTACAAACAATGCATGCTTGAGATATTGTGGATGTTTACCTTACATAAATATAACTGACTAATATTCATGATAAAATGTGTTTTGTTTTTTTGAGGTGCATCTAGTAAATACCTTCCCACTTCCTTGTTTCAGCAACAAGTTGTCGAGTATGCCACAGCAGGCAAAGGAAAGCGGTCTACCAAAGCAGTCTGCATCAAACTGGAAGAGAGTGGAGCTGCAGTTCTCCATGCAAAGCATTAAGGAGCAGTTTGAGGACTATTGCCAGCTAAGGTGCTTTTCTCTTTGCTTGCTATGTTTTGTGCTACTGTCTAAATTAAGTGGATGTCAACTCATGCATTTTATATTTTGCATTTGATACTCTGGCATTTGATACATGCCAGAAGTTCGTAACTCAGACCTCATTATAACAAAGTTGCATCTTACAGAAAAATAAGTTCCTTATATTAAAAAAAATCATTATAAAGGTACTATTTCTAACACAGTACCTATTGCTACAATATTTTTCATTTACTTTGTTATAACCAGTATTTTGTTATATCCATGCTTGTTATATCATTGTTTGAGTTGATTAGTTGATGTTATGCTATCTGTAGTCCATTTTTTTTCTGTTGCTTCTTACTGTTACTCTGGCATCATAAAATATGAGCTAGCCCAAACTCCACTTTGGACAATTTGCATGATTATTGAGAAACTTGCTCTCTTGAACCCATTATAGCTACTTTATACTTTTGATTAATTTCACACTGGCTGCTTGCCTTTGAAATTATCAAACTACATGCAAGCTTTGAGGGCTACTACAGAGGGGTCCAAGCTAATCCTGGCCCAACGAGACGATTCAATCTAGTTCCAATATTTAAAAAAAAAGTTACATTCACTTCCAATGGCACACATAAGTCACAGCTCGAAGTTGCTAAACGCGTTTAGTATCAAGATATCAACCTTTCGCGGTTACTTTGGCTTGGCATTATATGAACCTGTGCCTTCAATAGGCAGCATTCCTGGTCCTGCACCAAAATAGCGTACTCGCCACATTGTGAGGAACACTTAAGTCATCTGCAGTCTGACAAAGGTGACCACATTTCTGAATATGACCACTCGAGGATATCAGCTCAGATTGTCTGATATACTTAGGGCAGGCAGGTAGCTGGAGCCCTCACAAACTTTTAAACAGCGAACAACGAAAAAAAAACTTTACTTTCTGGGACCCGCAGTTGAAGAGAGCCCCAGTAGTGGGCAAATGCGAGCCACGGGTGTGGGTCCAAAGACCCTCGTCTTTTGCATCTATGTGCGCTGCCAGCGCCTCCATAATATACTCATTCCTCATTATAACAAAGGCATTGCGCATGAAAACGAGTTTGTTATATACGAGAATTTGTTACAAACGTATGCTCTTAACACTATATTCATTGCAATCACATTAATTTACTTTTTTATAACCGATATTGTTATAGCTGGGTTCATTAGATCGAGCTTTCAGTGTAATAAGGCTGCTATCGCATGTTAGAAGATACTCGTAACTGAAATGAAATGTTAGTGTGTATAGAGTACCACCATGAGCCCGAGCCGATTTTTTTCAGCCAACAGCCGCTCAGCCTGGAGACTACACTTGTGGGACCACTTCGTGGATGTCCCACTGATGCTTGGGTTGTCTGGCACAAGGCCAAGCTTTGCACATTGAACACTGCCCGCCTACGTGAAGCGATCATATTCAAGAGGCTTCTGGCTTCGTATCCCATTTCATCGGAGGAAGCCGATCCCATTATAACTGTAACACCTACGTAAGCATTGCCACTTGATCAAAGTTTCTAATAACTTTGCCGACTAGTGTGTACTCCTGTTCTATGAAGAGTCAGTATTTAAAGGAACATGCACATAAAAACAATGGACGCAAATTACGTATGTCGAACAGGTGTTGGTGCTAGCTGGGTACTTGTTAAGGACCAAATGCTACAGGTTTATGCCTCGAATCCATGCAAAATTTACTTATGTATTTCATGCTCCCTTGCTTGTTTGCATTTTGTCTGAATAATTCTTCTGCGGCATTGAAAGCGTGACAAACTTGTAACACAAACGACCAACAAATAGAATGGATTCATATATGAAAATTGAGTACCAGTGAAGAAATTAAATGCATGCCAATTAGGTTACCTGTACCACGGTAAGTGCTTTTTTTGCTTTTACGTGTAAAAGCAGCTGAGAAACCAGTGTTGGCGACCTATTGCACCATTTCTTTAGCTTGCATACATTCTTTTGGGACTTTTCGCTCATGCAACAACCACAATTCAAAATTTTCCACGAATTTTCATCAATACTGAATTGTTTTCTCCTAAATCAGCATAATTAGGAGTGACCTGCTGTGGAACACATTGCTTGGTATGAAGAACGAGACCAGAGACACATCTGGAATTCTGTACGTGACAGACCCGCTTCTCACTTTCAATGGCTTCCACGTTAGAATCCTACCAGGTGCGTGGACACTAGTGTTGCACGTTTATTTCTCAGCATTTTTTGTAAAGATTCATAGGCTGCCTTATTATCACTGTTCCATGAAAGATGTATACAGTCTGGAAATGTCACTAAAGCATCGTGTAACTCGCACATACAAAATATTGTCAAGATATGGGATGAAAATTTTATGTTCAGTTACAGTGGAAACAGAGCATACATGAATTTTATCAGCTTGGAGACTATAGTTAGGTCTTTAGATTGATGGGATAACCAGCACATTAACCACTGCCTAAAGAAAGCCACATATTAGTAAACTGAGATAAGGACTTTTCACAACAGTTAATATTTTGGTTATCTTATTTGACATCTCATCTTGAAGTATGAAAATGGTGGCGTCTCCAACATCAGACAATTACAAAAGGACAATTTTTGTTTGCAAGTACATTAGTTTAAGATGCATGCCTTTAAACCCGCCGTACTTATCCCCCCCAGTCACTCCTCGCATTTATGAGCCATGAATACTCAATTTGTTTTAAATGGTAAAAATGTCCGTGTTGTCACTAATGTAGCTTATTAACCTTAATAATATCCCACCAAGCTTATTAAGCAGTTTCAATTGTGTGCTGTACATTGCCCGGTTACACGCAGGTGGTAGTAAAGCAGAAATCGTGAAGCTGCCCAAGGACCAGGCATTATCCGAGTTGGTGGAAATCCTGAAGCTTGCCTCGTCGTGTCCGTCCGCGACTGTGGCCACCTGTCGGCTGCCCAGGACTATGGCTTTGCTCAGAGACGAAGCCACACGAATGGTTCGCAACATGCCACCAAAAATGTTGCGCGACGAAGTTGAAGAACTGTTGGCCGGGCAACAAGACTTGCTGCAAGAGCTGTGTGTGCACAACCGGCCTATATGCACGCACTTCTTCGACATGAGCACAAGCTTTGGCCACGTATCTGAAGACATGTCGTCACAAGTCACCCTTTGAAAAGAAACACAAGTTTTCTGAAACTCTGCCTTCTATTGACGTAGTTTTGATTTCCTTATAAACTTGAGGATGGCAACAGTAAGATGCTTCAATTCTGCAGTGTTAAGCTCCCTGGCGGCAGCATTTGCCAAGGTAATATCTATATAAAGCTTTCTGGCATGTTCAAAGTGCCAGGTGGAAATCAGCCACGTGTTTTCATACTTTCTCAGCAATTTCGTGCCCGCTCTGGGAGCTTCACACTTCCAAATATGTAACCGGTGAATCGGCAACATACAAGTGATGAAGCTAAGTAAAGCATCCACAAACAAACAATAAAGCATGCTCATACACTGTTGACTTCGTGGTATGAAGCAGCAGTAGAAGCCTTGCATATGCAATATTTACAAGACCCGGCTGTGTTCACTAGTGCACTATGTGTACATATGTAAACCGTAAAAAGGAGAAAAAATGGTAGTGTTACAGCATTTATATTTCCACTGCCTGCAACAGTTGCAGCAGTGTATTGGGTATTTTGTATATTTTAGCCAAAAATAAATTCTCTATATTCTCTTGGTCTTATGTGGCCCTCAAACAAGTCTCCTCCTTAACTGCATTGCTCAATTATTAAAAATTTGCTGCACGATGCTAATATGTAGATTGTATTCAAGAGCTGAATCTAGCTGCAGTCTCCCGAATTTTCATGCAGCCAGAATAGCAGGTATATACACAATATAACAATTGTTGGGGTTTAAGGTCCCAAAACCACCATACGATTATGAGAGAGGCCGTAGTGGAGGATTCCGGAAATTTTGACCGAAATTGAGGCGCACGGGCGTCGAGCATTTTTACCTCAATTGAAAATGCGGCTGTGATTCGATCCCACGACTTGCGGGTAAGCAGCCGTGTGCCTTAGCCACTAGAACACCGCGGTGTGGCATGAGCTTTGCTCCAATGTGAATATTTTATCCCTCTAATGGAACGTAGATGCTTCTTAAATGCCAAAAACTGTTGTTTTGGCACTTGCGAGTTAGAAAAATTGCGCAGTACTAGTGCAGCTAAGAAATGTAGTCCGACAGCTATTGATGGCCATTCTTGGAAGCTTCATTCAAACCGATACCCCAGGAATTAACTTGATTATAAGAACAGACCAGTGTATTGCTATGCAATAACAAGAGAGTGTCAGGATAACACTATACATCGTGTGCCGCCACCTGTGAATACAATACAATATTCGGAATCGCTGAATGGACTTTGCAGTCCTACATTCTTTATTAGCCTACTTACACTTTGTACATGAACAGAACCTGCAGCACAGGAATGTTGGCAGAGGCAGAACACATTCGAAGTCTTTAGAGTCGTCAAACAGATATTACACCAGCAGGTACTACAAGGAGGCTAAGACGTCACAGTTTGTAAATATAACATGGAAACACTTTTATTCGGAATAAAAAAAGTGTAAATGGCTACACGCAGAAATATATTGCTCAATAAATAGCTCATCCACGAAAATAAAATATGCACGTCTGGAATGTATCACCGAAATTTCATCCTAAGCTGGCGTTCGCTTGCGGCCACAAGCTTTTGCTATGTCAGACATTCCTTCACAGTTTGGAAAAACCTACTACTTTCTCTAGCATTCAAGCAGCCACTTTCATGAAATGTTCAAAGGGTTTGCACATACACACAATGTGCATAACCTTTCCTAGTATGAGATTACTTCTTGCAGCCTAGTAAGCACAACACAAACATGACATTAATAAATTAAGGATAGCTGAAATATATATAAATAGTCGTGAGGTTGCAAGACGATGAAATTCATAAATAGGTTTTGATTAGAATAATCCTAAGAGAAGTGGAGGGCTTCCACATTCAAATAGCCAACTCGAACCGGTTTGGAACTAAGGCCTATGAATCGGCCATTCGTTGAAATGAAACTCGTTAAAACACCCTGAGGCAGCCAAGAACAGCTTTGGTGAATGTCACAGTCAACTAAAAGCTTTCTCTCCACGTCCCTAAAAAAAACATCAAGCACTTAAATAAGAAATTTATTAAATTGTATATTAAAAGCTCTTATAAATAGATGAAAGACTAGGGGCAGTCAAAATGCACTCGTGGAAGTGGAAGAAAAAAATGTTACAAGGGGCCGCCTCAGAAATTTTGATTTGGAATGGTTGGAGTGAAAAAAAATGAAAAACACTTAAGAACAACAGGGCGTGCTGCCGTCACAATAGCATCATTGTCACAACGATAGTCCACTTTGATCACAGCACGGGCTGCGGTGCGAGCAGTTTCAGTCGCACGTGGAGGTAGAGCGAGCGTCTGGCGTATTCGCACAGTTGGACGCTAGTAGTCGGGAAGGTCTGGAGAGATTTCTAGGCTGTTCCGCACTTGCCAAACCCGCACGGTGTTGTCGCTGCTCAGCGTCGATGAGAACAGCAAATCGACGAAAGTGGCAAGCACGGGACGGGGAGGAGGTGGCAGGGTTGGAAAGGAAGCACATTGTTGAGGTTAAACATGCTGGCAGGACTGCAACGGCAAAACTAAAAACAAACTGAGAAGACTGGAGGGCCACTTTCTTCCACAATAAAGGAAACTCAAACTAAATTAACAGTGAAGTTTGGGGTATATGCAAATGCTTGAAAAAATGTTGAAAGTAAGGATAATACCAAAGAAATAAATGCTCATACAACAAACATTTTACTGTGCAAGAAGCCAAAAAAAAAAAAAACTGATATGCTGGGCATATAAGGAGTTCGAACGGGCATATAAGGAGTGCTGCCATGGGAACAGTTGAACAAGCTTTTCCTATTTTGCCACTGTTTACAATGTATGTAGCTACGGTTTTGAGAAATTTGACTCCTATGGTTTATAGCCTTAAAATATATTGCTATGCTTGCATAATGCTTAGGAACAATAGAAATTTGATTTATGCTGTGCGTCTTTTATTGCCTATTCATTTTGAAAAGAGATACTAATATAACAGCAAAGAGAGCTTATTTCACTACAACGGTGAACTGGATTGTAAATTGGATTTGACAAGATACCACGCAAATGTGCAGAATTTTTTTAACCAGTTTATGCACATAATGAACAAAATAATGCACATTATACAACCAAAATCAAGGATTGTTAATCTGCAACAGTGAAAAATTAAACAGAACTGGTGCAGGTTGGCCACTTCATGCGGGATGTACAGGCGAAAGTAAACTGGGACAGGAAGTGGTAGTTATTGTTAGGCGGCCCGTGGACCGCTGGCCACCTATCCTGTCCCAGGCCCAAACTTGGTGCTGTTGCCCTCGGCATCTTCGGAGCACATCTCGGCTTCAAGATAGTAGCCCGGTGTTCGCCATATCTTAATGTCGCTGTTGCTGCAAAGTTGCATACACCACAGAGTGGAAGCCACATTGAACAGCGACAATAATCTGAACCTGAGAAATTATTTTCAGTGCAACTGACCACATTTTAAAAAAATCTGAAAAGAAAAATTTGGTGCTGTCTTCAGATAGCATAACTGTACACAACATGGTTTAAGGTGCATTCCCCGGCATGCAGCTGCTTCTAAATGAGAAAGGCTATGTCCACACGAAAGCTATATATACTATAAACATTTCATTTAGGGTCATGTAGAGTACATGCAGGCATGGAATGTTATTTTAGTTTTTACTCCAGTGATCACTAAGCAAACTGATGGCGAAGTCAAAGTGCATAAACAATGCCAACTGTGCTTTCACAGAGTCAATGCATGCTTGCACTGTATAGGTGCTGCCATCGTTCGAAAGAATATGGACGCCTGTGATAGCGCTCTGCAGACAAAGATCACTCATGAAGGCTTGCAGAGCAAATGTAACAAACTGTCAGTACAGCATCTGGTACGATGCTGCTGCAACAGATCTCTCAGCCACTCGCTCTCCAGTCGATGGACTGTAACAAAGATGCGAGGATGCTCCACTGATTGCTCAGAATGTGCACGCAGAAAGTCTTCGGCACGCAGCAGTGGTGGCATTCCAAGTGTCAACGCGAGCTTTTGGGGAACCGTTCAGTAACGGCTGCAGCTGCACACGCGCTACTGAACCTTGTCCGAGCAGTACGAGAGAACCATTTTGGAAAGTAACCTAGAATCAGGACATCTGAAATTCGCACCTGATCTTGTACACTAGTACGATCAATGACAAAATGTGCCCTGTTACAACAGTACCTACATTGCACAAGCTGGGTAGTTTTCTTTAACTTTTCAAATTATAGCTCATTATTAAGCCAATTAGGATGAAAACATTGGAGTGCCTGAACTACTGGGCAAGCAGAGGAACAAACTAAGAGATAAAAAAGATTTCGACCGAACAATTTAACAAACAACCTGGATTCTTACCTGGACGCCGTGAAGACGCAGGACGAGTTTGTGGCAATGGCATTGATGGTGGAGCCGTGCGCCTTAAGCTCACCAACAAGCGAGCAGTTTTCAGTGTTCCACATTTTCAGCAGGCCGTCGCGACAGCCGCTCAGCAACACAGGTGGGGCACTACCACTGTGCATGATTGCGAGTGCGCAGATCCAATTCTTGTGGGCTTGGTTCAGTGACTGCAAAAGAATTGGGAAGAAGTCATCCCGTAGCTATCTTTACAGGCTCCACAAGTAATCTGCTAGCAACTGTCTCGACATCAAAACTTTACCACCTTTGCACCAATATACGTGCACATTTTAAGTAATTAGAACTTGTTTGACATGTCACAGTGAAGAGGAAAAATCCGTACATTGTCACCAAACAGCCCTGTTCGAATTATCCTCAGTCCCTGGGCACCCAATCGGGTGACATTGTTTTAAAAACCACAGACCATCACAATACGATATCTGCATGTCCAAATTAGTCTTGGCAATATAAGAATGAGTTGCTTTCGCGAAGCTCTGAGAACAGGTGCTGTGCGTCTAGTCATATTCGCAAAACAAACAAACGAAAATTACGGAGTGCTGCACAAGTGCTCGGCTGCATCTTAATGTTAAGTGAATACTGTTTTTCTTATTTGTAGTGTGAACGGCAATTTCTAACAGTAAATTCCTTTAAATGTGCACGCCCTGTAGATAATATTGTAAGTCAGTTCGGCCCGATATTCTTGTTGCACTTAATCTTAGAGACCTCAAAAGATCAAGAGTACGCAAATGGGTAACATCACAATTTGAGACAACCGCTCAATTTTTCGGAGTCATAATTTTTCTGCGTTTGTTTTTAAAGGCAGGGAATCAAATAATACAATTTTAAAAAAGCTTTCTTCATTGGCGCATTCTTGGGACTGAGGAAGGTATACTAACATTTTTAGGCCCAACAACGTTCCAGCCAACTGACACCCACTTACCTTTGTACACACATTCGTATAGAAAAGCAGTCTTTCAGATATTTCTCTGCTGCCTTCTCACTCTGCTGAGGGTCGGGATAATCGGTATCGCCAGAACGGAAGCCTCGCGTGAAGAGATGTTTCGAGACTACCACCAATGAATGGGTGCACGAGTCATGGCATCATGAAAAGGCGGACTATGACAGTGCAAGCAAATATACACTCGTGGAAAAGGCATCCCGTCATAACTGTTGCACAAAGCCAGTGATGTCAGGCAAGAAAATTCGCGCCCACAATTTTTTTTTTTTCACTTTTTAAAGCAGCAGGACGTTTTAAAATATTCAGATTGGTACCCTGCTGCACAGTCATTATAAATTTGCTTTCTTGTAAGGCATTCATGCTCTCCGCAAAGCATTAACTAATGCCAAAAGAGAAACTGCAACCCACACAGAGCTGCATAGGTACGTGAAAATGAGTGTTTGCACTCGAGGAGAGTGGCAAGCAGCTGTGCTATTTGTGCAATAACTGCAGCAATGGATATAGCATGTCAAGGCCAAATGGAATGACATTTTAAGCCACAAAAAGCCTTGCTAGTCATAAATAAGGCTTTCAAATATAGTGCCTTGACATTACTGCTCACAAAGGAAAAAGACCATGATTCACCTCCATAAAGACAGCTCCACGTCCTACTGCAGGTTTGATTTGCCCCCACTACTGCTCAGGCAAGCAAATCACTATCAAGTACTCAAGTGTGTGGCATAATTGGAGATTATGAGCAGAAAAATATTGTAATATGATAACCATTAAGTGCACAGACTAAGCAAACGCTGGTTAAAAAAAAATTTAGCCGGTTATCAGCCCCGCTGTTTTGAGACCAGCTAGAGAGTTGATCATGTTACCGAGAAAGTTTGGCTTATTCAGACATGTATACACGCACAAAACTTGTTATGAGCACGAAATTAGGAAAAAGGGAACAGGCAAGTTTTCTTGGCCTGCCATCATGTTTGTGCAGTCGTGAACTGCAGTTCATAGTAATTCCAAGGCTTGCCAAGAGCAACCTCAGTAGTATGTGCCGATTGCATCATCTTACAAATTTAGATGACTGAAATTTAATTCAAGCCTGCCTTCAATCTTTGAACTGAAGCAAACAGTGGGTAGTGCATACCGTGATGTGGCATCGATTGGCAAGGTCCCACTTCTTGATGCACCTGTCGCGTGATCCAGAGAAGAGGTACTCATTGTAGACAGCAAGGCTCTGGATGCCGTCGTAGTGGGGTGGCTCCAGGTTTACCTTGGGGGTGAAGACCCCACTCCCACTCTCGGGGATTTCAAACACCTGGAAAGCACGGGACACAGCGAGATTAACCATGCTAATGTACTACAAATAAGAACTTGCTTAGGCAAGTGTCACATTGAAAACTTGCTGCGCTGTCAAAAAGGTGTCAAGCACAGTGCAAATGCATATGAAGTTTATCCAGAAATTACTCGGTGATTACTGGTACTAGGCTCCTTGTGCCAGTAGATTGCGACACCACACCATACACATTTCGGGCACTGAACGCATGTTTATGATGCAAAGAAACTGGCTTGCACATGATACAGACTAACACAATGCTGTAAACATACCTAGGCAGACTTATGCACAACTTGCCAGAAAAAGACATGAAGTAAGCTTTTAAACATGCAGTTACATTGAGAAGCCCATTTTCTGCATATCGCCCATATGTAAAACAGCACGACGAAAAATTGGAAAGTGCCACTTAATGAACAAGTTACAATAAGAGAAAGTGCCTCCTGATGAACAAGTTACAGTAAGAAAAGAAAGGAATTTGTCACTGAGCGTGTTGCTAACCTTAATGTAGTGGTCCTTGGAGCCTGTGATGACGAGGCTGGATTCATTATCCACTTCATCCACTGCCATACACATCACCGCTGCCTGGTGTCCACCTGCCAGCTTGCCTACACAGGCAAATCTGGAGATGCAAAGAAAGAAAAAAAAGCTTTGAAAATGGTTTATGCGCAGCAAAACCTTGACTTGTTCGTTATACCCCACGATTTGAAGCATCAACACTACAATTCTGATAGCGTCACGAGTCAAGACTTTTAATTATGTGTGTTTCCGTATTTACTCGCATAATCTTTGCACTCGCATAATTCTGACACCTGCCACATTGCCCAATAAAAATACGATTTTTTTTTCCACGAGTAATTACCGCACCCCTGAAAATTGCAGCCGTAATGTAATCTGCTCCTTTCAACCACTAATGATGATAGCACACGACAGCCTGCCACAATCTTTTATGCATACTATTAACACACAAAGCCTCAATCGAATCCACGCCAAGCCAATGTGGCAAGTGTGCATTGCATCATATTAGTGTACATCCTGTTTGTTCTGTGGTTATGCATCGGGGCAATACGGAACATACACGGTCGCTTCCAAGTTGAAAGTGATCATGCACTAAACAACAGCAACAGGACCACCGTAGCCACTTTAGAGTCAACAAGATTTGTGTTCACAACCAGCGACAGCAGCATGGGTAGCTGAAAGCCACCAAGACCTGCTGGGTCTTCTAGGAGTTTAAGGCAGGGATGGATAAAAAAAACCAATTCGTCCGAATGTAACTGCAGATGATTCTGTGTTAGATGGCCATTATCTCAACGTTGACATCATACGCTAACTTTTGCGAGCTCCCGTTGAGTTACAAAAGTTAACGCTATGCCCGCAACACCCTCAAGCTTTGCGTACAATATTCTAAAGCTCTGTACTATTTGCTTGCAGCTTTTGTGACACAAATTAATCTTACCTTGTGTTGAGCCTGTGGTTTTATTGTTAAGGTAAGTCTTGATTAGTACTTCTCAAAGCTTGTATAGTTGCTAGAGTGAGAATCCTGATTGATATTTTTTAATTTTCCCTCCCGCTTTGTGCGTTTCAACAGAAAAATTTTCTCGTGCAATTCTTGCACCCCCAAACTTTTCATCGGTTTTCTGCAAAAAAAGTGCGAGGATTGTGCGACTTAAAACTGTACGTCCAGAAACTGTATTACATATGAAAAGTAGCAGTGTATCAATAACCTGGTACTGCTTATCTGTGGCATCTACATTGCCTACATGATGTCGCTACGGAACACTACCACATTAAGTCTACTTTGGCAGCGGAGGAGACGTTCAGTAGTTCATGATTATTCTTTGTTATAGCCCAGCCTGTGAAATCAGAAGTCACGAGGGCGCAAATGAAGAAAAGAGTTCATCCCATATCACTATTTCATCTTGAGCCTGCACATTTTCTGCAATATACAAAGCCGTGCAGCTTTAAGTGCTTGAACAGATTTCATGCAAGTGCCAGATGAAGATTAAATTATAGACTTGAATCACACTAAATACTATAGTAAGGTATTTAATGCATTTAAAATACAGTCAGACTGCCAGGCTATGGTAGCTAGCAATGGTAGGTTTAGATTGTTCACCCCTTTCTGTGGTTGCCCAAAAACATTGAGCCATTAGGTACACAATAGATCACTCTTTAACCAAAGTGAAGGAAATAATGTGCTGCTTTTGTGCAACAAAATTCTGACCTTGCCTCCTGGCATCAACAACAAGAACAATGAGAAGGTTTTAACAAGAACAGAACAAAGTACCAGACAGAAGCTTCACGATGCATGACTGCACTGTGCAGTCACACGCAGCTAGCAAGAAATGAAGATAGTCACTGGATATAATGAATTGTTTGGTACAATGCAGTGAATATATGTAGTGCAGTGAATGCAGTGAATGCAGGTACTATGCAGTGAATATAACTTGTTTCACTGTACAGTTATGTTCAGTCCTGTCTAATCGGCACATCTTAAAATTACAAGGAATTCCTTACTTGCGAATGTCCCAAATGCGAACTATGTTCGAGGCAGCCGAGAAGAGCAGGTTTCCATATGGGCTCAACTCAATGGTGTGGATGCGCGTTTCCCCTTGTGGAATCTGAAGGCTACGAGATGCTGACTCAGCGACAACAGGCCCACTGCTGCACTGGCCTGAAGAGCTGCAAGTGATAACAGTGAGAACTTAACATTTCACGTCGGTTACTGACGAGCAGTTGCATGAACCAGAGCAAAAATGGTCAAGAAATGCAAAGTGTCTGGTTCAGACAATGCTATGGTAGTCTAAGATAGTGGACAAAATCCTGTGGAATTTAACTCCATCACAACATGCACTTATCGCGTGGCTATATGTATTTGCCTACATGGCAAACTCATACTATAGCTGCTGCTTTAACACAACACGAGACTCAATGAAAAATATGGCCTACCAGGAGCTGAACTCTTCGAACCACTTCAGTATTTATGCAGGAAGCCTAAATTGGGACCACTTTCTATAGTCCCTAGCAAAGAGTCGGCTACGGCTTATTACCTGCAGAGGCAAATTAGTTGGCTTGAGGTCTAACGGTACCAATAGCAAAAATAGCATAAGCCAAGTTAGCAAACACAAGCGCCAAGTTATCTGGAATGCTAGGATGCCTTGAGAAATGCAAACAAGGCAACACTTATTCACACTTACTACTTGTCAAGACAGCTGTTTAAGAGGGGGGAAAAAAGTATGCAAGCTTAGCAGCAAATAGAAGAGAAACGCATTAGCATTAAGAAGTGATTGCATAGAAGGTTCTCGGCAGTAATCACGTGCACATTTAGAACAGACAAATTATTGGACAGTGACAGAGATGGAAGGAAGGTGTGCAGCAACAGCCTATACTCACAAGAGAGTGCGGATGCACTTGGCGGGGCTTTCTCGCACATCCCACACTTTGATGAAGGCCGTGGAAACCGTATAGGTGAGGCGCTGGTACTCGCAGTAGCGCACGGCCACCACATTGTCTACATGGCCTCGCAAGCAGTGGATCTCCTGGCCCGTGTGCAAGTTCCAGACCTTCACTGTGCGATCTGAACGCAAACGAATTTCCATGCTTTGAGGCCTACTTCGGCAGTGAAAAAGACTGCAGTTTCAAATGTCATGAATTACTGTTATCAGTACATGAAAATACAGTCGCCATTTCGTAAAAGGGAACGCATGAATGCGTGTTAGATGGCCTCGAAGCCGACATGTGGCCTGACACAATAATGATTAAAAAAAAAAACAGAGGCGTCCTTTTTCCTATTGCACACACTCCCGCGACATATGTGTACAGTTTTTGACATTTAAGCAAAACAGGATCATTTTCAATAATGATTACTATTGCCACTCTGGAAGCATTCAGGGCAAACAAAATGCATAATTGGTTTTGCAACAAGTGGTGTAGGCAATAGAATGGCATTGCTCTTTGTTTTACATATCACTGCGATGCATGCGAGCTTCAAGGCTATCTGCCATGTGTACCTGCAATAAGAGCATCACCATGGGCAGACGTAAGAGCACAACTTCAGATGATGTGAATACTGTGGCACTTCAGAATCACAACTAATAGCAGTTACTCTTAACTGGAATGCTGCAGCATTTTATATTTTCGTTTTGGCAAAATTTGGGCTAGCTCTTTAAATGCGTAGTAGCGCTAGAAAATTTGCCTTTTGTGGCGGATAAACCACCTCACTCATCTTAACATAGTACTGCTAATTTCTAGTTCACAAATGCTATCAAACATACTGTACAACTGCAGATTCAACTTTTAAGTCTGGCCGAAAACAGTTTATGAGAAGCAGTACAGCAATGCAACAAGCAGTTTAGTTGTCCCTGAACTTAAACCACTGAATAAGTGAAGTGAATAAGTGAAGCAGCTTTCATCTTTGCAACAATCTCTGAACCGCAATGCCATTTTGCAATAATAAAAGACAAGTACTACAACTGAACAGACTGACAGCTTGCAGATTAAGTTTTTCTTTCTTGTATTGCAGAAATTTATTGCCCCACCACAATTTTAAAACAAATGTCAGATTTTTCTTTAGAAAAGAGATGGTAAACGTATTGCTCACTGAAGACAAATTTAGTGTAGTAGACTCTACAAAGGAATGTATCAAAGGCTTTATATAGCAAATATGTGGTTTGTAACTGCAGTCGACTCTTGGTAAACGGAAATTAAACGAAACTACTGCTTAAACAGAACTATTGCCTCTGCAATACTTGGTTTCGATCTTGTATTCTGCACCCATGTTAACCTCTGGGTAAACGGAATTCTTGTTTAATGGAACACGTTTTCTCGGTCCCTTCAGTTTCCGTTTACTGAGAGTCTACTGTAGTGCATACTGTACATTTTTGTACACAATGCCATGACTGAGGTGTGTACGCAGTACTAAAACTCTCTACTAACTTGCACTTGTGATAGATGTAAGCATTGTTTTTAGAAATTTGCGATGCATGTGTTATCAAATTCGTACAAATTTTCAGAAATTCACCTTTTGAAGCACTGAACAGGACATCGTCTGTGACAGCCAGGGAGAGGACAGCCTTGCTGTGGCCCTCTGCCACGTGCGTGCAGACCAGTGGGGAGCTCCGCGAATAGCCTGGCTTGCCCTCAAACGCACTGATTACGCCTCTGCGTCCAACACACACAAAATATTAGATGTCGCAGAACCGCGTGAAAGCTTTGTACAGGCATAGTAACTGTACAGACACTGTGCACTGACAAGTTCGAATTCTAGGCAAACTATGGCATGAGGAAAAAGGGCGATGACAGCCAAGAAAGTTTTCTAAAAAAAAGGTAACCATAAGGTGTGCTCAGTTTCCACGCAAGGCAAATGAAGTTTACAAGGCAAATGGAGTAAACTCCATTTGCCTCGTGACAACAAGTGTGCACAATTCTTTGAAAATGCAGGGACACCACAACGCACTCCCTTACATAGCTGCTTTTTTTTTTTTCCAAAGTTCTCATCCCCTTTTGCGTTATGCTCTCCTTAGCTTTCTATCGACTACTTGAGGTGACAAAGAATTATAGAAATAAAGTTGCACGAGAACGTGGTTTCACATGCAACAAATGCAGCACAGCAGTTTTTCAGTATTTTGCTACATGTCAATACGATCAAGACAATGTTTTTAGATTTATTTAGCAATATTCATCCACTGATTCAATAATCCATTACCGTGAGCTTTGAATATTCAACAGCCTGGCTGATGTGGCTGCTGTTAGTAATGGCATGAATAAAAGGTGGATGAAAGTGGATAGCTTTAGATACTAGACAGGTCTCTTGAAAGACCTCTCTACGTACAGCCAATGGCCCTTAACATGGGAATGGCAAGGAATGCCTATGCATCTCAATTTCAGCAGTGTTCTACATGCTCAGATGATTACAGTAAAAAACCTATCTACTTGCACACACTGTCCAATCAGTCTATTCAATACGATGGCCTATCTTATGGTCAACAACTTTAAATATGTCCCAATGAATGTAAATTAACCTTCAGAGAACCAAATACTACTAATGGCCATAACAGCTTTTAAGTGTAGTCTTAAGTTTTGCATAAACCACATTTCTACTTAGATGCTGCCTTCAGCATGTAGTAGAAATGTAGTAAGACCATTGATGTACGCTTTTTATGGTGAAAACACTCAACCTCTTGCACACTACTATTCGGTATACATCCAGCTTCATACTGCTGATATTATGCAATTGCTCAAGTCAATGCATGTTAATTGCTCAATTAATGACCGCAACATGCCTACTGGGTAATAAAGTCACTGGTATAGGTATTTATATGAAACAGCATGCGAGTGTTTTGCAAGCATTGCGTAATGAAAACCAGAAGTGGCATAAAAATACCTGTCTGGCTTGACTAATGGATTCGTAGAGGTGCTGGTGAGCCTCGAGAAGACATTGTTGTCCCTCGCTTTCCGATTTACGGGGGGCGATGGTGGTGGCGTGGCATCAATGCCAGCATCTCTGAATAAAAATTTATGCATAGCAAAGCAAGCATGTGACAAGAGCAAGGAGGCAGACGAGCAGTTGTCCCTTCACAGGCCAACCTTGTCGTCCCCTTGTATGGCTTCGACATTTTTCATGGCAGTGAAGACTGATCTGCAACTTAGATAACTGCCATCTTCGCAAACGGAGTGAAACTGTGTCAATTTTTCCATATGGAACAGCAGTTGCTAAAATTATCTTTGTATTGCAGAAGAGTTGCACCAAAGTAAGCATTACTGACAAGAGTGAAGATTATGCTATGGCTAATGGTGCACTAAACAGTGGCAATTTGTACGAAACATTTGAACACTTGAATATGCCTCAAAATGATGCAACATTTTCAGTTAACTTTAGTGGCTGTCAACGTACAACAGTTCCTTAGCTTCCTATCCCTTGTTTGAAGAGACAAAGAACTACAGAGACGAAGTTGAATGACAAAGTCTTAATCTAGAGAGACGAAGTTGAATGACAAAGTCTTAATCTAGAAACAGTTCCAGCTAGCATGCAATGAATGGAGAACGTAGTTTCAGAATCAGAATCAACATTTATTATTGAATGTTGGGTAAAGTTACAAGCATTTAGCACACAGGAGAAGGTCCCATAGTCAAGAGACTGCATCAAGACCTCCTGTACAAAGGTGAATAGGGTAGCTTTTGAATATGTTTCAAGTATGTTTCCTACACTTTGGTATCCGTCTAAAAATCTTGATTTGCATTTGCCTCCATTGCATTATTTTGATTTTTATAAGACCAATAGCGATTGGTGGGGCTCGCTCACACAGAATACACAAAATTTGGTTTCGCCTAGTAAACAGATTCGCTGAAAAAAAAAAATTCTAGTGAACATATGTTGGTTATGAACAAAAACAAACATTTCTATTCATAAAGTATCAAAATGTGTATCTAGTGATACCCATAGCAACCAAGCTGTCTTCAATGTGCACGTGGAGCAATGTGCTTATAGTAGTATAGGTTGGAAACTGGCTGTCCAATAAACTTGTTGACTGCAGTGTCATGCAACATAGTAGTATGCAAACTGAAATTCTGCAAGATGGCTTCAGAGAACTTTTAACATTATTGTACACGATTCACCAAATAGAAGAAAAACCAGAATTGGCGGCCGCAGCAATTCCTGCAGACACATGACGAATGTGCTGTGTGGAATGCACGACACATTTTCACGAAGCGCTTTAAGCACGATCCCTGGCTTCTTCAATTTAGGGCAGAGTGTTCACTGCAGCTGAGTTGGAAAGCACCATCTTTCAATCAAATATTTACAGTGCTCTATCCCATGCACTACTTTAGTGCTAGCTGAGGTCACTCGCAATGCGTAAACATGGTGCCACTAAATGCAGTAGAATCTCTGTGATACGAACCTGGCTTATATGAACTTCGTGTAATTCCCTGGCCCATTTCATTGGGCTTAACAGGCCAGAAGAGCATGTGCATGTGCACATGTGTGTGTGTATCCTTTTTGTCCGTGTGCTTTTAGTTTACTTCAAGGTGTCAAAACTGCTGCATAATTATATTTTGCTAGCTTTGCTAGTGGCAATGGGAAGTTCCGGTCAGTGTAAATATTTTCGATTCTCTTCCGACGTTCAGATTGGGTGCACCAACTGATGGTTTTTTCCTGGCAGTAGAAATCTTGCAGACCAATAGACAAAGGTCTTCACTGTCTATTGTGTGCTGTCTTAGCTACCTCATTGTCAACTGGAAATCTTGGTATTTAATTGATACAGACCTACAAGATAACACCAATGTAGCCAAAGGTATGTCTTAGCATATTAACCTACAACAAGTAAAAGCGGTACAAACAAAGAAGGAAGTGAATTTTTCTAGAATTTCACAAAAAAAATACTGAGCAAAATTTAATTCCCGGATTGTATAGGTAGCATATGTAGAGTTTGCAGGAGAGCAAAAGTGAATGCAATGCACCGGTAGCACAACACCCTTAATGAATTAAACAGCTGAGTTAATGCCACTGAATGTCACATGCTTTAAAGCAGACTTTGCCACACACAGGTAAGACAAGGTTAGCTTGGGACTGGGACATTTCAAACACACGTTCAAGCAATCAAAACGAGACAAGCACAGGGGAAACCGAGGGTTGAAATGACTGAGAAGTTTCTGCACAAAGAAGATGCTAACTCAGTGTTTTAAGATTGGAACACCTTACCCCTTTCGGACACTTCGTATGCAATTGTGAACATTGCTTGTTTTTGCTAGTTGTGTCAACTAGAGGCTAAAAAAGTGCAAGATACGATGAGGTTTGTATGAAAGGAACCTCTTGCCCAATTAACTTGTCTTCATTTAGCTTCAGTTTTGACCGTATTGTTGCGTATCATCCCTTTTCCGAAGGCAGTACTGTGGTCGATGAGTAGTACGGCGTGGCACTTCCGTTGAGTCACGTCAAAATACGTTTTTTCCTCAAAATCAACATAATCAGAAACCGATTTGCACTATATTTCTAGCCTGAGATTCGATTTTATATATGCAAGAACATAACATGAATGTCTCAAAGGTAAGTATGTATTTATTAAAGCTTAATTTTTATTAACTGCCATAAAGTGCATAAATCATTTCTGAGAGCGTACACTTTCTTAGTGCACAGGGAATGCTGTTAGGAAAAAGACAGACAGGACTGTGTGCTCTGTCCTATCTGTCTCCTTTCTAAAAACGATCCCTGTGCACTAAGAAAGTGCATCTCTTTCAAAAATGCATTACTAACCAGCCCAAGTTGCCACTTTTTTGCTGCATAAATCAATCTATTATAAAATTGTTCTTGTTGTAATAGAATAGCGAGGGCCTCGAAATCATGCCCTGTCAATTTGATGAATTTACAGATATTTTTTCATTGGTGACATCTAAAAGGGTTAAAGGCAAATCCAGTGTTAGAGACTGGTGTTAGAGACCCTTTTGGAACACTTCTCAGTCAAGCAAGAAGGAGAAAGGTTGCTCCTTGTTCTTGAACTAGGCTCCTTGCAAGATATCAAGCATACAGACAAATTAAGCCTTTCGCCCTGCAGAGAAATGGCAAAACTATGACACTGAAGACAGCTGCATGAATATCAAGTGAAATTAAAATCAACGTTTATTCGCAATAGGCCTCACTATTACTGAAAAAGATAACATCAACCCTGAAAATTCACGCAGAAACAATTTTCACACCTTGGCCTACAAATTGCAATCAAATTGTAATCCAATAATTGTCGGAATAGCTATAATATAGGCAATGTTTCTTAACATATTAGCTTTACCTTATTAACAAACACTGGTGGTTTTTATATTTAGAACAAATTTGAGCAGGTCGGTTGATGTCCATCTTGAAAACAGCATGTTAATTGTTGGGGTTTAATGTTTCAAAACAACGATTAGAGACACCGTAGTGGAGGACACCAGAACACTTGGGGTTCTTTAACCTACACTGGCCTCAAGCATTTTCATCTCCATCGAAAACTGAAAACTACATGTTGTTTTAAGATGGTTTTTATATGCAGCCTTCGATGCACACTACTTTAAAAAACAAATGCAAGGGTCCTGATGCCCTTGCAATATCACTTAAAAGCTAACCTCTGTAGTTTGCTTGTAAATAAGCCATGTCATTTAGTTTAATTCAGCTGACTGAAAGTAAAACACATTTTAGCTGCAGGACTAGAAGCTCGCACAAATAGAACTTTATATTAAAACAACACTTGGGGTTTAATTTAGAAAAATTAAATTTTCACAATGCAAATTACATGTAACAAAGAAATCTGTGGTATAGCTCAAACAGAACATCTACTGTTTGCATGCATTGACTAGTGGTAAAAGCCTAAGGCAGAAATCCTGCTTAGCACCTCAACACTATGGCACTGTTTTAATGGCAAATGATATACTGGCAAATCAGAATTTAATTATGCAGGGTTCAATAAAATTCTAACGTGTGAATAAATATTTTGAGTAGCGGCAACAGTTGTGGATAAATATTACCAATAGTGGCAATAACAAGATTCTTTGAAAAAAGCAATCAGTTACAAGCAGTCATCAGCAACTTCAACAGCCAAAAGCCAAAAGCTAAAGAAAAATTTAACATTGTAAGACACGCTTCTGCTGTCTAGATAGGCATGAATAAGAAGAAAAAGTACAAGCATAGCACAACAGCAGCATGTGCATCCCAAAGAAAGCAAGCCAATGTTGACAGCAATCAGCTAAAAAAAAAAAAGCACAGGCGCCTTGCAGTTGCGCAATCGCTTATATATTTAACAAAGCGGACAACTTATCACGATTACCTTCATGCAGTTTAACATACCAAAACCGCTTAGGCCATTGTCTAAATAAAAATGAGTACATCAGCTCATTCAGTAAAACATGCAGGCAAATATATATATTCAGTTATGCCATTGACCATATAAAAATGAGTCCATCGGCTCACTGAGTGTAAAACATGCAGGCTTATATTAAAAGCGCATGCATCCTATTCATCCTTGTTCCACGCATGGCGATGCACTCTGGGCCGGAAGGGAGGAGGTGCCACCTACTTTTGCAAGTAGCGGTTACTGTTAGTGTTTGAGAACTTTCTCCTCAGCATAGGAGAGAGCTCGAGGGGCAGGTGCTTGGTGATAGGCTTGGGGCGGCGAAGTCCGGGCGTACCACGCGGAGGTGGCATGGGGTCAACGCCCACTTCTCTGCATTTAGAGGCAGCGACAGAGCCATGTTACAAAAGCACATGCCCTTTTGTGCTCCAATCGCTAGTGAAAGGCTGAAACCCCGACACAATTTTGAGAGACTCCGTAGTAAATGGCTCCAGAGATTTAGACAACTGTGTTCTTTAACCTGCGCCCAAATGTACTAATACGCGGGCCTGAAACGTTTTCGCTTCCATTGAAAATGCGACCGTGGCTGCCGGGATTCAATAGCACAACCTTCAGGTCAGCGGTCGGCCAGTCCCGAACCACAACCATTAGAACATCCCCCATGGCCGGCAGTTTAGCACAAGTACAAAACAATGATTGAAAGACTGAAAATTCAGGAAGTGCAGCCTGAAGTGCAGCATTTATTGCAGCTACAAAAACCTGTTTAATTCAAATGAAGTTTCAGTCGGATGACTTCTAGAAGTTCTCCGCCCTAAATTCTAATCCCTCACATACTTCTTAAGGCATCTGATAATATGGTAGCGATTACTTGAAGTGTCGAATGGACATCGCTCATCCAAGCCAGTGCCCAAGCACACGAAAAAGTTAGTGCGAAACATGGTTAATGTCAAAAAGTTTAGTTACAAAGCATAAGTGCATTAAAGCAGAGAAGCTATAGCCATATCCGAGCACCAAAGCACAGCTCATAAGCCACACAAAGCAGGACTTGAGCATTAGAATTGCACTGCAAAACGTTGGAAAAAGAGTTTCGGAGGGACTTACTTCAAAGATCCTGGCGCACTGAGCACCCGCTGGAGATTCGCGTCCACTCCGAGGTTGAGGCAGCCACCGTCAGGATGGGACATAATCATAGCATCTGAGATGTCGCCGAACACAGATGCAGTCATGGCAGATGAGGTCATGACAGACGATGCCATGTCGCTGCCGGTGTCCTCCGCAACGCCCGAGAGCGATGGAAGGGAGGCGTCCATCGGCGCAGGTCTATAGTAGAGGAGCTCTTGAGGAGTGGCTGTCTTGCGACGTGCCTGCACAGAGTACTCATTACCAGCCAGACTACGCCTACAGGAAGTTACCATCTTTTTTTTTGTTTAAAAATGCGTTTTGATATTTCCTGTCCGTGAATGTGTCAGATTTCTATTTTTATAAATATGTGTTTGTAGATGTTATTACACGTTCCATGTTTTCAGTTGCATTGATATTGCCTATTTTATCTGGATATATGATGGACATGTGTATACACGCAACTTTTGAGGTTACTGCTCCCATGGGGGGGCCTTCAGGCACATTCAAGTTGTATGGCGCAATTTTTCACCTGAAGGACACCTAACCATTCTGTTGGAAAACAAAAGCATTTCCGATTCTGAATTAGCCCGGTCCTGTGCTCGCCACTGGCTGCATTATCCCCTCAATTTTCTATATCACCTGCCCATCTCACTAGCCGAAATCCTTCACCATGCTTACCTGATCTTGGAATCTAGTATTCATGTTAATTAATGACTAACACTTGTCTTCTCACTACATGCACTGCTTCCATTTTGACCAAAATGCTGTTAAAAGATATTTGTTCTATGAAACGCTTCGCTTTCTTCTTGCCCCACAATGTTAAAGCTATGAATGTCCTTTTTATTGATCGCTGAATCATCCTCAATTTATGTTGAACCCCTTTCTTAAGCCTCCTGGTTTCTATCTGGTACACTGCCATTATGGATTCAGGAATACCTCCCAAATGCACTGCACCCTATTCTTATTGCTACTACAGGTCTGCAGTCACTATCTACTCCAAGTACTTATTACCTTACCACCTCCAGTGCCTTGTTACCCAACGCACACCACTGTTGGCGACAGAGCGCACATCAGGTTTTCTTGACAAGAACCTTGAACTCAGCGGCAATTTACCATCTACTCAAGATATGCTAGTTATACTTTCCTCAAACCTCATTAAAACAAACTGTTTGTTATATTTGTTATATAAAAAATTGTTATAAAGGTTATTCGTAACACAATATATTGCGCAACTGTTTTTCATTTACTTCATTATAACTAAGAGATCATTATAATCGTGCTTGTTATATTTAGGTTTCAGTGTAAAACCTGTTAAACTGACCAGAAAACAGTGTCAGTCAATCTAAAAAGCTATGTAGGATCAGCCCTACACCAATAGACGAGCCACAAAACGTAGTCCCTCCTGTGTGGCCATCAGTGGCATGAAGCTGAGCTGGTTTGCTCAAAAGCGTGCATTGTTACATACCAGAGGTGTAGGATAAATGATCATCAAAGCCACATCACAAGACTTGAAGACGGTGTTCTCTCAATGTATGGGTACTTTGTTTGGGCAGTTACTCTTACATCCGATACCTATTAAAATGGTACAATGGTATTAATAAGCTTAATGAAACATCCTACTCACTTTACTCCTAGCAAATGTGGCTGTCGTGCATTGCGATTGAGCATCTGACGTTGACCTGTTGTCAAAGAAGAAAATGAAAAAAAAACTGTTAGTTATTTTTATGAAGAATGGAAGTTGTTAAAGTGTTGCCCATAAAGGACGATGACTGCATTCCAATACAAAGACTGAAACTAGGCTGAAGTTGAAATTTAAGCACTGCATCTATGAAGCCATTTTTTCCTTTTAAGTACGCACATTTCTTCAAAAACAATTCAATGCTTGTACAGAACACCCTGAGCTTTAAAAGCATGATTCACAAATTTGAGTGTTTTAAACAATTCAAACAGAGTGAATGAATAAGCAGACTGTACGACTACAGAGGTACACTACCATGAAGTGCTGCAAAAACTTTATTAAATAGAGAAGTCAGTAGTAGATTGAAGAAACCTCGTTACGATTCAAGAACTCATTTATCACGATTGAATGGGTCAGATGACAGTTGAGCATAAGATAACGAAAATTTACAACATTGCATACAACACAAGAATGCCTTAGAAGAGAAGGTCATTTGGCGAAGAGAAGGTCATTCACTATTAACAAAGGTAACTGCAAAAGCAGTTACCTTTGTTTCCCCTGTATGGTTGCAGTTACCTTTGCTAAACAAGAATGCCATCCGTACATGTTAATGTCGGCAACAATCATTTTTAGATTTCCTTTGTTAGACCTAATTTGTTACTTCCACACTGATCATGAAGCCTTACATAAACATGCACGATTTTGATTCTTAATTAAAGAAAAAAAAACAAGGTATCCTTTTCACTGACAAATATTTATGGCTAGCATAAAAACGACCTATACACTTACATGTCAGTTGGCGACGATGACCTTGTGCTGGGTGCACTTTCTGGGGAAAAAAAAAAGAAAGAGGTGTGATCATTAGCAGAGACCTGCAAGGAATCTCTCGCTTCCCTGCATACATGCACATGACCTACACACATTATTTTTATTTTTCCAGTGACACTGTGAAATGGCATCACATATCTTGATGTTTGACAAAGCTATCAAGTGTAATAGGTCAAGCTTGCCAACCAAGTCCAGAGTGAAAAACGAGGAAGACTGTGTTTGACATCTCAGCTTAGTAACTTGCTAGATGCAAACCCTTAATGCTGCTTTCTTTAACTGTATTGCTCAGAATTTTCAGCACACCTCTTATAAAATTAACACGAGCCCACTCGTAGAGAAACCAACCTAGCAACTATGATATCTAGAAACGCCATGCCAGACTGAGCTGTCAACAAAAAAATTTCAATAAAAAATGCCAGAAACACAAGTGCCGACCGTGCAATGAATATTTCTGTACAGTAAAACCTTATAACTTTTACTTTCTAGAATACTTTAGCTTCTACAAATGCATAGAGCAATCCATAAGAAATGTGTTCACGTACTACGAGCATTAATCTGAGAAAAAGAAGGAGCATAATATCTGCTGCACATAATTAGACTAAAAATGCATACATATAGGCCATGCTGTGCTGTCACATTGCATTTCTATGATATTGTTTTTTTTTCATGTTGATACTGCAAACACACTAAACATGAATGCAATATCCAGATGGAAGAGCCTGTTTATTTTGAATTATAGCTGATAATGTGACAAACACACACACACACACACACACACACACACAAAAACACACACACACACGTGGCATGAAGCATATGTGTAACGAACACCAATACTTGATCCCACTAGGGTACACAATGGTTTCTATTGTGACTTTTCGATACACCTTGGTTGTAACTAATTGAGGAAGCAAAAGGCCACAAGAGTGAAACAGAAGTTTTTCTCACCAGGCCCAAATTTCAATTTTGATTAGCGGTGGAGGGAGACTATTATGAGAGAACAATCATAACCTAGATATAATAAACCCAGATATAACGAAATACCGATTATAACAAATTAAATGAATAATAGTCTTGCAATAGATTTGGTGTTGGGAATAAACATAACGAATGCCCTGATATAACAAACTTATTTTCGCATATGATGTAGCTTTGTTATAACGAAGTTGGACTGTAATCTTCAAGTAAGCTTTTGCTATCGAAAAAGTTCGAAAGTTACTCTGTGATGTTGCCACATGTCCTTGAGCACAGCTTCACTGCCAAGGCAGATAGAACCCAAATGGAGTGGACTTGCATACATAAGCTGTGAAGCTCTCTTGCACCCTCTGAATAAGCGCCATTGAAGAGTGACCACATCACACTAAGTGAAAGCTGTGCCTTTTTGCTTGCTCTTTCTATTATGCTTCTTGATATACTAGGCAGCAATGACATGTCCGCATTGGGTGAAAAAAAAAAAAATCTGAAGCCGCGTGACATTCCACAGACTGAACGTGTATGTGCATGTGGATTGGCATTAGCCGTGGATATTCCAAGGACTGCCTGTGATGTAGGCATGTGATGTGTGTGTGCGACCTTCCCCTGTAAGCTCAACATCCATGAGAGGAAAGGAAAGTCGATTTAGATCAGGCTACACTTTTCAAGTTTGTCAGTTTTTGTAAAACTCAGGAATGTTATGCTTCTAAGCAGTCTATGTGCCACGCTTGCTTACAATGCCTAAACCTGGCGAGTGGCATTAATGAAGAGTAGAGACAAGTCTTGATAACTCGCCAAGGCAAAGACCTACAGCTATCTCCTTTTTACTACGAGAAGCGCATCAGCAAAACCAGGCTCGCAGCATGCGAGAAGTGCCTACACACCCGGCTCTTCTGACCAGCTGGGCGGTGCCAAGGGCTCCAGTTGCATCTGGTTCATGGTGTGCTGCAGAAGGTTCTGGTGCATGGCGTTGCTAGCCTCCACCTGTTCCAGCCTGGCTTCCAGCTCCTGGACCTGGCTTTTGCTCTGCGCTGCCTGCAGACTCTGGAAGGTGGAAAGGACAATGCAAGTCACTCAAGTATGATTGACAGGTTTCAGAAAATGGATACTGTATGATTAGTAGATGCACACAACACATCATAATGTTTGCATATTGTGTCTGTCAGGATGAAGGTCAGTTAGAGCTACCAACTTTACAGAGGGTCAATTTTGAACCATTTTGCATATAGGGCTATTGTGCACATGTGGCACGGTACAGTTATACTTTTTTTCATATTCCAAGTTTTTCAAATATGACCACCGTGATGAGTCTTTTTCAACAGCTGAAGCAGTCAACTTGTCCCAGCAGCTCCACTTAAGAAGAAATCTAACGGTCACCACAAGCAGACAGGAAAGAGACTGGACACACACAGTGCAACTTTCAGCTTGTTAATTTAAAAAAAAAAAAGGAAGCATTTATATACACAATCAGACACATGACACAGGGCATGTGTGTTACAAATCACTGAGCATTAAAAAACTAATAATGAATATGAAGCTATGGTCTCACATGAATATGCGCATTCCAAAATTGATTTTGCTGCTATTAGTCCAACGTATTGACTATGGGTGCAGAATATGATAGGATATCTGTCCAGTCTATACCCTGTCCGCATCTTTAAAGCGCATCCAGATAGTCGACATGCAGAATTAACTAGCCCAATTAACTGTGCGATCACCACAAGACAGTCCTGCGATTGAACATAAGATTTTACGGAGTTTTAACAATGTGTTGCACACATGGTGAAGAACTTGGTTTGTGTTACTTCCAAGCCTTTGGGGCTATGTGCTACAACAGAATGGCAACAAGCCGTTTGCACTATCAATGCGAGTGTGCGAAGTAAGTTGCAGTTCACCTGGTTTATCGCCATGTGCAGCAGCTTGTCGAGCAAGTAGCGACCCTGCGTGTCCACTATGCCTTCGAGAATAGTCTCCAGTTCTAGGCAGTCTGTGTCATCTTTGGTCTCTTCTACTTGGAGGATGTTGGCCTGACATTCCCGGATGTTCTCGTTCAGGTAATCCAGATTCGCCCTCATGCTCTCTATCTGGTCGTCCAAGTCCCGGATGTCCTGCGCACAGTAAAATCTTCAGCACAAAATGTCTTTCCAAAGGGAGTGGGAATACCTCAATATGAGGGACATCAAATTGGCAGTGCCATTCTCACATGCTTAGAGCATTTATCCAAGACACACATAAGACAAATTTTGAAAACCAAAGCTCTGAGAACCAAAGAGCTTAGCTAACTACGATTTGATGAGTATAAAAATATATGCAGTTCTTTGTTAGCAACTAAGTGAATCCAACAGACAAATAGGCCAGGAAACACATAGGGGACATTGTTGTCTTGATCTCTAGTGTAGTGATGTAAATTGAAAGGAATGAACGTAGACAAAAAATACTTTGCCTTTTCCATTTGTAAGACCAGAAACCACAACCGATTTATGCATCTTACGCTCTCCCAATTCAGCTACTATGGAAGGTGCGTCCCCGTCTACTTGATCAGGTATTTGTGCATGCGTTATCACTGGCAGTGTTAGCCAGCTACACTTGTAGCCAAGGCAGCAAATGTGCAACACTTTTTGCAAGAGGTTCTTGCATTCCACGTGATTATGCACAAAGCCCTCTCCCGGCGACAAAACATTTGGGATGTGGAAACAGTAGAAGTACTTGAGATCCCGGAAAATAAATACTATGACGATATTTTGCATGCAGTGTGGTTGGTCTTGCATTTTGGGGTGCCAATGTGCAAAATTTCTAGCTGCATCTACCAGAGCTACAAGCTGTCACTGCGCTATGAGCTTAGCTGGAGAAGTCTACTACCTGTGTGTAAAATGCCCCCATGCAAGGAGAAAACGGGTGACAAGATTTGTTGCTTGCAACGAACCACACTGTGGCTTTGCTTTTGCACGTCTGCTAGCACGATGTCCTTGTCTGCAAAGTTCAGATTCATCTAGTACACCGGCACACAAAGCGGAGTAGGGCCTAGCGACGGTGGCGGACCAGAAACTGTCGCGATTTCCGCAACAATTTTCGCCACCTTGGCGAGCACAACTTTCTTACCGCACCTCTACAAAATTTTAGGGATGATATTTTGGACTCTGAGAAATGGCTGCAGAAGCTGAAAATGATATTTTCAAAAATTGGCTTTTTAAATTTTCCGTCATATGAAAAGTGCACCCGCTCTTTCCATTCTTTGATGAAATCCATTCTTTGACAGTGTTTGCGACTTGCAATCGATCCTTTCTAATAAGAATTCGCTCACTAGGGGTGTGCAAATATTTTAAATTTCAAAATTTTTTAATAGTGTTTGCTACCCGATTCAAAAACTTCCCAAACACACAAAAAATCAACAACCAAGTAACAGTGGCCCCTTCAAATTTTTAATATGCTTTGATTTGCCCCAAACCATTCTTGTGTTTTGCAAAGCTTCCTTTCAAGCTTTGCTAGGACTGCTAATGACTAAAGAAAATTCTGGTTCTAACGTGGAGATGATGGATGTGGCAGAGGTGAGTGCTCAAATAACGCTGTTTTCGAGCTGAAATTTGACAGGAAGCCCAAAAAATTGAGTGCCAAATATTTTTAGCACCCGGAATTTTAGATGTTCATTTATACTGATGTCCACGAGGCAGATTCGAAACTTCACACTCGAAGGGAGCACTTCCTTCCTTGTCCAACAAACCAGTTAGGCTGATGTGTTGGACAAGTTGAAAGAGGGGAAGAGGCTTAGAAAGTAGCATCTTTGCCTTTCACGTGTAAAGTGTCGTAGGAAACACTTTCGCTGTACGAAATAATGTACATAAATACTATTCGGCTCCTGCATTAACTTATTTCACAAGACACACCACAACCTGCCAATGTTTCATCAACCAAGCCAAAAAACACTTTCATAAGCTTAGAAATCCTCTCCAATTATTTTTCTACAATTTCATTTTGAATTATTTGAAAAATATTTGAGAAATATTCTAAAAATATTCCACTGACACTCACACTGCAATAAGAATTCACTTCACAACCAAAATTTTGCTATTTGCACAGCTCTGGTGCTTAGTGATTTCCTGAAACTTTTTTTTTTCCAATTGTGCTGCAAAATATTTGCTTCACACGCAAAACTTTTCTATTCATAGAGCTATAAATCAAAGTAGTCTTGGTATAGTTAGTTTGTAGGGCATGCCACAGTGAGAGACGAGGGTTTTAGCATTCATCAAACAAGAATGCTTTTGCCCTTGCCGAAACACTACTGTAAAGATTTCAAGCTCTGCAGTACAAGAAAAATTGCAACATGGCTGCCACAGCAAAGTGTTTCAGTGATTAAAGCACTAAGCTCCCAAGCTGCTTCTAGTTGTACCTGAATACAAGAAACTCGTTTCTCAAAACATTGGCCAAATGAAACAAAATTCAAGCTTACCTTCCCAGCTTGAAGCGCTCTTTCTCGCTTCCGCATCATTTTTTCCAGGTAGCGTGTCAGTTTTTCACGCTCCTAAAAATATAAAACAGACTGGCTTAATTTATAACAAATGTCAGCGAAAAACAAACTTAACAAGAAAATTGGGTAAGTAAAGTGGTGTATTATAAGGTGCTGTATGCTTGTACTGTTGCAAATGTCAAGACTACAAAATGCAACACATGCACTACATATATTTCAAGACATCTTGGCACGTAGTTGAATGTACGTAGTCAGCCATTGCTTTTCTTTCCCAGTAAAGTGCACATTGGTATTGTTACAACTACCCTTCCGAGCTTTTGAAAGCACGATCACCAGAAAAAGTTTTAAGCCACTACAATGCAACCGAACGACTGTGCCGAGAATTCATGCTCCCTAGCTGTTTCTTCAACGCACAAGCAAGATTCCAAATTTATTAAACATAGGGGAAAGGGGGAGAGGTGATTGATATCGTAAAGCACGATCACCAGAAAAAGTTTTAAGCCACTATAATGCAACCGTACGACTGTGCCGAAAATTCATGCTCCCTAGCTGTTTCTTCAACGCACAAGCAAGATTCCAAATTTATTAAACATAGGGGAAAGGGGGAGAGGTGATTGATATCGTAAAGCTCACCAAGAGAGATCGCTCCATGTCCTTCTCCAAGGTGTAGACACTCTGCTTGGTCAAGACCAGTTTGTCGATCTGGATGAAGAAACAAAATGATTGAAATTATACTTGTGTTCCGTAATGCTACGCGAGATACTTACGTTCTTTTCAAGTGTCTGCCATCTCTGCTTGGCTGCTTTTGGAGAGAACAGTCCTTTCCGTGCAGCTGTGGTGAAAGGAAGTTATGCTTTATCAGGTGAAATCAAATCAGAGTACTGGTACTACGAATGCAATAATTAGTGGGCCATGTAGGTTCATAGCAGATGTTTAGGTTTCATAGGGGTTAGCTCTGCTGTTTACAAAAAACAAACATTTCAAAAGAACCAATTTAAATATTTTTACTACTCAGAGCGAACGAGGTTTAACTATGTTGCTATCAGAGTTTACTGCCCCGTGAATCAATAGCTGTAAAGATTTTGTGCATATATAAGTGATGTTACAGGGTCCGTTGCACACTTTTGTGCCGATGAGTGCGTTGGAAAGTACACAGAGTGTTGATGACAAAGGGGTAAGAAACTCTGGTAGCAGAGTCCAGACAGGCTGCATTATCGTGGCATGCGTCAACTTTGAGCATGCTCTTGCAGTTATCGAATCATTCAATGCACGTATCCTATACTCTGATGTAGTCAAACTAGACAATGACATAATTTACAGAAAAAGAAAGAGCAATTTGTAGCAGTCTTTGAAACGCGAATGTAACCTTTCTGTCGAGTGCAGTGCTGGAATACTTCGTTCGCACATTCATCAATCAGCAGCTTTTCAAGCTATGCTAAAGAATTGTTGCAAGGCCCCTACAAGCTGCACAAAATGTGATGTCTGAGGTGCAAACTGTGCATCCAATCACCCCACCTGGATTCTGTTGGGGAACGCGCCCGGCAACGCGCTGCGACATAGGTCGTGCCTGTCTGCGCAGAGCAGCCATCTCCTCATGACGCCGCTTCAGGACCGTCTCCTTGGTCCGGTTCTGGGCCTCGAGAGAACGGATGCGGTTCTCCTGTTGGCGGCTCTCCTTGAGCATCTGCGCGATCTGCCTGTTGCGCCGTTTTTCAGTCTCCTGATGCCGCCGGCTCTCCTCTTTCATTTTAGTCACCAAGGCCACCTGTGAAGGCAGATCAATCATTTCGGCACATAAAACACCATATAGCTATCAGAGATGGGATGAGAAAAGGCAACTCATATTGCCCTTGGCAATTGTCTTTCCCATAGCAATATGAATGATGCACATGAATGTACAAGAAATAGAAGGGCTATACAAAGATAGATATGTCCTAAGTTGATGTGGCAATGGCCAAAATTAACAGTTCGAACCAATAGTTATCAAGTTCTGAGGGATGAATGAATTGTGATGACTGAAATGAACTTGAGCCAACCTAATCTTCTGGCTCACACAGAAGACAATTCATATTCATTGGAGAAAAATATAGAAAGATTCTGGGCATTTTGTTCAGCCAACAAGCCCAAAAGCAAAAAAAGGGGGGCAAATCTGGGATGTCATACAGACAATCAGGTTTCTCCGTTTCAATGTACCATTAGTATGAAGCTTGTGCCTTTAGTTTCCTCTTTAATAATCAACATATTGTCACATGGTCATGATGCTGATGAAGGCGGCAGCCAGCGTGTTCCAAAGTGAAACTATTTGGCCGAAACTGTGCCCTAGGAACTCAAACTCTTGACCACAGCAACAGCGGCAAACTGAGCATTGGCAGTCTACAATCTGATCATTGCAGTGCAACAAAGTTTTTTATACAGTAGCCATCAAACATTCCAGCATTGTTGCTGGTGCCTGCATAATCTCTTAACTGTTTGTGTTTTGTGTATTCTCTGAACAGAGAGAGCTCAAACAATCACGATGCTTCTAAAATATTATTGCATGTTCTTCACCTAATGCTGCTAACAGTCTTTGTGCCTAGAACCTGAACACACTAAAAGAAGCAGGTTGTTTAGGAATTAGTCTAAACCAATGCATTGTTGATTTTAGAGTTTATTTAACTATGCATGCATGACATAGATTCAAAGTACTATGAACGCTGAACAACTGGCACAGACCTTGTTTTTTTTCATGTCTGCCACTTCTTGCTTTAGTTTGCGGACCTGACGCTCGTACTCGCTCTGGTTTCTCATCAGCTTGGCGTGCTCACGTTTGGCTGACTGCATCTTCTTCAGCTCGCCTTGAAGATGGTTGAGTTTCCGCTCAAAGTCAGTCTTGATCTTGCGAACTTTCTCGTCTGTGTCCTTTGATGCACCAGCAGAGCCTGGGGTATAAACAAAATGCAAAGCCACAAATTTGCTGAAAACAAGATAGTAGACAAATTGAAATTGACAGCGTTAGGATAATGCAGCAGAGAAAGACTGAATATGGGAACATTTTTCGTTAATTTGTAACATGCAAGATAAAATGATGTGGTTTTCATAAACTGTGCATGCTGTACCAGAGCATCAGCATTATTTGTGCCATTAGAGGAAAAAATACTGCATTTACTCGCATAATAGGTGAACTTTTTTTTCCAGAAAACCCGGGGCAAAGTTTTGGGTGCGCCTATTACGCGGGACAAAATTTCCGAGAATTTATTTTCGACTACAGCATAAACCACTGATAACGTATACATTGCCAGCGAATATCCGCGCTACAGCCAAAACAACCTCTTTCATAGACTACACTAGTGCAAGACGCGTGTTCGCCATACAGTCGAGCGCGTCCAAGAATCGAGCGCCGAAATTCGCTGATTACGCTTCAGACCACACAGATTATTTGTGCAGTGAACGGTGCCAATCGTTCCGATTTCACGGGCTTGCACTTTATATACAAGACATTGCAACCAAATCGCGAACCACCATTCGAGTGTTGCAAGCGCCACTCAAGCCCCCCTTCCCTTTACGTCGATTCTATAAAAAACTGCAATACGATCGCCCATGACCGCCACTGAAAAGCACGAACAGTGATTAAGCCTAGCCTACAGTTCGGCATGTTGTCGCTGGAAGTTTGTACAAGACAACATGAACATTGGGCGTCGAAAGAATTGCATTTAAGTATCGATCCATGAGTTGTGCACTTGATACGATGTTTAGGTTCACATCCAGGAAACCAACAGCTACAAAAGCTGTTGAGCTTGTGCAAGTCTGCGTAGTGGCAGCAAAGGAGAAAGTTTGCGTCGGAAAGCCGAAAAGCTTCTTCATTTTTCCGACACGAAACTCGAAGCAAACTTAACGAAAACGTGATCACGCATTCCATACAAAGCACAACAGGCTAGCGGCCAGAGCTACAACCGCGCGTCGGTGCAAAGGTTACTGCGACGCCCAGGCTACCGCCCTCCTTCGCACTCGGCGAGCCTGCGGAGCTGGTGCAGCGCTGCCGAGGTCGTTTTTTTTTTTCTCTTTTTCCTCGCTTCAGTTATAGTAAAAGAGCATTGAACGGCAACTGTGCTACTAGTACAGAACTACTGATCGCAGCCAAGTTTGGGGTGCACCTATTATGTGCAGAAATAAAAAAATCTGATTTCTCATGACTAAACTGGGGGGTGCGCCTAATATGCGAATAAGCATGGGAACAGCTGATGAGGATAGTTCCCAATAAAAAGACAGGGCTGTGCTCAAATTTCGCTTTTCACAAACTATTGAAGCAGGCCAATGCCCTTGCTTAAAAAAAAAATGCCCTTTTACAAGTCATTGATAAAGGAAGGCTTAGAGCAGGGTGAATGATGAATGTAATCGTTAAATATTGCTTTATTTGTTTTGAGCACAACACAGCAACAATAATAAGGTGGTCACTATGTGCCACTGTAAATTAGTATTAGAACGTAGTATGTCCGATCATCGAAAGGTTGAATGCATTTGCCGACTCCCCCGAGATGCACAGAGGGCACGGCCATCTGGTGGCATTGTAAAAAGTCCTTCCACTTGACTGTGTTCCGGGCTCAGATTGACGTACACAGCATGCGAAGAGTTTTCCTGAGCTCGCTAACCTGGTTATGGTAAGGGACTAGGTTCGCCGACTCTGAATGCAAGTACTGGCGCTTATGAGCTGTGCCCTGAAAGACCTATACAACTACTTCAGGATGCTAGCTTTTATGCCGCCATTCGTTTTTAAATTGCATTGACTGAAGGGTAACAACAATTTCCATGGTACGTCATATAAAATATTTCTGCAATGGCCTCAGTTAGTCCACAATAGAGGTCATGAGAAAAGGTATGGACGACGAGCTTGTTTGTTGAAAGGGCTAGGTAAAGAAAGGTGAAGTTTGCCGAGGTTCTCCACTTAAGTGCAATTCATCGCAAACTCACTCATGTTGGAAAGAATGCGATCCCTCTCCATCTCTGTCTCTCGTATCTTCTGCTGCAACTGCATGAGCTTGCTTTCGTACTGCATGCGCATTGTTTGTAGCCTGCGCTGACTCTGTTCCAGTTCATCAATCAGCTTCTGCTTGAAGGAGATCTCGGTAGTGAGTGTGGCCAGGTCCTTGCCAATCGTTTCTGCACAAAGCGAGATAATCAAGATGAGACATCATTTGAAAAGTTTGTACACAAGAAGTCGTGCCTTCACTACGTACTAGGAAAAAAAGTGAACAGACCCACAGAATAAAGAAACCCATTCATGTCTATTTTTCACTGTTAACATGCAGTTGACCTTGGAGATATAAATTTGTTTATTATACTGAACCACAGAAACATCTCCTTAAATATCCTATCACAAGGTGCTGAAGGTGAATGTTAGTGAACTTTCATACCTTTGTTGCAACCTTGAAGAAAGCCTAAATTCAGACTTCTCCTGATCTCATGAGTGTGAGCGTTTAATTCAGATTCGTTGATGACCTTCAAGTGTTCAGTACACAGCTTCATATTAACTTTTTCATTAAATATTGTGTTCATGCAAAGTGTGACAGCCCCAATCCCAGATATTCAGTAATGACAACGAAAGAGAAAACAATTATGAATTCAGTGTTGGTGTTTGATGTGTGCATATAATGTAAACCCTGTTTGGACTCTTACACAGGACTACTGTTGATGTTCAGTCTTAAGCGAGTAGTTATACTGAAGGGACCCTGGAACGGTTTCTTCAAGTTTTGTGAGCGTTTAGGCTACAGCGTCATCGAACCATTTGCACCACATATTTAGTGACACACCGTGTACCAAGGCCGCTTACGGACAATTATATCATACCCTCCTCCTCGCCTCTGCCTGGCCCCCTCAACACGCGAGGCCTGCTGGCAACCCTTGCGATCACAAAGCTCTCATGAGCTCACTCAACATTTTGAGCTTACACCCCTCTAGACCGAGATCACATGCCGACACGTTGCGTGGAGTCTCGGAGGCCATCACATAGTGCATCCGGCAGCACGGCAGAAACGAAGATTGTGGAGTGGTTCGTATCTTCTCCGACTGGTGCCGCCACCCTAGCAGCCAATCTTACTTCCCCGCATTCTAAAGCTCATGACAGCCAATCAGGTCAGCAGCAACGGTGACGTGGCTGCTGACGTACTCTGGCCTGGTCAAGCACTCGGAGCGTATCTCTCTGTAAATGGGTGATTGAAAACGTGTTTGGCCGAGTCGCAACGATCTACATCGATTCCCGGCTTTGAAGTGTTGCAACAAGTTGTAACAAAGAGAGCTCAAATCGGTCTCTAAATAACTCTTGGGACTTGGTCTACCAGCCCAATGTGTTTGTACCAAAGTGCCAAAACCATTTCAGGGTGCCTTCAAGCAGTTTGCAAGACTATGCCACAACTTCAGAAAGCAAAGACTTATAGTTGATGTCCCCCTAGCTACACACACTAAACATAAACCTACACACATGCACACACATACACATTCAGACAGAGACAAAACACATCACTTTGGCTCTCTTCATGACTCCATGAAACAATGTTGTTCCAGTCTTACCATCTTCCTCCAGTTCCTCTGCTTCGGAGTCTGAGCTTTCGTTCCCACTGTTCTCAGCGGTGTCCTCGTCAGCATCAGACTTCTTTTCGCCGTCCTCGTCCTCTCTGGGTAAACAAATTCACAAATTATAAATTATGAATAAACAAATTATGGCTACAGTATGCTAGCGCACATTCTTCCAACCTATTTCAACAGGCTATTGTATGAAGCCGTGACCCGCATGTCATTTACTGCACTTCGCAATACCTTTGTAACATAAGGTGTGAATACGTTTTTGTATAAATTGACTGTCATTACTTCTTAAGGAAAGTATCAAGTATGTATGTATGAAGTATGTATGAAGCCGGAAGCCCGCCTGTAAACAAAGTTTCAGTAGTGAAGCCGAAGCGTCTTGTTTCTTGCTTTTAATGTTTTTAAACTTTCAAATGCGACTTTAGCCAGTGTATCCGTTTTTACTTCGCCTTGTATTTCGTGATATGCTTGTACGAACAACTGTTTCTGATGTGTACATATTGGTTGTGAACAAATGTTTCAAATGCCTGCAATTATTCGCGCTGTTTTTGTTTCCGCTAAATAGTGACAATTGGTTTTCTTAAAATTGCACAGTGTTGTTGCATATGCTGACATGTAGGGGTGGCGAGGCTCGTCAAGCAGTCATTAATGACTGCTTTTTTCTTGCCATCCACAGTTTTTTTTTTTTGCCTGTACAAAAAAAAACTGGTATAAACTGAAAACTGATTGAAGAAGAACTATGCTAAACGAGTTCTCTAGAAGCCAGTAAGGCATAGGAAATGTTCTCAAAATAAATAGTGTCACAATTTAAAATTTAAATCTACACAAGATTTACTAGTGCAAACTGCATGGCTCTAAGTATGCTACGAGTGTACTATGGTTTCACAGTGCCGTGAGCTGAACATTCCATGCCTTTACTTTCACTAAGGACGTTTCGCTTATTCAAGCCTGCGAATGTCTACAAGCATGGTGCAAACATCTAAGTATAGAATCCGAAAAACAGCAATGCAGTCAATGCAGTAAAAATGAATGCGCTGATGAAAACGGGGCAAGAGATAAGACTTGACTGCGCCTTCATAGCGCTTCAAGCAACAACAATCGATGAGGCATGTTTTAAAGGAAAGCAAACATGGTGCTTTGCATATACGAAGCAATGTTTGTTAAACAAAAACAGCAAGCAATATTGATGCCAAGTGGACAAAAATTTAGGGCACAGTTTTGTTTGCCGTATTTTAGGTGATATCAGTCTTGGAAGAAAATGTAGAGGGAAACTTTGTAGTAAGCTTCATGCGCACAACCTTTGGCAAACGATCAAGCATCATTTTGGTATTCTGCAAAAAAGCCCTGCCAAATATTTAGAGTTGAATTTGATTGCAGGATTTCAAAAAGGTTACAACACGTACTTGTTCGCTTTGGATGACAAGTGCTTCGTCTTGCGCTTGAGGTTCTCTATATCGCGCTTTGCCTCTGCAAGTACATCATCTACGCTGGTCTCCTCGACGCTGCAGCTGATGTCGTAGACGCCACTCACTGCCACTGTGGAGTTGGGACTCATGCTGGTGCGTGCCTGGTACCTCTGAACCTGCTTTCGAAGCTGTGCACACACCTCCTCCGACTCCATGAGCTTGGACCTGTGCACAAAAGCAATACGCACCACAACTGCATTTATATGCTACCATAAGTTAACTGCGATCACAATTGTTGCCAGCTTTCGAAACGCTGAAACACTACGGGGCAATGAGTAATTACAGTACTTATTACTGGCCTACATGTAGACTACGCATGTGTATGTGCACAGAATAGTGATACATGGCAATAAAATAAATACAAAACATTAATACATAATAACAACATTAGTTGTGTACATGTAAAAACTGCTAAAGGTAAAAGTAACAACTCCTACTGAAATGTCTTGAGCAAAGGTTCTTGCAAAAGTGATAGATGCATTTATGTTAGATTAAATTCTAGAAGTGAAGCTTCAGTCATGAATTGAACAAGCATACAATTAATATTAATCAGGTTGAAAGCCTTGTAGCTCATTTTAATCTAGAACATTTGGATTCTTTTGGCCACACATGCCGCCTACACTTGCTCTGGTTTAAAAAAAGTGACCAATTTTCGTTTCTTCTGAATATGAAGTGTACCTCAATTCTTCAACCTCCTTCAAGTACCCCTGGATGAGGTTCTTGACTCCTTCTCCGTTGTCCGAGTCCCCGCGGCCAACCCACGCCACAGTTGCTAGCTCAGCCAGGAGCTCCGTGTTCTTGACAGTGAGTCGCTCCACAGTTTCTTGGAGGGCCTTGATGCGGGTTCGGAAGTTGTTATTCTCGGTCTGGAGCATTGTGTTCTCGTAGAACATGTCGTTGACCTGCTCCGTGCCATCTTCTCCGACCAACCGCTTGCCCTGCAAATGAAGGCAGCACAGGACACTAAATCAGCCCAGGTAGGTAGACTGCTACGATGAGTTATTTATGGCTATGGTGCACTCTGCAAAAGACACTGAAACTTAACTATGACATCCAGATCAGCGGAAAGGTCACAACAGCATTCAACACTGATAAATGTGTCATTCTTCATATCAGTCAAGTGTGTAATCTCGTGCTAACCTCACTATAATTTCATCGCGCCGCTGTATAGCTCCTCTGTGCCCATTTTCAAGTTCTATCATGCATCACCTCATAGTCCCGCCGTCAAGCCAGCGCCCATGGTCCTTCAGACCGCACCAACCACGGGAAAACTGTGTACCCGCCAAGTGCTCACACCGCTGCGCACCTTTCATTCTTTTAAGGGCGAAGCTCCTTAATTAAGGAGTGGGTCTGTACATCCTCCAATGTATGTAAGTAGTATAAAGCCACCGGTGGCACATACCTGCTCTAGAGCGGGTATGTGCCACAGGGGATGGAGATGGGAGATGGCAGTACTTGGAGTGTTCACTAGATGGAAGCACGGACAGACTAGAAAGGAAGGCCGGGAGGATGGTCGGAAGCAAGGGGATTGAAGCACAGGCGGCCTGACAGACACTTCGCCCCACTCATCCTCATTCACTCCGTGGACAATATTGGAATGGCCTCTCCAGTATCACCAACTTCAAAGCAGCAATCAAGCATCTACCCCTTAAACCCATTGTAATAGCCCACCCTTCATGTAAAACCCCTTCATTGGGGCCTTTGAGGTATTGTAAATGAATGAATAAATAAATAAATAAATAAATAAGTAAGTTATGTATAAATGCTATTGTGATCTTTACACTAATCTACATACGGTCATTGACTGGATGGTACAAAAAAACAAAAATCACCACCTCATACATAAATAAGGCAAGCTTTTGATAACTGAAGACACAATTATGTCGATTATAACTTAGCAGGGATATTTTGGCACTTAATCCGAGATGCAGTCACCAAAATTTTGTACATAAATTCTATATCCGGAGTGCCACAAGACGATCACAAGATCAAGCTAGATGGAGGAATAGAAGTTGTAGAAAATTTCAATAAACTCACTTAAATAGGATTACCATCCAAATGACTCAAAGCATTATTGTAACCTAAACTTTTGCATCTTAAACAGAATAACAAGACTGCACTTCACTACTACTTCTGCTTGTTTAACACGAACCAGACACCAACATTTTAAAGACTACCATTTGCACTTGAAAATGATCAAGGTGATAACATTTTTATTGCAAAGTATGCTTACTCTACAGTCAAGTCAATTGCATAATGACAGTTTTTCAATTTGGGTATTCTCGTACATGCATGCTTACTTGGCAGTGGTCCATGCCCATTTCAGTTTATAATCCTGGCAATATGACATATTTGTCCCATTTGCTAAAATTCTATCTGAATGAGGTTGCACTGAGATGATAGTTACATAAATGAACAATTAATAAAGGAAAAAAAAAACAAAGGCCTGTAGGTGGTGTCACATTTTTCCAGGCCTAAGCCAGTTTGCTGCTTTCACCTGCTTGTATTCCATCAGCTCCAATTTCAACGCCTGGATCTCCATTCGGAGGGCTGTGATTGTCTGGCTTGACTTGTCTTGGTTCACTGTGATTCGGTTCTTGATGTTCTTGGCCCGATTCGCATATTTTAAGGTGTTGAGAGTCTCCATGAAGTCTCGATCACAAGGAGAGACGCAGGCAATCATCAGGGTACGGCTGAAATTAAATTGTGCCATGAATATCGCACAAGGCATGTTTGGCACGGATCAACTGGCAACAATACACTCAAACCCTTTTTATAACAAAGTTGCATCTTACAGAAAAATGAGTGTTGAATCCGAAAATTTGCTATAAGGATTATTTATAACACTATCTAATGCAAAACTATTTTTAATTTACTTGGTTATACAATATTTCATCATATTTCTTTGTTATACACTCAAACCTTATTATATTAAAGAAGAATCTTACACAAAAATAAGTTTGTTATATTCAAAAATTAATTATAAAAGTATATTTTTTACACTGTCTATTGCAAGGCTATTTTTCATTTACTTTGTTAAAAGCAATATTTGTACATTTGAGTTTGTTATACGGAGGTACAAACTTAGTGCGAAGGGCTCGAACACTAAGTGGTGAAACAAATAAAGCCACTGACATACCAGCAACGTCCATTACTGAAAGATCTCTTGAACATGCATTGTCTGCATTCACTGCAACATAGCTTTGTTTCGGTGTGATAGAAGTATCGAAAACTTGGAACTATTAGTTTAATCCTCTTGTTGGTATAGCGAACTCTTGCACGTGCAGGTTATGCCACAGCTGCCCAAGGCATGCAGTGCCTGTCGAAAGCGGGATGGGGTGCACAAAACGAACCTGTTCCCTCCTAGCGAATCCTGTAGTAGCCTCGTCAACTTGGAGTCTCTGTACGGAACGTGAAGCACTTTCCTAGACACGTCACCCAAGGCAGAGATGACATTTCCAAGAGCAAGCTGAAAAAACGATTGCAACGAAGAAAGCAGCCTTTCTCACATTGACAAGACTGCCAAATTTGATTGTAGAATAACTGCAACCACAACTTTGATAATTTACACAACTACTAGTCTTTAAACATAGCTTATCAGCTTTGAGATAGCATCTGAAGAGAACATGTATGCCTGATGACTGATTCAAACCATATACTCCAAAGATTTTTCGTCACACTGCATGCAGCCAAATATTACGAGTTCTAACCTTCTGCCGGTAAGCAGTAGTTTTTCATGTTCAGAAACATGTGCTGCTATTAGATTAAAATTGTGCATAGTGGCTGTTCTATAGATGTCCGAGCTATACGAGACTGGGCTTTTCATGGATCCGAGAATGCTGCAGTGGGAATTTGGCCCAAATACACGAACTTTGTGCAGTCCTTATGAAATATCTATGTTTTTTTTCTTTTGTTGACTGAATTGTTATGGTGCAATAATAAGCTGCAATAGAAATATCCTAAGTTTACCCTCGATGGTCACCAAAATAATCAAAAGTGTACAATCTCTGAAGCTTTCCCTCAACACACAGTAGGCTACAGTGTAATGATCTAAGCAGACTGTGATAAAGTAAATAAGAATTTAAAATTACACTCAAGTGCTCAAACTACAAAGCGAAGGCATCTGCAGTTAATGAAAGCTGCTCGTCTCAAGCAAACAAAGCATAAGAAGCTGTAGCCACGACAAGAACAGCTTGATCCATGACAAAATCAGTTCAAGTTTGAAGGGTTCAGTTTGAAGGGTTCAAAAAACAAATGCTTGCATAAAGTGTGGGCTGACAGTCGAGCCCTCACAATGACAACATTGACACCTGATAAACATGAACACATGAGAAGACAGAAGTGAAACTTACAAGGCCACAGTTAATGGAGATTCCTTCCTTAGCCCTATCCCCAGTGGCACCGGTGCGTTTGAGTCGTTCTGAGCCAGCCAGATCGACGAAATGGAACTTTGCTGTGAGCGTTTCGAATTCGCTCATCGACGAACCTTCCCCGTTGACCTTTGAAAGGGCATTGTTCTCCTCCTGGTCCTCCGCATTGCCATCTTCCAACTGCGGATAAAGAGAAGTATCATCAGACTCGGATATCCAGAAAGTGCAACCTGTTGAAACAAGTGGTCCCGTGAAGTATATACAAAATGCCATTAAACATTAAAACACATGGCAAATACAGAGAGAGGAACATTTTCCAGAATGGTATCAGCAGTAAGATGGCAGTAATTGGAAGAGTAAAAAAAATGAAACAGTTTTAACACCAACAATTATTCACAAATTTTAGATCTGAATCATTGTTCAATTTTAAATGTAAAGGCATTGATACAATGTGAGTGACCATCCCCTCTGATTGATATGAGGGGTTTAACATCCCAAAACTACCATCCACCATATGATTATGAGAGACGCCATAGTGGAGGGCTCAGGAAATTTTGATTACCTGGGGTTCTTTAACGCGCACCCAAATCTGAGCACACAGGACCATCCCCTCTAAATTTACTGGTTAACGTGTTGCACAGACACTGTGAAAGCCCACATTGCATACACCAGCAGCTAACCACTTTACGAAGACGCACTTACATTTAGCTGGACCACCCTCTGCTGCTTGATGTGCAGTGTAAAGATGGCATGTGACCTAGATGACTGTACATTCATCTGGGTGCTGGCAGTCGTTCGCGAGAGAGCCCCCGATTCAAGGCACTTCATGACCTGCACATAAAGCAGTTGATGTGAATACACAGCTCTTCCTTTGCAACAATACCTCCGAAGATTTGCACGAAATATTGCGGGTACGAATTACTCCCGAGATCCTTCTCCAAAATTGTGATAGTCTTGTACAAGTGACGCAAAAGAAAATGAAGTATCGCAGTCCAACAGTCAGCAACACAGCTGACACTACAACTTCATAGGCACTGTGTGCCCACATAATTAATTAGTAAATGTACAGCCGAACACCAGTGTATGACTAGCCATCACGAAAAAAGGCTGAAAACACGAAACACAGCACCAGGCAGGCCACCAGAACAGGCACTGTACAAAATAGACTGGACTGAAGGCACAATGCAAAAAAGACAATGGAGCTGATGGGCTTCAGGTAGTCCTGGCTGTTGCTGTTCTGCTAGTTTTATTATTGTGCACATCTCTATATATCTATCTATATATTTATATCTATTTATACATATATCTCTCTTTTTTTATCTATATCTTTCTATCGGTTTCTGTCAGTGTGTCTCTCTCTCTGTGTCTGCATCTGTCTGTCCGTGTGTCTGTGAATAACTTGGCGTGAACCATGACATGAATAGTGTCGCAATCCCACTGCATACGTCATCAAAAGCTTTCTGCCAGACAGTGGCACAAACCCGCGGGTCAATATGTGCTACTGGTATGCGGGTATGTGCCACGGGTGATTCAAGTAACGACAAGCACATGGGTAATTTTAACATGTGACCATTAAAAAAAAGCTGACATCAGCAGCATTGACATGAAGAATGAAAAAAATAAATTTCAGGGTCCAAGTAGGAATTAAAACCCCGCATTTTGCATAGCAATAAAGTATTTCATCACTGTGCCATGCCGCTTTCGGAACTGCTTTTCAAATAGACCGTAATGTACACCTATCATACAGCCGTCACGTCGTATTAACATCAATTGCAGTTAGGTTCCATGCGCCAAAGTTTATTTATGTAGCAGTATTGAAAGCTATTATCCTCGCGAGCACCAGCGCTTCATATCCGCTTACCGCTCCTGGTGCTACTAATATACTCATGTTCTTGTTGGCACCGTAGCGCGAGTGCACACTACTGGTTATATAATCATCTGCGACTGTCCAACATGCCTGTGCATGCAACATTTACATATACACTTAGCGTCATTTCATAACACGCAGCTCAATAAAAAAAATTGCAACACTGCCACCTTCCCTCCGCATAACATCGATTCCCAAAGGAAGTGTGATCAGCCGTATTTTTATTTCTCTCTTTCTGCCTTGATTTTTCTATTTCTATGCTATACTTTACTCTCTTGCCTCGTTTCCCTACGCACCCTCTCAACAATTCATACATACTGCACATGGCTATGCTCTGCCAGCATGCCTTGATAGCAGAGTTGTTAACACTCCTTTAAATCAAGGGTACGTGGGTATGGATCTCGCCTCTTTTCTTCTTGAATCTTTCTGTCTCTATTTTGCTCCGTGTACTCATTGTCTCGCCAATAGAGTTACACTCAAACCTCATTACAACAAAGTTGCATATTATACAAAAATAAGTTTGTTATATCAAGAAGGAAAAGGAAGAAAAATAGAGAGAAAAGAAAGACAGGGAGGTTAACCAGCTTATAGGCAGCCGGTTTGCTACCCTGCGCATGAGAGGGGGATGGGGGAGATGAAAGAGTGCAGAGAGGGAAGAGAGAAACAGCACATTCGGCAGCATACGCGCGCACACTCAGTCATTGTCCAGTCTTGTCTTTCGCGGTGTGTGACATTGCTGTTACAGTCGCTTGTTAAAGTCGGTGTCGCGTAGGAATTTCAACAGAGCTTTCGTCAACTTCTGTTGCAATGTCTTCTCTCGGGCACTTGACAGAATAGTGTCCACAGACGTTTGGCTGTTGTCGATGCGCGCAAAAGCGGACGCCAGTGACTGTCTCTGGATTTCATACAACGGACATATCAAAATTCCGTTATAAGGGTATATTTCTAACCCTACATCTATGGCAAGACTTTCTATTTACTTCCTTATAATCGATATTTCATTATATCAGAGTTCGCTATATTGCATCGTCAAGATTTCTGATGCACCAGTGTTTTGGGAGTAAAGCAAAAGGTGACAATGAACAGGTAAAGAGTGTGTGCCGGTTCATAAGGAACCTTACGCGTCCAAGTACAAGAGAACGAGGAGAAGCAAAAGGCTACACATGCAACAACCTGAAGAACACATTCCAGTTCTAAGTTTCGAAACGGAATACCGTATTTACTCGATTCTACCGCGCCCTCGATTGTAACGCGCACCCGATTTCCACCGCGAAAAAAAAAAAAAGTAAGACATCGATTGCAACGCGCACCCATTTTTTCTCGCTGGCCCGCACGATCACACCACTCGAAAAAACGACTCCTTTCGGGAGCGTCTTCCATTTAAATATGAGGTACAGGCGAAGCTTGTGCCCATCTGACGTGTAACAGAGCATTGCCGTCACTGTAGTTTTACCGTGGACCGATGTCAGCACGCGAACTTGCTTCGCCCCCTTCTTCTCGACGGTTGTGGTGCCAGGCATGTCGAAGTAAAGAGGCGTCTGATCGGCATTCCCGATTTGCCCAAGCAGGTAGTCGTTGTTGCGCCGCAAGTTTAGGAGGAACCTCTGAAAACTGTGAAGCTTTTCATCGTACTCCTCCGCAAAACTTTTCGCATATGCATGTTCCCCTTCGGAGGGAAAAGCCTTTCCTCTTCATAAAGTTAGTTAGCCAGCACCTGCTCGCTTTAAACTGGCTCCGCATTAGACCTTTTTCTAAGACTGATTGCATAGCCCGCACTTCGAGCAGTTCTGCCGTCACGGGCCGCTGTGCTGCTCGCTGCTAAAGCACATACTCGCCGAGCAGCTCTTTAATTTGCGGAAACCGACCCTGCTGTGGTCCACTGAAGCCTTTGCGTAAAGCTTTGCTGTCGAAAATCTTCTGCTTTTGTTTCCGCCGGTCCCGCACGCACGTTTCGGGAACTCCGAACGACCGCGATGCGGCCCGATTTCCGTCCGTTTCTGCGCGATGACTTTTCTTTTAAAAGCGGCATCGTGGTGCACTCGAGTTTTTGGAGTCGGCCATTCCACGCCGTCGATGCTAATGCACTACTAGATGACGAACTCCTCAGCACACGTACGAAGTGCCGCAGATGAGAAACACATAGGCAGAAATGGACGACGCGCCATGCCGACGCACGTAGGGGGCGGCCATTTTAGATTTGCCGATGGCAATAGATTGGCCGTAATTTTTTTGTTCGTACTCGATTCTAACGCGCACGCGATTTATGAACTCGCTTAACCGGAAAAAAGGTGCGCGTTAGATTCGAGTAATTACGGTACGTTGAAACCGAAAGTGGAGAATGAAAATCGCTCACCTGTTCTGCATTTTGTACAGCTTTGGCAGTAACACCAACAGTATATATCTCTCCCTTAGAGTCTTCGTGAATCTTCACAGATTTCCTCCCCTGGTGGAACAGCAATGAGCAAGTGGAAAAATTAGGACTTCAATGTAGGACAACTGAATTTGCTGGCACTACACCAGTGCATCACTTACTGGTTCATGCATATCTTTGCCAGGGCTCAAGAGATCGAAGATCTCTTCATTGTAAAGCTGCAAGGAAAAAGTAGACATGTATTAAGACATTGAAGGGTGGTCATGGGTCTGTGCAATTCTTTTAATTCGTGAGAAGTAACCAAGCTTGGCAATGACTAATTTTATTATATCAAACATGGGAGAACTTTTGTTCAAATGGACTAGAACAACTGTCCTGAAATGAAAGTCCACAACTCAATTTTGGGCAATCTGTGAAACCCATCCTCGAGATAACAAAAACAAGAAAAATTTTCTGGAAACACACTGTCCGATGACAACAGCTCCTTATTTTTGGTATGCTTCGCATCATAACCACCTTATGTTGCGGCAGAGCCAACTTATGTTTCTCCCTAAACAAGATTGCAGTAAAGCTTCTGTTGCAATTCTTTTTGGATACTTTTTTGAGGCTTGCATATTTGAAAAGCAAACATGGCTATCTGCAAACAGATTGAATGGGGTAGTAGGCTGTACAACTTATTTACAAGCTATTACATAGTTGAAGAATTTTCATATTCCCAGAGGGCAGGGCTATTGATATCTGAAAATTCTTTGCCGGGGAGAAATAAGAAACACCTATTGCACACTGCCTATTAATTTATGAACCTGCCCTCGACCCCTTCTCACTGCGAGGAATCCCTCATCATTAAAAATCCACAGGATGTCCCTGAAACATCCATGACTAGTTTGAAACATTTGTGCTTGTTTTATTGTACAGTTTTCATTCTAGGTTATTTAAACACGCTGATCTACTTTGTACTCTTTCAGTTTATAAAAATCTTGCCCCCCAAAAAGGCGCTTGCAATTTTCGATATTTTAAGAGACTGCACATACATAGGAAAATACGAATACAGCAGACTTGGCAAATGGAAATAAATGAAATTACCACTAAAATGGAACAACTGCTTCTAATATTGGTTTTGTACCGGAATACTGCAACCCTTTTTATTAAACTGAACTCTCAGTAAACAGAACACTGTCTTTGCCCCTTCAGGCTCCGTTTAATTCAAGTCTAATTTATACATAAAATCGGCATGTTTCATCCAAATAGATTAGAAATTACATCCTTGTAAAGCACCGTGTCACCCTCAAAAAAACAACCTTGAATTTAGTACAATGAAAAATTAGATCCTGGAGTTTGATTTGCATAGTTGAAACGCAGCCACTGCCTATTTCATGGCTACGTGCTCAACAGTGTAATGTCGCGAGGCTACATCAGCTGAAGTGTGTTGCCATTCGAACGCGCACAAATTGACACAGGCCGTTTGGGTGCTCGAGGAGTACTTTGGTTTGGGCTAACTGGTTCATAGTACTTATTTCGAAAGGGTAGCACAATGACACGAGGAAAGAAAGTGCTCTTTGTCTTTCTTTCCTCGTGTCGTTGCACTGCCCTTTTGAGATAAGTTTGGGTGCAATGGAATGCACGCAGTGAATAATCATACTCACCTCCATAAACTGTACATTGATCTTGAAGTCTGGGGGTGGTTTGCCTTGGTCTCGTGCCTCTTGCTGGCAGGCAGCAATGCCATCGAAGAGGTGTTGCACGGCTCGCGGTATAATGCCCAGCTCGTGAGGATTAACGTGCAGGTCATAGCCTGTACCCATCGTGTACGTTTTGCCCGATCCAGTCTGCAAGAGAAAAAAACATATCAAGGCTGAGCATTATGTGGGAAAGAAATGAAGCCCACCCAACATTAAAAGCTTATGGGACTTGAAATTTGTACGGATGTTGGACCTTTGCTTGATATTATGCTAAACTTCGATGTGCAACAAGTGGTAACAGAGCCTATGCGAGTTTGTGATGCATCCTCTTCAATCCTGGATCTTGTTTTTGTTGCTAGGTCTATTGAAGAATTTTCAGTGCCTGTGAATCCCGGTATTTCCGATCATTCTATGGTGTTGTTATCGTATAACATTGATAAATCCTGTAATGCGCCCCCCGAAATTGCTTTTGTTAAAGACTTTTCTCGTGCCAGGGATGAGAGCGTTTTGGATCATCTTGAGATGGTGTTTAACAATTTTGAAGGTTCGGATGTTGAAAAACTGTGGGTTCAATTTAAACAGATCTGCACTTATTGTCTCGATAATTTTATACCTAAAAAAGCTAAGAAAACAAAAAAGTCGAATCCCTAGATAACGAGAGACGTCTTGCACTTAAAAAGAAAGCTTAAGCGCCTTAAAAAAAGAAGAGCATCTACAAACATTGTTGATACTGCTCGAATTGCACTTAGTGAAACATTGGGACGTTCTAAATGGCATTATTTTCATTATATCTTACCAAATTTTCTAAAGGAAACCTCTAAGAAGTTCTGGGATTTCTTAAATAAAAAAAAAGGTCTGTTAATGAAATTCAAATTGATGGTGTTTTAATTGATGACAGGGATGCCATTGCAGAACATTTCAATATGTATTTTCACAGTGTTTTTTCTGCTCCTTCAGAAAAAGTTATTCTTGACCCTGTATGTTGCTCAGACTACAAAGATATTGTATCACTACCAGGTATTGTAGCTATGCTACTTAACCTGAAGACAAAATCATCATCTGGTCCTGATGGCCTTCCAAATGCATTCCTTCGTCGATATTCAGAAGCACTCGCCCCGTTCCTCGCATACATTTTTCGTGCATCTTTGTCATCTTAAGATTTACCGATTGACTGGCGAACGGCGCGTGTGGTGCCCGTACACAAGAAAGGGGACATTGCACTGATTACAAACTATCGTCCGATATCGCTCACTTCTTCCTGCTGTAAGATTCTTGAACATATTGTTGCAAATTACCTAATTAAATTTTTAACAGACAACAACATTCTTTCTTCATCTCAGCATGGATTCAGGAAGGGTTTTTCTACTGTCACACAACTAACCACTGTAATTCACAGTTTTGCAAGTGTCCTTGACAAACCTGGTCAAACTGACCTAATTTTTTTGGATTTTCAGAAAGCATTCGACCTTGTTTCACATGAAAAGTTACTTTGCAAACTAAAATACATTGGCCTCCCCTCTTTCATCATTAATTGGATTTCCGCCTACTTAAGCAATCGCACCCAATCCGTTTCTATTGATGGTCACCACTCGCGTAGTTTGCCTGTTACTTCGGGGGTACCACAAGGTAGTGTACTGGGACCGCTCCTGTTCTTGATTTTTATTAATGACATCGTTAATGTTATAACAGCGCCAGTTCAAATTCGCTTATTTGCAGATGACTGCATATTGTATCATGAGGTTGTTTGTCGAGAAGATCAGGAACTTTTGAATACTAACCTCCATAACGTTCATTCATGGTGTAAACAATGGGACATGAAGCTTAATGAAACAAAAACAGTATACATGCAAATAACAAAGAAAATACATAAACGGCAGTTTTCTTACAGTCTTCCATCTAATCCCCTAGTTCAGGTAAATGAATACAAATATTTGGGGGTGACCATTACTAACAACCTCAGTTGGAATTCTCATATCGCTAACATTTGTGCTTGTTCTTTTCGCAAGCTTTGTATTCTGCGACACAAACTTAAACAGGCGCCCCCCGAAACCAAGCTTCAGGCATATACATCGCTAATTAGGCCTAAGCTAGAATACGCTTGCACCGTCTGGGATCCTCACACCAACCACAATACTAACGCACTTGAAATGGTTCAGCGCAAAGCTGTTAGATTTATTTTTTCTAAATTCCGTTCCACCGTTTCGCCAACAGCGCTCATGCAAACTCATGGAATACAAACATTGAAATTAAGACGTAAAATACTCAGGCTCAAATTTCTTTTTCTTCTGAAGAATAACAAACTCTCTTTTCATCCTGGACCATATCTGCGCCCGTTATCAACTAGACTAACCAGACATCATCATCCTCAATCTTTAACTCCATATCATACAAGAACCAACACCTTCAAATTTTCTTTTTTTCCTCGCACTATTAACGAATGGAACTCACTGCCATTATCATTGATTGATTCAGTTGAGTCAATTGACCTGATCGATTTCTCATAACCTAACATTGAAATTGAAATGTAAGCATTTATTTTGTTTGTTTTTTGGCTTTTGAAATGCTGTGTTTTTGTTTTGCAATTTATCCCTCCTGCCTGGGCCCATGTGGGCCTGCAGTATGTTGTAAATAAATAAATAAATAAATAAATAAATAAATAAATTTCAGGAAAATCTGTTGCGTCTCCACCTAGGCACAGCCTCCAGTAGTAGTACTGGCGACCGTTATTTGCCACCAATGTTCTTACCTGCTAGTTTAAAACAGTCATTCCCTAACGTGGCAGCAATCCCCATTATCATTCGCAATAGAGCTCACGTCGCATATAGTACTTTTACTGTCCGGTGGACGTTTACATACATATGCAAGTAGGTATATGCATACATGCACACAACACGCACGTGCACACACACCACACACACGCCCACACAGAAGTTACAAGTAGTGAGTAGCTGCTGGGACTACAAGTAAAAAGCTGTTCGTTTCAAGTTGCCGATTCGTGGTTTGTAAACTTTTGTGGCCAGAAAGTGAGAGGGCAAACTAGAGCAAGCAATGAACGCCGCACACTGCTATCAGCGAACAGAGCATATGACAAGCAGTAAAGAGTGTCAGCTTTTATGTGTGTGCTATCGAAGATTCAAGCATTATTGCTGGTGGCTCTGTGATCTATCGAAGAAACACTATTTGATTCCCAAATGACCTGAAACAACTGTGAGGCTTCTGAAACACTGTGGTAGGGTCTGCATGAAGCGTTGCAGTCTTTGTGGGTGAAGCCTGAAGACATCAAATTAACATGCATGGGAAAATATATTATCCACACATGCATGTAAGCGCACACTCACGCACACACTTACACACAGCAAACCGACACTGATTGAGCCATCTATATAAATGTCTGAAGCTATTGATTCAGTCTGATGAGAGAATGTTAGGCTTTGCCTACCTGACATTTTTTGATAGCATATGTATTAGGTGCTGAACTTATAAGCACATTCCTTCTCTGCATGGAAGAAAACTAGTACAGAAAGTAAGGTAACCATTTAAGGTTACAATTGCTGAAATTCAATCAACTACTGTGACCAAATGATGATGCAAGAAATGTTTGCAGTTTTCATTTGTACATCCTCGGTGCAAAAACCCCATGGTTTCTTTATTGCCTCGAAACTTGCATACAAAAACTGATGAAAGGACAGGAGTAAAGAGAATGTAAGTATGCCACTTTTTGATATAACAAGCATTGCACAGTATGAATAATGTCTTTGTTTATTATAATAAGTGCCAATTAAGGATAAATAAAAGTGGAATGGTTACCTGGCCATAAGCAAGTACTGTGGCATTATAACCTTCGAAGCACCTGTAAAATTAGAAGGATAAGATACTTGTGAATCACTGGGGCATAAAGAATCGCTTCAGCATCATATGAAAATTAAGCTAGGCACTTGTTTCAAATCATTGGAGAAAGTAAATCTTTGTCCAAACTGGCAGGCGTTCGGACAGGTCCTTGAGCTTTGCGTTATTAACCGCTGCCGTCTTCTATGGCTCCGGAGGAAAACACTTCAACACTGGACGATGAAAGAACAACAAACACTTTATACAGGACTATGTACAGCAAAAAAAACGTGACCATCAGAGGGTCAGCCATTAGCAGGGCCAGTGCCCAGCCGGGAAGCTTCTCGTAGTCGAAAGCCATCGTGGGCACTCCCGACTGCTTCTTTTATCCCTTCCCTCCCTGCTGGCTCACTCGTTGCCTGCGGTAACTTACACTCGCCAAGAACGCACAGGCAGCTTTGTGGAAGAAGGGTGGAGTGCAATTGCCTCGCCTACTCCGGCCAAAGAATGTCCAGGTGGGGAGAGAGGTGGGGCACACAGAATGCGGCCTTAAAGAGACCTTTAGCGCATGTACTATATTTCACAATACTGCCACGGTTTTCTCTTTGGGACCCGAAAAAGACAGCTGAACCCACACTGCTGTCGCGTGTTCATCACAGGAAAACAATTATCCTTGCCTTGGGTAGTTAAAGTTAGCAGAGTTGAATGAAATTTAACAAAGGAACTACACCTTACTTGAAAATGTTCTGCAGAACTTGATTTAATGTAAACCGATGTCAGAAGTTTTGCTGACTAGCTATTACACAAACATGCAGATGTTGCCACGACAGGCACAATATATGCACTCTGTCCAGTTATTGGAAACCCAGTTATTGGAAGCCATTTATTGAAATTTAAGAGAGGGCAGGAAGGGGGGGGGGGGGGGAAGGTATAGGACTAGAATATTTCTGCACTATATTTGTGCAAAAGGGTACATTTGTGGAGCCTCCGACTATTCTACACTTGCCTGAACTGGAAGAATACCATAAAACTGAACAGTTCTTTCTTCACAAAAGGAATAGTTTGATAATTTTTGACCATGCATCATCAATGACAAAAAGATGAGATGTCACTGAATATTTTTTATATGTTTATAAAATAGGGATTCATTGAAACATCAAATAAATGAAATATAAACTAAAAGGTATTGTAGATGGTCATGGTGAGGCACCATTAGACAGTATGAAATCTGTAAGCACGTAGAAATTGTGATCTCCACAAGAAAGAAAGCTATGCCCTATATTTTAATGCACTGTTCATTAATAAAATTTAGAAGCTTCTACACAAGCATGGGTGAACCAGTACTTTTGGCTATTTACGCTGAAAATTTTCAACTAAAGTAAACAAGTTTTTACAGTCAATTTTCACAGGCCTGAAACTTGTACAGATGTCTTAGCAATTCTGTCATCTTGGTATCACTACCATTCAAACTTGATACAACATCACTATCAATATCACTATTAGAGATCAATAAACATTCATATTTATTGCACATAATAGCTGTTTTTGTGTCATATGTAGCATTGTTACACAGATGTTCTATATTAAAAAATTGACAAGCAACTTATCCAAAAATAGTCTATGGCATTGCAATTTCAATATTACACAAATCTTCAGAGGCTAGCCACTGTATATGTTAGCTTGGCTGTTTGGAAATAGTAATGGAAAAGCTCTAGAATTCTAATTAACAAGACAGCATGGTATTGAAACCTTAGTCATGATGTAGAAAAACTCATGCTGTATGGATACAGTTGAACATAATGAATACGGGCCATTACATGTTCGATATTCTTGAGCAGCAAGCAGAAGCCATTACAAGGCTATCTATCAAGATGTGCGATGCTTCACGTAGTGTGCCGTACGCTGCTGTAAAAGGTGCATTGGAGACATCTCACCCATCAATAAGCTGGCGGACACAGTTGTTGTAAATTGTCTCCTGCTCAGAGGGGCAGTCGAAGACATGGTCAAACGTAAATGCCTTCTCCTTGCCCACCCAGATCTGCGGCTCACCGGGGGTGACACTGGTGCAAGCGTGACACATGTCTATGACCTCCCGAGGAATCAGCGGGCGCACCCTGGGAAGACAAGAGGGAGCAACTGTCAGCCTAAACCGATGTAAGCAACGTGAAAAGAGCATAGGAACAAAAAAAAGTTTGAACACATACAAAGGTAAATTCCAGAGTTTACAGCATCTTTTTAATTCTGGAGCTGTTTAAGCTCAAAGAAACCCCATCAGTAGAAACGGAAATTATCACGAACCAGCATGCACTTTCTTGAACCTCTTCTGCTTCACTCCCAGAACGTGCACCAATTTGTCCATTATGGGATGCAATAACAGATGGGCAAGAAACAAATACACAGCGAAAAAGAAAAAGGGAAGAGGAGAAAAGAGACAGCAAGAAAGAAAGAGAAAGCAATATAACGAAAAGAAAATGAACACCATGGTGTTCATTGACACAATGAATACCATGAAGTTTAATTGAACAATAATGTTTAAGAATTGAGTGGCACAAGTGCTACTGTCAAGGCTCCACAGATTTCACTATGAAAAAGTAGGTGTGCCCACCAACATTATATGGGCAGATCTGCGAAGGACCCATGATGGCTGTAAAACCAGGCATACTTCAGTTTGTAGAGGTGTATGGGCATTTATTATTGGGCACGCTCGAGTTGGCGCACTCTACAATTACGTCGATATCAGGAGGGCTCCAGCTGCACATTTTCGATTAGATATCTCCATAAACATTCACGCCAAAAATATTCTGGTATGCTAACCTGAAGCTATACCACAATATTCTTGGCGTGTTAGATTTTGCAGTTTGCGCCACTGAACACGTAGCTAGAGTCAACTTACTCAATGTATAGCATTAGACTTGTTGCCGGTCTATTCTTTACTCCTATAAGGCTCGTATAATTTCTGCTAAGCACTCAAAATTTCTGTTGAAAATGTGCATTAGAGGTTTTTCAATCCGACCAATGACCAATGAGTTAAATGATTGGGTCATGACTTCCTATAAACTATTGAAGAGACAGATAACCACTCTGAACTCAAATATAAATAACCCCTGATAATGGAAAAATTGTAAGTCATAATGATTAAGATGAGCTCCATCTTTGTCATTACATGTGGTGTCCTATTTTCATTTCTTCGCTAAAGTCACTCTTTGGTGCTTTAGACGGCTAAACACAAAGATTCAGATGGTAAATACATGACCTTTCACTGGTGCAGATGGTTCATGGTCTCTGCACAGCTGCTGAAATTCAGTACACTTTGCATTATAATTTATACCCTAAAATGCCTCGATACAATATTTGTAATGAGCAGAACAGTGGCATCACCTTTGCTTGACATATGATCAGATTCTGATGAATAACGGCATACATACTCCCCAACTGGCTTTGGCAATGGTGCTAATCGCAGAGGCCATGGGCTGCATGAAAGTTATCTAAGGGACATGATCAAAACCTGTAGACAAGCTGAAATATCACGAGTGCAGGCCCACTAGGCGGTGAAAGGATTGCACATGACACTTGGAAAACATTTTACCGGCTTTTTATATCTCGAAATAAGACATAAAATGGGTAAATGAAGAGAGTTAATAAAGCACCATAGCACTCTTGTAAAAGCAAAGGCAAGTGTAACAAACACTTTGCGGCGATGGCTATCGCAATCAATTCTCAACGTAGCTGGAGGAAGAATTCGCCTCTTTTAGTAGATTTTCATATAAAAAAATTCCTGTAATATTTCCACATGCTTCTGGAATCAACTACAGCAGGTTTGACAAGTACAAAGGAGCAGCTTTTCGTTGCACTGTTAAATGGGTCAAGAAAACGATGGTCCATACATTTATTAAATTATTAGTAATCCACAACGATTCCAGCTAAGGCTGTACCCAGGACTTTTTTCCAGGGGCTGTTAATGGGTTAAACGCCTAACTTTGGCAACTGGTTCTCAATGCGAAGGCGTGCATATACCTTAGTATGACCCGAAAGATAACACCTTATTATTTTTTTTTTTTTTGGAGTTGTCAGAACCACCTCGACTCTCCCCTCCTTACGGCCCAGACCGGCTTTTGTTGACGCAGTAATGTGTTCGGCGTATCGCAAGGCATAAACCCAATCTTAGAAGATTACACAACTGTTTACAGCAAGGTCAATATATGTGGGTTAAACAGATGGTGAACCCCAACTGTGTGCAGCGCCAGTCGGAAACTGCGGTAATCCCCGAGGCGGGGCGTTGTGTAACGAGCCACCGAGTACAATGTCATCGTTTCTCGGAACACCGTCGGATGCGCGCTAGTCCGTCAAGACAACTGACGGACTCGAGTGGGAAGGCAAAGCGTCGGGACGGCTGGGATCGTCGTCTCTCGATGGTGAACGCGTAAGCTCGAGCCGAACGCATGAAGGCGGCAGCAGGAAGTCGAAGAAGAGCAAACAAGCCCGACGCCGTGCAGGTGTGTGGATTACGCCTCCGCTCGTGCTCGGAGAACAAACGAGCGCGATCGAAACTAGAAGAGAAGAAGAAACGAAGTTGACATGAGATCGAGTGGGGTACTACACATGCACGGAAGATGAGAGGGGGGAGAAGCGTGCTTGACCCACGCCTTCGAGGTCTCGTTTGCGGTGGCTGCGGATCGGAGAACTTCACAAAACGAACGGGCCTGCGCAAAACGTGTGCGCCAAAAGCGTGCGCTCGGCTCCTCACGACCGCGAGCCCTCGCGATGCCGATGCGAGAGGCACGGAGAGATCGGAAAGCGATCAGAATTAGAAGCGAAGATCGAAGAAACGAAATAGAAAAAAGAAAGAGAAAGTAACAAAAAAGAAATGAACGGCCCGCACGCCAGCTAAAACGTTTCAAACAAGCACGCACGCCCCCTCGCGGCGCGAGTACTCGATACGTGTGCTTATAACGTTGCGTGCGATCATGACGCGCACGATTAGCCGCACCCAACAGATCGCGAATGCATAAACGATCGGGATGGTTCACCAAATAACGTATGTCTACATACTGCAGCACTTTTTTTTTTTCTTTTGAGGGAGCAAGTGCACGACCGACAACGTTTCCCGCATTTGATTTTGGCGCCTTTCACTCATTTGCGCTTGTATGGAGTGGGGGTGGGGGGGGGGTCATAAGCACAAAAATACATTACGGAAAGCCCCAGGTCAAACGTCTCGTTGCACGCGGCAATCCAGTGGAAATCGCACTCAATCGAGCGAAAGTGTGGTCAGTAACCACACGGGAGCGCTATCGAAGTAGGTGACGTCACTGAACTTCAAGTTGCGCGGGAAATTCAGAATGGACTCGCTGCTCGTGTTTTGTTTCTAGCTTATTCGCATCACTCATGTTGAAACGAATCTTCCTATGTGTTTAAAATAGAGCGATTACTTATTAATCTGTCTATTACACGTCTATATGAAGGGCCGTAGCCAGGAATTATTTCGGGAAGAGACAGGCAGACGTGGATGAGCATTCATCGTAGAATAAGTGGCAGCGCAACGGGCTAGAAACGGACAGAAGAAAATGACACGGCGCTGAATTCGCAACTGAAATCGCGTGTAGGGCCACGGTATTCCGCTTCAGCGGGGTCGAGTGTGATTTTGGACTTATATGCCATGGCAAAAAAATTCGGGTGGATGGAGCGCACGGTGCGCCACCCCCTGGCGACGGCGCTGGTGGTGGAGGGGTTGGTACGTGTTTAACCAGCCTTCGCTCCCTCACTCTCTCTCTCTTTTTACACGGGCGGTTGAACCTTCCCTGGCTACGCCAATGCAGATAATCGTCAGTACCGATCAAACATTCCTGTACGAACGCGTTCACATGTTCGCGAAAATGTCGCTCTGCGGATGAGCAGCACAAAAACAAATGGTCTGATGTAGCATCAACAAAAAAATTCCGCCATATCCACAAAGTGAATGATGATGAGTGGGCGAAGCTCCGGAGGTAAACCTGGTAAACCATGAATCCTCTGTACATTTTGCCCACTCAATTTTATTACATCGCTCCCCCTAGCGTACGTCGCCACACTAAATCGAACGATTGCCTTCAACCAATGACACGCGCCATATGTGACATCATTCCTATTTTATAAGATCTCGCGTCTTTCATCAACTACAAGTACCGCTTTCTAGTTTATAACATCTTGCATCTTTTCATCATCAGCTACAAGTACCACCATCTAGTAAACACTACAAGAACTAAACGAGAGGTGGCTACATACAGTAGACGGTACCGCCATCTAGTGAACAATGCAAGAACTAAACTAGAGATGGCTACATACAGGGGACGGTACCGCCATCTAGTGAACACTGCAAGAACTAAACTAGAGGTGGCTACATACAGGCTACAGGGGACGCACAGCCCACGCCCTAAGGAGCTTCGCCCCTAAAATGTGTCCCAACCCGCGACCTAGTGGGAATTGAGGCATATAAGCAAATGACATACAAGCGACCCGGTTAATTTGACGTCTAATCAAGTTGGTTATTCTCTGAGCGTTCTGGTTTAATTTTTCAGAAAGCTTTCGTTAAACGACGCACCGAATAGGGCTACACATCGGCAAACGGGCTATACGGCAGATGGGCGACGTTATAGAGCTGAATTCATCTCCACCGAAGGGAGTGTTTCTTTACGACGATATGGACATAAATCGCACGAATAACCCACACCATACACCGCTATGGACAGAAACGATGAGGACGAAAAAAATATGGGGGAAATGGGTGGGGGAGGGGGGAGGCTCACGGGGCAACACACATCAGCATTCAGCCGAGACTATAGACCACGCGACATACACGATCGAGGCGAGCTTTCGTTTGTCCGAGCAATACCGTGCAGCACATGTCGCGGCCCACGGAACCCTTCAACCCGGGTACCACGTTCCGATTGAAACGCACGTAAAAAGACAAAAACACACAGATCTATGAAAGATATTGTTAAACAGCTTTTTAACATGCCCGCGAGACGCGGGAAAAGAACCACAGAACTGGTCCTTTCGAACCCTGTGTGCCTCCCTCGTGTACCGTGTTCCGCTAGAGCGCTTGCCTTTTACAATATGTACCTGACAGCGCAAACCAACG